AACAATTCCTTTCTTCAACCCGTCATTAAAGAACATGATGAGGATGGCGTCCTGTTTCATGGAAGCCTGCGCAGCGAGCGTCTTGAAACTGGCAATATAGGATGTGAGGTCGCCCGTCTGTCTCAATGTTCGGAGTTTGTTCATGGCGGTTCCGGTGGCATCGGCGGGTACGAAGGCCTCTTTGAACTTGGTTTCGAAGTTCGCGAAGGTTCCATAAGTCTTAGCGACAGAGTTGTCGACTTCAGTGTAGAAGGTCAGCACCCAACCCATAGCGCTTCCTTCTGTCATGTAAGCAAGGGCAGTGATGACCTTCTTTTCATCGGTGTTATAGATTGTAGCGTTAAGCGCGAAGTACGCCTTAACCGCATACAACCATCGTAGAGCCTGGGAGGGACTTCCGTCATAGGTGGACGGGGCTCCGGCTTTCAATTCTGGGGTGTTTGGGATAGTGGACATCCTGAGCGTCTGGTCAAGTGATGTTTCTGTTCAGGGGAACGTTCTCGTTCTCTCGCTGAGTTCTTCTGAGTTCTGTATAACCTCTCTTGATGGAGAGGGTCGAGTTGGACTTTAATCTTTTGTTACAGCGAACTGTAGGTCGACTAGGATGGGCACGATGATAGGTACTCAATAAGAGCACGCCTAAAGCTGGATTGTGTCCTCACAAATGTAAGGTTCTTAAGGCAAGTCAGAGAGAGTGTCTCTGGCTTGAATATTGGTTATCAGACGACTTAGGATTGGAGGTCCTAAGCGAAGGATAGTTCAGGTAAGACCTAGTAGATTAAAGTGAAGTTCTATCTAGGTACATGTCAGGTTTATATAGGCGTAGACTCTCTAAGCATACGTCATAGGTCGAGTCAGAGATAAGGATGAGTCATCTAGACGTCATTGGTCGAGTCAGAGATAAGGATGAGTCATCTAGACGTCATCGGTTGAGTCAGAGATAAGACGAGTCATCTAGCGATGGCGCGTGGCGATCGTGATGTAATACAACAGATATAGAAAGAGAGTCAGTCTAATGATGGCATGGCGAAGTGCGGTCATGACATAGTACACGGGTAAGAAGAGAAAGAAAATAGGGGGTAGTCATGCCTGTAACATATACCACATTGTAGTATGGCTTCAGGGCTTTCATTTGAGCCCTACACCGTGGGAATCGGTGGAGATATGGTGGAGACATAAGGCTTATAAAATGATGACTCATGTGGACAGTTTTTTGAGTGTATATTAAAACTATATAAATCATTATTTATGACACCACAAAAATCATACCACTATTATATAAATTATGAAGTGGTGTCATTATGTTATTTTATGACTATATCTAACTATATAAACCAGAATATCTCATGTATCATAGTCATAATTACCATGAAAGCCATCTCCTCTGCTCAAAGAGATAATATCCTCTCTGTCTTATGCTGGCCTCTCTGCTCACCAAATTTCCTCTAGAACTGGAGTATGCAAGTCCACTGTGGCCAAGTTTATCAAAAAAAGCCACCAAGACAAGGAAAACTCTTGTGGAGGATGTTCATCCAAGCTTACCTCTACTGACAAAAGGGCTATTATCTAACATATCACTACAGGAAAGGCTGATAATGCTGTCCAAGCCACCCATTATATCAATTCCACCATCACTACCCCTGTCTCTTCACAAACTGTGAGGAATGTTCTCAAGGCAGCTCATCTCAAGGCAGTAACAAAGAAGAAAAAGCCTCTTCTCTCCATCAAACATAGGCAGAGAAGACTAGCCTTTGCCTTAGCTCATTAACACTGGACTGTAGAGGACTGGAAGCATGTTATATGGTCAGATGAGACCAAAATCAATAGGATTGGGTCAGATGGGAAGGTATATGTATGGAAAAAGAAGGGAGATGACCTAACAGACAGAGAGGTTAATGGGACTATCAAGTTTGGAGGAGGTTCTTTAATGGTATGGGGCTGTATGGGATGGAATGGTGTGGGAATGCTTGCTGAGGTTGAGGGGAAGATGAATGCTGAGCAGTATGTGGACATTTTAAATGACCACTTGCTGCCTAGCTTGGCAGAATTAGGGATTGATGAAGAAGATATCATTTTCCAACAGGATAATGATCCCAAGCACACATCCAGAAGAGCTAAGGAATGGTTTGAAGAACATAACATCAATGTTCTTGACTGGCCAGCACAGTCTCCTGATGTCAATGTCATTGAACATCTCTGGGGAACACTCAAGAAAAAGCTTCAAGCCTATGAAACCCCCCCCTAAAGGAGTATAGGAGCTTTGGGAGAGAGTAGCAGTGGAATGGGGAAAGATCACAGCTGAGGATTGCCAGAAATTAATTGAGAGTATGCCTAGAAGGATAGAGGCAGTAATTAAAGCCAAGGGAGGTCATACAAAATACTAGAATACCTGGTTATTATTGTAAAATACTTGAGTCAAAAAACTGTCCGCATGAGTCACCATTTTGTGAGCCTTGTATCTCCACCATATCTCCACCGATTCCCACGGTGTAGGGCTCAAATGAAAGCCCTGAAGCCATACTACAATGTGCTATAAGCATGTCCTTGAGGCATTTGTGAGTTCTCACACAATATCATAGATAGTGAAAAATGTCAAAACATGCAGATAGTTTTTTGAGCCACTGTATATGTGGCTTTGTCTCAGTGCACTCACCCAGAGAGAGTGTATGCTATCTTTCCAGAGCATGAAGAAGGCTCAAAAACAACAAATGTAGTGTATAAAGAAGTGCTTAGAGGCCTTACAGATCCTATTGATGATTGATGTACATAGAATTGTACTTTTAGCTGCTCAAAAATGTAGATTTCAAGTTTTCAAACTTCCACTATGATCATTAGTAATGAGTAAGCCAAGGTGCTGCAGGCACCTCCCAAAGGAGCACTTTGCGCTCCTTTGCCTTCCTGTGCCAAAGGCACAGTGAGTATTAGGATGAAGCCAAGGCCAGGAAGCTAAAAAGGAGCATGAAGCACTCCTTTTGCTTCCTGTGCCAAAGGCACAATGGGTGGTGGACTAGTCTATCTATAAAGTAGGATGCAATGGGTGGGAATTGTCTCACTAGCTCACATGGCTTTCACATAGATACACTTAGCTCGCTTAACCTCTTTTTGGGAATCTCATGTGGCCTGGTCACAGGTTTTCGAGCTCTGACTTGATACTGTTGCCTGTTCAAGTGCAGCACATGTCAATAAATAATTGATGAAAAATTGAATGAGAGAACAGGGGAATGGGGGAATGGGCCAAAGGTGTGAGTGGAGCGAGCACTTTTGGTCTGTTCCCCCATTCCCCTGTTCTCTCATTCAATTTTTCATCAATTATTTATTGTACATGCTAGGATGCAGCCAAGGCCAGGAAGCCAAAAAGGAGCATGAAGCACTCTGTTTGCTTCCTGTGCTGAAGGCACAATGGGTGTGAAGCTAGTATCACTTGTGGTGATACATCATCTGTGGATGCCTGTGGTAAGCCAACACCAGGGATATATCATGGCTGGGTTTTAATGAGTGTAAAATGATATATCATATTGACAATATGGACTGAACATGATGGCTGATATTTTCATGAAACCATTACCTCCAAAGATTTTCCACAGTCACTGCCACTCCCTTGCACTTTGTTTGTCCCCAAATGACACCAGTACTGTTGGACAAGATGCAGATGACATGAAGATCTAATTGACAACAACAGCATCTGCAAAACACTGAAATTATCACTTAGCTTAACCGTGTTGTAGGGAATGAGATTTCTCTAGGCATATATCGCCCATATTATGACTCACAACAATTGGTATAGTGTGCGACTCACCATCTATGACTTTCCCACAAAATGTGCCAGAGGTGCAATGCTTTCCTGCACTATGCGATGCATTCCTGTGCACACGCTTAGCATGCTCTTCCCACACTTGGTCACACTTTGTTGCACAGCATCCTGGAGCATCCATCCATCATCCAACCAGTTCCCTAGTGAGTTCTTTCCTGTTTATTCTCACATCAGACCATATTTAGCATTGTATGATACATGATTTCATCATGGACCCTTATTTACATTATTTACATACTTAGAGCGCTCCCTATTTGCTTCTGAGCCCTGGGAGTGTGCCTAGGCACAGCTTACCTGTGGCCTAGGAAGTTTTCATACATCTACCAACCACCACAGAATACAGCTACCACCATCATGTCACTTAGTCTCTAGAGTGAGAATCTATTATCTTCAGCCAGCATGCATTAGTTGTTGCCCTAGTTCTCAGTTAGAATCTACTATCATCAGTCACCACTCAGCAGCCTCAGTTTATGTCTTCATGCCATCTTTCAGTCTTTACACATCCAAGCACCACACATGCTCTATTCCCACGCTTTGCACACCTATGCACTCAACATTCCTGTGCACGTGCTTTCAGCACGCTTCACCAGAGTTGACCTGATATCACCCAGTGGATCTTGCTTTCTTTGCTTCCCTTAAGGGTCAAACACATCGCTCAGTGCACTTTAACCAACACCTAGAGAGTCAGTAGGCTTTCCTCTCACCACCAGAGTGAGAGCCCCTTCTTTCTTTCTATAGCTCTGCAAGCCTAGCAGAGTTGTTGAACCTTCAGCATTACAAACAATTACAAACACTTATGACCTGTGTAATGGGCAGCTCTGATTGGTGGAGATGCTGGATGGGCATGCAAGATCTTGGAGTGACATGATGGCTCGCAAGATAATCAGGATAATCTTAATCATCATGTTCAGCCATTGATTGAATCGCACTACCACAAATGAAAACAGGATTTGCTATACTATGTAGACAATCATGATGGCTCACTAGTAGTCTCTACTGCATCTAAAGCTACTGCTAATGCATGATACATCTCTTTGTCTGCAAAGTTGTTAAGGAAAAAATTGTCAAACAGCTCCATTGACATGTTACTCCTGACATTCTTGTTCAACAGTCCTTCATAAACAGATATCAGCTCTACTCCACGAGTGACATCAGTGAGAGGAACGATAACAGTCAGTCACTCTCCATATCACAGATGTGAAAGATCAGCATTCCATGAGCACTGGACTCTCCACATGCCTGTCAACAGCTCTGGATCTCCTCCAATGAAATTGAAAGGCTGAACAAGCATGAAGACTTGATTCAGAAATGCTGGCACTTCTGTGGATGAGTACTTCTTTGTGGTCAGTTGGAATACAGCACACACTTGAGCTACAAAGGGACCTGCAGTAGAATACACTCAAATGTCAGTATCGTACATGAAAAATAAAGAAGAAGCACACGTGTGCTTCCATTACTCTGGCCAACAAGCATGGCATCACAGTGGCCAGAAGGAAATGCTTCAGATGGAGGGTCGGCCTGCATGACTTGACTGGGCATGATACTGTGTTCATTGAAAGTGGAGTGAAGTTGAATGCAGAATTTGTACCAGACATTGAACAACAGTTGATTGAGCTGAGCATTGAGATCTACATGACCCCTCATAGTGATGAAGTTGTAAAAGACTGGTAAAAAGTCAGGAATGTGATACAGTGATTGGAGATCAGACGCAGCCAGGTGTTTGCGACTGGGATTGAGAGTAACATTGAAGGCAACCCTCACATCATCAGACATGATCCCTTTCAGAAAGTGATTGTGCACTGACCATGGGCCATGCAGACATTTCTGAGCTTCTGGGTTAATATGGGATATCCATGATAAGGCTGGGTCAGTGTCCATAGCAGCGACTTTGTCATCTTCCATAACAATTGCATTGATGAGAGGATTGCCTGATTGGTGCGAGGCTGCAGTAGATGATGACGATAAGAGTGTGTAAAGTTCAAAAAGGCATATAGCCTCTTCCTGATCAAGGATTTGTGCGATCTGTTTGACAAAATCCTTCTGGCAACTCATCTTTTCAAAGGGATGCTTGCAATGTGTAATTAAGAGACACTCAGAAACATCAGCTGAGTATTGCATAAGTGAACCAACATGCTGGATGATATGGGCAAAGCTTTGCATAAGTTTGAGTTTGGGAATAAAAAAATCATCCTTGACCCCGCCTTTTCCTCACCGTGCCTCTGCTGTAATGATGGCATGCTTATAATGATGAAACTCGTTTAGTGCATAGGTCATGTTGCAAATGCTGGTGAGTGTGTGAACAGGATTCTGGGCGAGATAGATGAAGTCAATCATGGTGTGCACAGCATGGATGAAATTGGGAGGGGCAGCTCCCCACATTGTAGGGACTATTGTGCGCTGGATATCCCAATGTTCTCTTCCTGTCATCTGTTTCACATGAGAGACACCCAATCCAAAGTGGCATACCCCAATGCGCTTATGCTGGCTCCTGAAATGCACATCCAACTTGTGACCCATAACTTCTTTAATCCACTTCAAAACGTGGTCGAAGAAGAATTTAAGGAGAGTGTGAAGAATTTTTGGGGTGAGGAATTTTGCTGGGTTTGCAGACCTCCAATTCCTCCAGAATGGGAGGTGTATGCCACTCAAGTGCAGCTTCTTTGCTTCTTTGTTGAACTGGTAAAGGTCCCAAGGATTGACCCTAGTGCAAAGACCTCGTATGAGCTCATATGTATCTGCACCATTGCAGGGGGGTGTGGCACAGTGTCCCTGAACTCCGCCTGATTGGCTGTTGTGATAGGAGATGAATTCTTTGTGATGCATGCTATCATGAGTTGCTCAGGGAGATCGCTGATATGGCTAATGAGGGGAGTGAAGCAGTGATGCCAGTGAGCCAAAGGATTGGCCATAAATTCCCCAACATGTGCTGCCACCTTAAGATTTGACATAATGAAGTCCACACATCTGTGCCATAAATGTGATTGAAGGAGTGTTTGGTAATCTGAGTTCACCAGGAAGGTTGGCATTGGCATGAATGCCACACAGCACCAGGCATGTGATGTGGCCTTCATCTGAACATCCAATTGAATATTTCCAATGGTGAGGAATAAGGGATGCATTTCAAGTCCACCTGTGTGTCATGTGATGGGGGTCTTGTCTGAAGCCATGATTATTGGGACGATTGTAGCTCCTGGAGGGAGCTGGTCCTAGAACGAAGGGTTAGTTGAGGTTAGTTATGAATGAGACACGTACTTGTATAGACCAGGCATCATCTGATGTCCAGAATTCTCCTATCTCTCTCTCTGTCCCATTGTGGATGATATGGGGATCATAGCACATATGATTTGCATAGATGGGATTCGCAAAAAGTTGTTTTGTGACCTCCAAAGCATCCCTCCAGATAAGGTAGATTGGTTGTATGGACTCATAGCCCTTGATTCGTAATTCTGTACACTGCCACTTTGGTCCACACCCAGGAAGTGATTCCAAAAAAAAGAACAACTCATCCTTGGATTTGAATGACAGCTGCTCTCGTGTTTTGAACTAGAAATGTTTATCATGCTCAATGTGAGGAAGGAATAACTACAAGAGTCCCCACACTCATTCTAGCTTGAGAAATTGATCAATCTGAGTCTGTGAAAGGTTTTCAACCAGGAACCTGCCAAGCAACCATTCACCCAGGCCATCAAAAGGGTACCACAGATTGGCTGTTCATTGAGGCTGAAGATCATGTTCCTGCATTTCTTGGAAGATATTATGGGGAGGTGGGCGCTCAGGAAGTATGTAGTGGTAGCCAGAGGTAGGGTGGTATTTTCCTTTCACATTACTTTCTGGTGCTCATTTCAATCCTTTCAGTGCAGGGAACATTTCAGATGCAGCCATATAACATGAATCTGCACTGTTTAGATGATCCACGATAGCCTCATGAGATTCATACTGCTTCTTGCAGATAGGACATGAGATATTGGCTGTCCTAGGAGTAGCACTGGAAAGGTGTCAGATGCAATAGCGCACACCAAACTAACCTCTATGGACCCAAAATGTCCAGTTCTGAAGGCATCAAGGTCATCTGTAAATTCCTGGAAGAAACCTGCATCATTTGGGTTGTAATTTCCTGGCTGTGGTTGCTGTGTAGTTTCTGGTGGGTTGAATATGATGAAGTCTGCTGCAGCAAGTCTTCCATTCACCCAAAAAATGCCTAAGTCTTTCATAGTCCAACTGTAGAGTTGGACTATGAAAGACTTAGGCATTTTTTGGGCAAGTCAAAACTCAATACAATAACTTATTGTTGTACCATCATAGGCCCACCATATGCAGCACATCAACATTGTGTAGTTATAAATGTCTCCCACACGCATTGCTCTACATAGGTCCTACTCTGGACCCACACCTCCTCCTTCTAGTCCCCTTCATTGCACCCAAGATGATATTGCCAAGTCCAACAATGTTCTTTCCTTCAATAGACCAAAGGGTCATGACCCATGTTTAGATGATGTCTTCACAATAATGGAGAGCTCTCCTTCAAGCATAACGGATTCACAGTATATGATTCTTTTAATGCCTAAGTCAAGAGGTTTCCCTTATCTTAGGGACTCTCTTTCTTCCAGGAGCTCTCCCTCTTCTGGGGACTGTCCTTCTCTTGAGGACTTGGGTAATGGATCCATTGGACCATTGCATAGCCTGAAGAAAGCCACTGGATATCAACCCTACAGGATGCTTTCCACCAAAGAAGAACACATGTTTGCAAACATGATAGGAAGACATACTATCTGTGATGATTCAAGCAGTTCAAGCAGTGACACGGTAGGATATGGCTACTATATACAACATTCTGAGTAACACTAAATTTATTTCTAGAATTTAAACATCTTTTCATGTGGCATAAGGTCATTCAATCGAGAGGGAGTCCACTGTGTGCTAGCATACAAGGAAGCTGCACAAGAGCACAGATGGGCTTGTGTTGAGACTTCTGCTTGGGAAATGGAGGAGATGAAACAGCTGCAGCAGGTCATCGAGTATATTGGTGATGCAGAATGAGACAAGTGAGAAATTGCAGCTGGTGAAGCCGAAGTCTTCAAGCACTTACTGATCAACTATGATGAGCAGCAAGCATCTGAAAATGCTGCCCATCTCACAGTCATCTGTCCTAAGGAGCAATCTAAACTTGATGTTATTGATGACGAGCTTGATGAACTCCAGCTACATGCCATCTGAACCAACCTTCTGATCATCAAAGATGATACTGGCACTGGTGTGGTAGCTGATAAATCCGACAATCTCCAAGCTGATAAGGATATCAGCTTGGGCACATAGATCAGTCTGATTATGTGGTGTGTACAGTCCTTAATTACATTGACAGATGCATTGATAAAGCATCTTATCAGTAGAGGAGATTGGGTACCAAATCTTAGGTGCTCAATGTCATCAGGTGCCATATTCCTATCTTTCAAATCTTTCAGTTCTTGGTGGTGTATTCATCAAACCCCTTTTTCAATTCAATGATAGATGGCGTCACATCAACATGTGCTGTCCCGCATGTATACCTTCCTTACCTATTCGAGAAATCCATTATGATCATCACCACACTTGTTTACACCAAGTGATCAGCAACCTAAGGCATGTAAACTGACTCATAAGAAACAGCCTCCACCAAAGTCAACTCTCTAGATCCACACATGCCACCTGCAAGTACTGCCAGAGGTACTGGAGGACGATGAAGACGCAGTGCAGTAACCAGGGTATGTGTTCCATGATGGACTTGGCTTTGACTCAGCTGACTACTCGCAGAATTACCCAGTTGTTAGACAACCTGGACTTAATATCACTGGGAATCAATCCAGAGACCAAGTGGGCAGTACAGCAGAACAACCACCATCCATCATCAATGATATGAAATTCTCCTACAACTCACCACCTCCCCAGCATGTGCATCCCCAGCACTTGCCTCTCCACCATGCACCTCCCCAGCATTTGCCTCTCTAGCATGCACCTCCCCATCACATGCCATCACAGCACCCCCAGCAATCGCACCCTGACTACTACATGAGGCCACCCGGCACTACCATTATACCACCCAGCTACCAAGAGGTGATAAACTCACCTCAAAGGTCTGTGCTCACTGGGGAGTACCCCAGGACATCTGGTCCTGATTGGAATGTTTGAATCAGACATTGTGACCCATCGAGATTCAAGGTTGCGTATGCACTTGCACCAATGTGCTTCCATGACGATGTACCAGGCCTATTCATGGATGGCATGGTACTTGTAAGTCTCATTTTATCTATGCATTAATTTTTTATTGATTGAAACCAAGGCTGTAGGCGACAATTCAACAGTAGAGAGGACACAAACACAGTGTTTCATGCTCCCTCCTATTGCACCACCGAGGGGAGTGGCTTCTACATCTTCTACCTCAAATTTGCAGCCTCAGCCTGCACCTGCATCCACATCATTGGCTCCAATTTTGTGGCCCACACCCACATCCACACCACCCAGGACCTTAGCAGGATCATCTTCATTACTAACTGTTCAGCCTCAGCCTGCACCCACATCCACATCATCAGCACCAATTCCACAGCCCACACCCGCATCTGCACCACCTGGGACCTCGGCAGTATCATCTTCATTACTAACTGTTCCCCTGTCCTTTGCACCCTTGGACTCTAATTTACCCTATAACCCCAAAAATAACACTCATAAAGAAATAGCCAAGGTGGTGAAGAAAAACCTGATGGGGAAGGTAATCAATTTTTTTTTTTTAATCATTGTTTATTATCCATTGGGGCCATGCCCTATGGTAGACAAAACATACAAGTATTTTACTGTTTTTATAAACTATTTACTTCTTTCGGTTGTGTGGTGTACAATCATTGGTCCAGGCATAGTGCAAGAACGTTTAAGGCCAGCTAAAGGCGATATGGTATAGGGGGCCCAGTGTGGGTGCACTTGTTCATTCTTCATCTTCTTTGTCATCTGCCGGTGGCATTACATCACTGAATGTCTGCTCTAGCCTTTGTGTGCTCGCAATGAAGCGTAGCAATGGTTTGACGCATTTCTTGTGGTTCAGGAGGTTCTTGAGATGACTTGCTAGGGGGCCTAACTCATTGTGGAGTGCTAGTCGTTGTCTCGTGTACTTTGGACATGCTAGTATGAAGTGGTGGACAGTCTCTTCTCATTGGAGGCACTGTTTGCAGGTAGGGCTGGGGACTTTCATTATGCGGTGGAGGTGTTTGTTCAGTGGTGCATGCCCTGTACGGAGTTGGAACAATAGAGAAGAGTGGCATCTTGGCAGCCATTCGACTAGCTTGGAGAAATGTTTCAATGGGGCTGTCATGTCGAGTTTGTGGAGGCGCTTGTATCTTGGTGAGTTCTTCATGATAGTTGCTGCTTCATCTTTGATCTTTTTCAAGAACCTTTGTTTCAAGGCCAATTTGCTGACTGGGAGGGTGGCAATTGCTCCATTGCGTGACTTTAGGGACTTTGGGATGGCGTGGGGTTCGCTGTTGTCTCCTTGTGTGGCTAGCTTTGCCTGCTCGTCAGCCGCTTCATTGCCAGGGATCCCCTGGTGTCCTGGTGTCCATCTTACTTTTAGTTTGCAATTGTCTTGCACAGGGATCAGCTTACACAGGTCGTCGTGGAATATGTCCATAAGATAGTGGCCTGGTTTGGATATGAAGGCATTGGTGGCACTGATGGCTGCCTGGTTGTCGACCCCAAGGGCCATGGTTCCTCCTCCTCCTTCCTCCCTCAGTAGCTCGACTGCTAGTGTCATCCCCACTATTTCTCCCTCATAGACCGTGTGCTCTCAGTCGTTTCCCAGGTGAAACCACGTCTCCTTTACCACCTCACCTCCTCTCATTAGGACCACTGCTCCTCCTACCCCTCCATCCACTGCTGATCCATCAGAGTAGGCCTGCAAGTCTTCATCTGCCTCGGCGTCGTTCATGATGGCTGTTTCCAGGTCTCCTGCGATATCCGTGGTGACATTGGGTGCCCATTTAGGGTAGTGGCGGGTCGGTGTGATGATTTCTACTGTGTATGGGTTGATGTTGAATTCGTTGAGTAGGCGATGTATAGGCGATGGGTGTCTTTTGCAGCTCTGGAAGTTTCTTCTGGTACACAAGTTGTACGCTGTGCAGAGTCCCTTGTGGAGGGGGTGTGTGTGATGCAATGTGGTCATCCGTAGGATGGCCCTCTGGCAGATTTTGCATAGCAGCTGTTGAAAAGGAAGGACGTCAGCGTGTGCATCAAGGAGATCAGTAGCGGTAGTTCTCATTCCCCCAGTTATCATGGTTGTTGCCATTCTCTGAACCCTTGCCATTTTCAAGGCGAAGCCTCTTGCACCTCGTCCTGCTGCTTTGACTCCTTGACCTTTTGCTATGAGGCCTGAGCACCACACATCAGCGGCATAGAGCATTTTAGGGATCACTACACCCTCATATAACTTCTTCAGTAGGCAGCCGTGAGCTCCTTTCGTTGCACATGACATTCTTTGACACGCCATGGTGTATTTGGTGCCCTTCGCGAGTGCATATGTCACATGCTCTTTGAATGTGAGTTCTTCATCTACTATTACCCCTAGGAACTTGTGGGAGTGGGATGGTTCAATGACGTGTCCACAGATGGTGATGGATGGTCAGGGGATGGGAATGCTCTTTCCTGTTCTGTTGGGGTCTGGCATTCATCTGCGAGATACACATAGCAGAGCTGTTTTGTCTAGTTCGAAGTCAGCATTGTGGTCTCTGCTCCAGTCTAAAGTGCCCCCTTGTTTTTCCATCATGGTTTTGAGCTTCCCATTTGCTTCTTCATAGCTCTTGCCTTGTGCAGCTATTGCTATATCATCTATAAAGCCCAGACTCAGTTCCCCTCAGCGTGGGTTGGGGTCAGTGATACAAAGGACGGGAGAGTTATAAAATAGGAAACCTATTACTGACAAAGGGCATCCTTGGTCAACCCCGTTTGAGACATTGAATTGGGCTGAGCGGTAGTCGTCAAAATGCAAGGTGGTCGTTCTATTGCTTAGTCGTCTTTTGTACCAGTTGATATATTCGAGTGGGATGCCTGCTTGTTGCATGTTGTGAAGCATTCAGTTGACTACTACACTCAGGAATGCCACCTTGATATCTAGGAATAGGATTGATACAAAGTGGTCTGTCGATGCCCAGGCGTCTGTTGCAAATTTTGTCAGTAGGTGAAGGGAGTCTACTGTTGATTTTCCTGGGTGGCCTCTGAAGTGTGTAGGCGGGAGGAGGTTGTGGTGTTCAGCTATATAAACCAGGTCATCAGCAACACATGAAGATAGGATCTTACCCATTGTGTTGAGCAGCGTGATGGGCCTGTAGGCTTTCAGTAGGCTATAGTTTGGTCTTCCTGGTTTGTGGAGCACTATAGTAGATGAAAGTTTCCAGTCCTCTGGGTAGTAGTTAAGGTCAAATGTTGCACAGAATATTGGCCCCATGTATGGAATAAGCAGGTCTTTGCATTTCTTGTATATGCAGTTGGGTACCCCATTTGGGCCAGGAGCTTTGAACAGTGAGAGTTTTGCTATTGCTCAGGAGATTTGGGTGTCAGTTATAGGTGCAAACTCGCAAATGGGTGAGATATAATCAAAATTGGGCTCAACATGTTCATCTTCTGGGGGAGGTCAGAAGAAGGTCTCGTAGAGTAGCTTACTCTTTCTCTTGTTGTCCTGTGTTACATTGTTGCCTCCCAGATCTTGCAGGTCTTGCAGGGTCTTGATTCTTGTGTGAACTTGGTCTGTAGGGTCACTGGCTGTGTATCTGTGGAAGTCCCAGATGTTTGTTGGTGTTAGCGCTTCGAGCCATTCTTCCCAGTGTTCCTTCTTTGCCTTCTTGATGTTTTCGGAGAATCGGTTGTAGGCAATGCGGAACTCTTCATGGATGGGGTCTTGTCTCCTGGCCAGTCGATCTCTAGCTTTCCATCCGAGCTTGTGTACTTGCTTTCGTTCGACATCTAGGTCTGATGACCACCATCATTTGACATATGGTGATTGCTTGGATTTCAGGACATGCTCTTCCACTGTATTAGCGATTGCTTGGGTAAGGTGTGCAAATGTTTGCTGGAATTGATCCATGGTTTTGATGTCAGTGTGCAGCAGAGATGTTTCTAGGTAAGTAGATAGGGCTTCTCTGAATTCTTTCCAGTCAACTTCTCTGAAGTTCAATCGTGGTGATGGGTTGATGCATTCTGGTTGTAGGTCTATGGTGCTAATGATTGGGAAATGGTCAGTGATAATGGGACAGAGTTGATATTCTACAGCACATTGGGTGAAAGTATGTTCAATTTTGACAGAACAGAATGCATTATCTGGGTGGGTGTGATTTTTTGTGTTTGATGCCTCAAGTGTTGCAATGCCTTGTGGGAGTGCTTGATTGAGATTATATTCAGCTAATAGATTAATTAGTACTTCTGTGGCATCTAGGTTCACCGCAGTGAAGAGGTGGCTGTTGCTCATCATCTCCCACATTGGGTGATGATGGTTGAAGTCTCCTAGCCAGATCATGTGCATGCTCATTTCTCTGGTCCCGCCTTGAGTGGGATTTGTTCGATTACAATTTGCTGTCTCTTTTGTTACTAAGTGTCGCTCCATAAATTGGAGGGTGCATGCATGGTCACAGGCATTGTAGATATTATAGATACATACCTTACCAAAGTCTCTGTGGAGCTCAATCACTGTAATGTTGGGTGAGTCGAGTGGGATTATGTGCCAGTTATTTTTGGATAGTTTCTTGTTGACGAGGAGGATGGATTGAGTTCATTCCAGGTTGGCGTGGTGATTGGAGGGGTATATTACGTCCCAGAATTGTCTGAGGTTGGATGCGTTAGCTAAGCCTACTGGGTTGAGGAATGGTTCCTGTATGCATGCTAGATCATAGGTGTTCAGGTTGAGGTTCTGGAGCATGTGTTCCCAGGCACTGGATGATTTTCTTAAGTTTTGCTGCCATATTTTGAAGTCTGTTCTAGGAAGTTGTTGGTTGTTGTGGTTGTGCTGCATTAGTCAAAGCCTGAGGTAGGGGTTCTTTCGGTTGGGTGGTTTGGGGGTGGGGATAGGGACCAGCAAGGCGTGGATTGAGGGGGAGGAGAGAGAGAGGGGGAGGGAGGAGGAGGTTGGTGCAGCGGGTTGGTCGGAGTTGTCTGTATGGTCGCATTTCCATTGTTCTGAGGGTGGGAGGATAGCCAGTTAGACATTAGGTGTGCTTGCAGGTTAGTGCCAATCAGAATGTGGTTGGGGTTATCACGGGGGTGGCAGCAATGGCCTTGACCTTGTGTTCCTTGCTGACGGTTGGGTTGTTGCATGGTCTTCTGTTGCTGGGGAAGGTGTGTCTGAAGTCATCCATAGTTGCCTTGGTTGTTGAGGTCTGTTGTTGGCTGGCTCCATGCTGTCTGGGTTGGGGGCTCGTTCCACTGTTCAATGTTGCCTTCTAGTGTTTCCCAGGTAAGGGGGTCATCCATTGGGAAGTAGCGGTATTTGGCATCTTCTGATCATTTCTTAGCATGTTCCCATTTGTCGATGAAGGTGGGGCATTCCCTGCTCCAGGATGTGTGTCCCTGGCAGTTACAGTTAGTACATTGATAGAAGTTTGGGTCATCTACTTTGCATGTTGCAGTTCAGTGTTCAGCTCTGCATGTGCCGCACATGTCGTGTTGTTGAGTGCATTCTGCTGCAACGTGAGTTCCATCGAAGGATTGGCATTTGAGGCAGCATGTTGGTTCTGGTAGAAGTTTGCATCCAAAGACTTTCTTGCCCTCCATGGAGATGCCGAAGTGAAGTATTTGGTTGGTGCTCTCTTTTGTCTTGAGGGTGACAATTGCATGTGCTGTTTGTTGTGTAGGGCTTCGCCTTGTGATCAGTTTAATCCATCTTGCTTTTGTGATCGATCCTGGTTTGAGACCTCCTTTCTTTTTGATGTCCAAGTTGGTGTATATGGATCCAGGGTCGTATGAGATAGGTATATTTTCCATTAGGATGTGGAAGGAGCAGTCCTTGATGGTGGCATTGGTGCTGAAGTTTACGACAAACTTTCCTCGGTGGGCTGGTATTTCGAACCATTGTGCTGATTTCACTGAGTCAAGTTCGTACAGGATGCCGCTGTGAGGTAATCTTTGTACTGAAATGAAGGTGAGTCCTTGAGGGATTGTTACACCATCCTTTTCTACTAGTTCTAGGGTTATCTTGGCTTTTGCTACAAGTTCAAATTCCATTAGTCCTTTCAGCATGTCTATTTTGCCATAGGAGTGTCTGTCGATTAGGATTTGTTTTGCTTGGGCTTTGCTGCAAACTAAGAGTTTGGTTAGCAGAGGGGGAGCATTAGTTCTGGCTGCATTCACATATGTTTTTGACCCTTCAGGTTGCATTGCATTGGGTAGGTCTTGTGTTGCCATGGTGGCATTCATGACCACCTTCTTGATGCTTTCTGATGAGACAAACAAGTTGCCACATAGCTCAGTTACTGTGCTTTCTAGCACAGTAGTGTGGGTTGTTGTGGCTTCTGCAATTGCCCCTGCTTTTTCTTCTAGTTGAGCAATAGGGCCTTGCATGAGGGAATTGATCTTTTCTATAAGGTTAGCTGCATCTAGGTTTTCTTCCGCTTCAATAAGTAGTATGGCTATGGCCCATAGGATGTCAGTTTGCATGGCTCCTAGGGTGGCTGCTATACTAAATTCCAGTAGTGCATGAGTGGTTTGTTTGATGACGTTGCATGTGGTTGGAAGGTTGAGACCATGCAATAATAACAGTTTTTTGGCTGTGGTACTATCTTTGATCATTGACATGGTTTCTGTTCCTGTTATATGTTCAGTTATGTCTTTGCTTATTGATAACAGAGGTTTGCTAGCAGTTGTTTTGCGCCCTCTAGTGGGCACTGGCAGTGCAGGAGAATGGTTAGTGTTTTTGGATAGGTTTTGTGGCATTAGTGCCATTTTTACTTTATGTTTTTGTGTTTCTTTGAGAGTGTATAGTATGTGTATGAAGACTATTAGAGGAAAGGAAAGAAAGAAAAGAAACTGTAAAGGCGTTGTTGATGCCTTCAACACCGATAGGCATGATGTTGAAGTTTTTGGTTTTCGGGGTCCTTGTAGGGGTACCACTTGGTGCGGGTCCAAGGTGTGTTTTCAAGGTAATCAATGAATGTGGGTTACTGACCCATGATCAGAAAGAGACCTTCATAGAGGTGAGCTTGTGTGTTGCCCTTTCGTCAATTTTCAATGAACATAAGTTGCATGCCCAAATGTGTACATTCTGTCATTAATGAATTAACTTTATCAGACACTTTGAAGCTGTGGGCCTCAAACAATGTCACTGCAATGTACAAGACAGTGGCTGCACCTGTTTTGATCATACTTAGTGCATTCAGAACTGTCACACAAGGACTTGTCCAAGTCCTATACAACTTGTGCCCATCAATCTGGTCATCTGTATCCAAACTCCAACACAAGATTGTTGTGGTGGAGCGCCTCATGGACAAAGAAACACTCGAGTTCATTTATGGACGAGTTCACAAAGTGAGTTGATTTATATTTCATTGAATCTCACTGAACAATTACAGCTGCCTAATGGACAAGATATTTGCTACCCATTTGAACACAAGGCCATTATTAATGTAGTCCTCAATGCAACTTTCCTCACAGGTTATGCACAATTTGTCCTACTTAAAGGGATGGACTCATTCAATAACCTTATGGCCATGGGTGCTTGCACTGTCCTTTGTTGTCTTCAAGAATTCACGCCTGGATCCCACCACTCCATCAACTTTGCAGCAGCAATTTTCAAGTCTTGGTACAACAAATTTATGGGTTTCATCTCAATGATGATTAGGGAGACATCGCAGTTATGGGATAGATGGGTGAACTTGCACACACAAATGCTCCGTAGAGGTTGCTTGATTGGAGGGCTTGATGATATCAATATCTCTGTATTATAATCTGTAGTTGTTATCATACAGTACTATCATACAATATCATATCATATCAGCATCTACACGCTCGATAAACAAACAATCGGCATCTCCGTTATTGCAAAAAATGTTCACTTTCAACACAACGGCATTATATCACCAAATTCAGCGAGTACGAGAGGCACTCCCTGACCTATACCTAAAGCGTCGCTCGAAAAGCTGCTTTTCGAGCGGTTCAACACTCAGATGAGGGGTGAGTGTACGTTACGTTTACACGCGCGTATCGCCGAAGTGGTTGATGACGAGAAGAAAAAAAGTATCATCGACTTAGGTAACAGTCGCCGATTTAAATGTTTTTGGGATAGGAACCGACTCGGAGCCACCCTGTCATAAAGGGTGCCCATACTCCGGAGTCCTAGCCATACGTGCTCCCATCAACGCAAGCTACATAGTTGTTTCATGATGGCAACCACTAGCGGGGTCTTTGCGTTCGAACACATTCGAATTCAGCCTGATTCCTCAGGCTGAACGTTCTGAACTTCCAGAATATAAACTTCAAATCAAGTGAGTGCAGAACGTAACGTAACGTCACTAGCAACGTTCAAACGAGGATGAAATTGCAGAATCATGCGCTTCTAAGTTCTCAGCGGGACTACTGAGGGTTTCTGCTAAACAGGTTCTGTCATAAAATCCTGCAGGTCATTCAAAAGTCACTGCCAGACTTCCATGGCACTGCAGCTACTTACTAACCGACACTGATTTATTGCATAGATGAATTTTATGGGACTCGTCCCGGGCCCAGTCACATTTCAAGCTAACGTAGTCGCTTCAAGTTCGAAGCCTGCTATTGTTCGCCTTCAGTGGTGTTGCTAGAGTAACGTTCTGATACTTTTAATGCCGACCACTATATAAAAAGGCCCAGCTAGGAAGGGTGCCTCAGGAAGATGGTTCCCTCTAGATCGCTTTCACCTCTTCTTGCTCTGCCGGCGCTCGCCTTCCTCTCGCTATCAGCGAGCGCTTTGCCTCATGCTCGGGCAGCGTCAAGCACAGCTGCTCTCAAGCTCGCCGTTAGAATAAACTCATATGGGATCAAGAACATTGCGGCTGCAGATCGAGCTCGAATCCAAACCTTACAAGCTGGCGGCAGTTCTTCTGTCAATGCAACCAATGACGTGATGATATACACTGCTGACATTGGCGTGGGGAGTCCGGCAACGTACTGTAAGCTGCTCGTGCTCCTGTGATTTCTTTGTCTGACGTGTTGTCAATTTCATACAGACACACTCCTGATAGACACTGGAAGCTCAAACACCTGGATTGGGGCCAACAAGGCTTACGTGCCAACTTCTACGAGCCATGACACAGGCGGTACATTCGTGAGTCTTTGTCTCTACGTGGCACATACATTTTGTCAAACCGTTTCCAGTATGTTACATACGGCGATAACAGTTACGTTTCTGGAGAGGAATACACAGACACTGTAACGCTCAATTCTGATCTGGTCATCGACAACCAATCTATTGGCGTCGCATCTAAAAGCGACGGGATGGGTGATCTGGATGGAATTCTTGGTGTTGGACCAGTTGATTTGACGGAGGGTACCGTCAGTAATGCAGATGAAGTTCCAACTGTGACGGACAACCTCTATGCTCAGAAAAAAATCAGTTCGGAAGTACTCGGAGTGTTCTTCGCGCCTGCTTCCTCTGATGATAGTAGTGGCGAGCTCACATTCGGCGGTTATGACGCCTCCAAAATTACTGGAGGCATCAACTATGTACCGATCACATCGACATCTCCAGCGAGCGATTATTGGGGCATTGATCAATCCATCAGCTATGGATCTAAGCCCATTTTGGATGAGACAGCTGGTATTGTCGATACCGGGACCACACTCATTCTCATTGCCTCCGGTAGGTGTCCTGTATACGATATCAAAACCTTTCTAACTCACTATTCAGATGCCTTCGCTAAATATCAGGCCGCTACGGGAGCAACCCTCGATGAGACCACTGGCTTGTTAGAGATCTCATCTGAGCAGTACGACCAGCTCTCATCCTTGTATTTCACTATTGGTGGGGTTACTTATGAGCTCACCCCGAATGGGCAAATTTGGCCTCGATCGTTGAACAGCGCCATTGAAGGTACTACCGACGGCATATACCTGATCGTCAGTTCCACTGGGAGCCTCTCTGGTTCTGGCTTGGATTTTACGAACGGCTACTGTTTCCTGTATGCTGAGCTACATTTTTTCTGGGAAAATAGATTACTGAATTGTTCTTCTACAGCGAGCGGTTTTACTCGGTGTATGACACGACAAACTCCCGAGTCGGGTTCGCCACCACTAAGTACACCTATGCCACGACCAACTAACTGCGGTCCTTCAAGAAGTACCCGGGGCCGCATCAACATACCCACAAGAACATTCGTTACTTGACCATTCGTTACTTATTTCATCACATTCATTTTTACCCCGTTGACGTCCGAGTCATACTCATGAAACAATACGCTACTAATCCCAATTTAAACATTCTTGCTCCGCTTCCGCTAAACACGAGGCCTCTACCAGAAGATGCAAACCAGCTGCCCGATACTCCCCTTCCTCGGTGAAAATTGCGCTCAGCAGCAGAAGACAGTAGTAAACGACCGAAGCTATCTACCAATTCCATAGCCTGCATTTCTTTGCACAACCTTTACCGTAGTACAGCCTTCAACGTTTCAAATTTTCCGTAAGAGTGCTGTGTTAACGGCAGCTAGGCAAATAAATGCGAGCAACATGGTCAGGTGCGAGACGCGTGAATGAGTATCGATGAAATGTCCGAGCAAAGCACAACTAATCAATACCTGTTTAATTTTAAGAGACCCGGTAGGACACCCCTAACATGTTCACTTCAAGGTATATATACCGACAGGTATTTATGCTGCCTTAGTAGATGCGGCATGCATCGTCACTCATAATATTTCTTCCCACTGTACATCGTCCCTCTTCCGTATCCCTTTTTCGTGTCATCTATTGCTTTGGTGAAGAATGTGTCATTCGGGTGGGGCTTGCAAACCGAGCAAGCACTCAACGCTTGAGTCAACAATGTCGTTATATTCAAAAAAAAAACATCATCTAAGCATATGATGTGAATATGCAATAAATTAGACCAAATGCATATAGGCATAGGTAGTGTGAAGGAAACGAGATGAGGAGCGCAAAACCACTGGTAGGATGCCAACCAGGGAAAGAACGAGATATCACAGGTGGCTTAAGGCACCAAGAATGACAGGGAGACGTGGTGAGGTCAACATGAGCAGCGGGAAACTGCGGTAGGTGGCGGTGGTAGCGCCGGGTTAGCGGTAGCACGAGACGGGTCATGGTCGGGTATGTAACACCAGATTCGTGGAAGGGCGAGGAAGGGTCTGTGTTGGCGTGCCATTGTAGTGAGAAATTGCAGAAGACGTTGCCCTTGAAATGTGAGGACTGTGGAAGTGCAGGAGGTTGAGAGATCAGGCGGTCACGCAAGGGCGACAGGAAGTTGCAAGAGGTCGAAGTGGGAAACAGAAGACTGTGGCAAGTCGTGGCGGCAGCGCGAGGAAGGTCCTGGTTGAGTGTGTTAGTGTGTAGCAGGAGGTGGCAGGAGGTTGGCCCTAGGTGGTTGTGCCGATGGCAGCGCCGTACTATAGCTGCAGGATGTTGCTGAGGTGGCACTTGGATGTGGGAGGCGCAAGCGACAGGAGATCGTGGTTGACAGCGACGGGGATATGGTTTCAGTGTATGTTCACGTTTAGACACGCGTACGGTGAAAATTGGAGGCTGTCACATCGTGGTTGATGACGAGAAAAAAATAGCAAAGAGTATTCGACTTACGTCGCCGCCAACATCCTTGGCAGAACGTTATGTAAACAATGTTCAAATGAGTCTGAAATTGCAGAATTACGCGCTTCTAAGTTCTGCACTACCGTGACTGAGGGTTTCTGCTAAACAGGTTCTGTAATGAAATCCTGCAGGCCATTCAAAGGTCATGGCCAGCTGGACTTCTGCTGCAGTTATTTACTAACCGACACCCATTTCCTGCATAGATAAATTTCATGGAACTCGAATGTATCTTCGCGCGTTTCAAGTCAACGTAGTCGCTTAGAAGCCTTGCTATTGTTCGCCCCCGGTGGTGTTGCTTCCGATGTCTTAATACCGACACAGCATATAAAACGGCCCAGCTATAGAAGGATGGCTCAGGAAGATGGTTCCCTCCAGATCATTTTCATCTCTGCTTGCCCTGCCGGCGCTTGTCTTTCTCTCGCTGTCAGCGAGCGCTTTGCCTCATCCTCGGACAATGTCAAGCACAGCTGCTCTCAAGCTCGCCGTAAGAATAAACTCGTATGGGATCAAGAACATCGCGGTTGCAGATCGAGCTCGAATTCAAATCTTACGAGCTGGCGGCAGCTCTTCCGTCAATGCAAACAATACTGCAATGATATACACCGCTGACATTGGCGTGGGGAGTCCAGAAACGTACTGTGAGCTGCTCGTGCTCCTGCAATTTCTTTATCTGACGTATTGTCAATTTCATACAGACACACTCTTGGTGGACACCGGAAGCTCACTTACCTGGATCGGAGCCAACAAGCCTTACAAGCAGACTAACACAAGCCATGACACACGCAATCAATTCGTGAGTATTTGTTTCTACGTGACACATTTTGTCAAACCGTTTCCAGTATATTGCATACGCCGGTGGTAGTTCCATTGAGGGGGAGGAATACACAGACACCGTAACGCTGAACTCTGATCTGGTCATCGCCAACCAATCTTTTGGCGTCACATCTGCATCTGCCGCCTCAACTATGCGTGGTCTGGATGGAATTCTTGGCCTTGGTCCAGTTGGTTTAACACAGGGCGTCGTCAGTAATACATATGAAGTTGCAACTGTGATGGACAACCTCCATGCGCAGAAAAAAATTAGTTCGGAAGTACTCGGAGTGTTCTTTGCACCTGCTTCCTCTAACGATACCAACGGCGAGCTCACATTCGGCGGTCATGACGCATCCAAAATTACTGGAGACATTAGCTATGTATCGATCACATCGACATCTCCAGCGAATTCATATTGGGGCATTAATCAATCCATCAGTTATGGGTCTATGACCATTTTGAATGAGACAGCTGGTATAGTCGATACCGGAACCACACTCATTCTCATTGCAACTGGTAGGCGTCCTATGCGACATTGAAACCCTTCTAATTCACTGTTCAGATGCCTTCGACAAATATAAGTCTGCTACGGGGGCAACCCTCGATGAGAGCACTGAATTGTTAAAGATCTCATCTGAGCAGTACAACCAGCTCTCATCCTTGTATTTTACTACTGGTGAGGTTACTTATGAGCTCACCCCGAATGGGCAAATTTGGCCTCGATCGTTAAACCACGTCATTGGCGGCACCACCGACGGCATATATCTGGTCATCAGTGACATTGGGAGCGACTCCGGTTCTGGCTTGGATTTTACGAACGGCTATTGTTTCCTGTACGCTGAGCTACATTTTTTGCCGGGAAAATAGATTACTGAATTATTCTTCCACAGCGAGCGGTTTTACTCGGTGTATGATACGACAAACTCCCGAGTCGGGTTCGCCACTACCGAGTACACCTATGCCACGACAAATTAACTACGGTCCTTCGAAAAGATCACGCACCCGGGACTATATCGATATACCCACAAGAACATTCGTTACTTATATACCTCATTTAACCCTGTACGAGTCGTACTCGTGAACAACATGGCGCTTCCAGAATCTGCTAGAAGCTCTGCCAGCTTCTTTGGATCATCCTAAGCTCACGTCACTCGGATCAGTCTAATTGGAATACCCGACGAACCTCATGCACGAGAATGGTGATGTGTGACTCACTGACCTGTTACCACTCCGAAATTGTTCGGCTCCTATAGCAAGGTATGGGCATTGGCTTATTTACAGCAGAGGTGAAGACCTCGTTTACCGCTTAACAAGCATGAACCTCATATAATACAAGAGATCCGTTATTTTCCTGATGCAGTTCCGATCTTTAGGGCAAATAAAATTTTATTCAAGCTCTCAATGACAGCATTCAGGGGAAGTTACCGTGGGCTTCCTTGCGATCACGTAAAGTACAAACGCCTCGCAGGCTGGACCTTGGCATCGCTCACGTTTTGAACACAGCTATCATGAAGCATCTCCGTGCTGGTATTGTTCGCTCTTTTGGACATCACGAGTACATATTTATCAGTGAGTTTTCGCTGATCTGATTCCCCTGCGTACCATTTTCTTTCTTTGAGATCAACAGCACTATTCGATCTTCTGTTCATAGCGCAGCTAGTATTCGATCTAAGAGTCACTCTGACAATGTCGATCCCACTGAACGCCAAAATCATCAGTGAGGCGCTGGAAGCGTAAGTGCCATACCCGTGCTGTGTTCCTCGGTTTCCTAACCCCTCTTACCAGTTCTCAAGCTGTTGTAGGTTATTAAGTATGTATCCAATGGTCCAGGCTGAGGAGACATCTGAAGGCTGTTGGCATCCTTGGCTTCACAATTCTGGTATGGGATCATGCGATCACTTTGGCAGATGAGGTCTGTCTTTACTATTTTGCTGGCCCATTGGCTAACCCACCGCAGGTAGAGATCATATGGGGTCGTCCGAAGAAACTCTGTAAGCTCGTCCATTGATTGTTTTCTTGGTAGTGACTTCAACTTTCAGTGACGTTTTTATTCTTGCTCGTACGTCGGTGGCCAGAAAATGACGATTCCTACCTGACTTTGGTGTAGAATCGGTACCTCACACCTATTGGTTTCATCGTGAACCTTGTTGGTAAGTTCTGAATGCGTGTTGTGCCGACCAGTGACGCTTCAATGATCATGAAGCACATAGCCTGCCTTCTTGGTCGTTCATAGTCAGTACTTTCAGTTTTTCTCTGATGAAGATAATATAACGAGAAATGTAGAAGTAAGACATCCAATTTAAACTTCAATGCGTTGTGACAGGTACATAGGTGCGAGCATTTCGTTCGGTACGAGGGCGCTATGACGGCAGTTGGCATTCAAGTTGCGGGATTGATGATGTTCCTGCGGTGAGCTCTCAATTGAAATCTACCAATCATCACCATGCACAATTCCTGAATCCTATCCGTCAGTGTTCGAGCTATGTACCGCGGCAACAGATATGTTGTGATCCTTGTAGCATTATTGTTGTTTGTTTGGGTGGCAGTTGGCGCTTGGCTGTTGTCTCATGGCGTGGGTGAGTGCCGAAGTCATTTGATGTGCGGTTCAGGTCCAGCTAATCTGTCGATCAGCTGTCCCTCAATCTTCTTCTATACATCGTAAACCCATCTATCTGGACGCTTCTTATCTCATCTACTCACAGTTTTCATGCAGCTTGTCGCATGGAGTTCTCTGATCGTGTGTATGTTATCCCTGCTTTTTAGCGAGTGGAATGTTGAAAACGAACTTAGAGGAAGTCTCGCATCCGCATGGGCATGGGTTCCTCTCTGTTATGACACGGTCGTCTTTGCTTTGACTTTGAACCGAACATTGCCCTCGATAAAAAATAAGGAGGCAGGGCATATCATCTACACGCTATTCACAAATGGAGTTTTATTCTACAGGTACGTTCCTGGATTGAACAATTACAGACTTTTGTATAATGTAATTTAACAGTGTAATGTGTGCCATAAACCTCATCTTTACCATCATGATTGTGAGGGCTCCACAAGGCTTGAAGAATATTACTGGACAGTACGTCTTCTATGTGTCATGTGGCATACTTAATTGGCTTTTTCTGAAACCGTTTTTTTTCAGACTTGAACTTATGTGAGTTTGGCCGATTGGTAGATCTAGGAACTGATTTCCGAATATCAATGGATAAATTTTGCAGATTAACGGTTAGTCCGATTCACGCAATTTCTTGCTTCATCTTATTCTCGGCCACATTCCTTGAATTCCTTGACAAGGTCGCAATGATGTCACGCATCACCCTCAGCTTAAAGAAGGAGGGCACACGTGGCTCTGCACCACTCAACATACATCCTAGAAGCAAATTTCCATGCCGCTTCGATTGTCAAAGGCCTGTCCAAGATATCACGAAGCTACAATCACCAACTTCTAGCTCCCAGACTTCTGCAATGAGAACAGAACTGTTCGAATCGCAAGGTCATGCAGGAGCTCTCGACGGTGATGTCTCCTCTCAAGGACAGCGAGACAGCGAAGTCTGCACCTGCTTCGCCTGCCCTGCAGTGGCCGATGCATTTGACCCTGCGGATGACGAACGCAGTCGGTACCGGGAGGCAATAGTTTGAATAAAAATTGTCATACAAACTACTGTATGACATAGACCTGCAAAGTACGTTACTCAAGTGGTCGATAATACATTCATTAAACCTCAGATGTTCAAACAGACTTAGCTTTTGCTCCGCCTTCCCCTTAAGTTTAAGCTCGAGATATCTTAAGGTCTTTTCCCAGTCACAAACTAATAGGCGAGTTTACGCAGATTTACGCAGATTTTTGTAATTATGAGCTATATATTGTTATATGTTCTTCTCAGAGATCCATCCATTCACTGATGCTCAGTGTTTATGGGCGTGAATGCGGGAGTCACAATGATGGTGTTCCCAGCGGGAGACATAAGACATTGAGGACGATATGTATCATGACCAACATGCCATATATGCTGTAGCACATCACATGTGCGTGTTGAGAATGATCCCCCACTTGCATTTGATGGTGGCAACGGCGGACTGGTGGGGGTAAGCCTCACCAGGGCAGACTCTGAGGTGCAGGGGTATGGGCCCCCTTAGATTAGATTGTAATGTCCCATATAGAAAAGTCTACTGACTCTGCCCTTTATGGAGAAGAAACTTGGACAAAAATATGACACAGACCGGTCCAGTAACAGACGTCATGGATCAAGCTGTCGTCAGGAGTCGGGCGGTTTAAAATTTGAACTACTGTGTAATAACCTCCAGGACCAGTGACCAATTTATCATACTTCAAAGTTCATACTATTCGTGTCTCGGACCGAGACTGTGATTCGAGTTGTTGCGCGCAACGACCTTGGAGCAAACTATGAGAAAAAGCGCACAATCATATATACATCGACATATCTAACTCCTCTAAACCTCCCCGACCGTCTTGATAATATTACCTCGAACCACAATGCGTTCATTGCGCCTCCAGAAATCTGCCAGAATTTCCGCTAGCTTCGTCGGATTGTCCTAATTTCACGTCAGCATAGACGAGTAAGCGTCTATCACAAGCAACTGACGAACCTCGTGCACGAGATGTCCCACACCCGAACCAGCCATGACTTCGAGCCAGAATTTGCCCTGCATTTGACCGACCATAAGTGTCGTATCAAGGCGCTCTGCACCTGCTAATACTAAGAGCCGTGCGGAGCGGAGCCCGAGGAATAAAGATGAAAGCGACGGGAACCAGCCTGAAAGAAAAATCGGTATGCAAGTCAAAGGAATAAGTATAGGCTTACTATCCCAGTATGGCGCCGTCGACCGGAGTGGTGTACGCCACTTGTATTTGAATCCAATATTTGCGCGCGTGCTGGGCGTAAGAGGAGAATCTGCAGGAACAATGATAGATGGGATTGAAACACGAGCAGAAACGGGGTTATGGATAAGGCCCGTATTGACGCTGTATGAGCAAGTATGAATATAGCATTTATGAAAGGTGACACGAAACACGAACTGCCACTCGATTGCTTCCTCAACGCTATCGAAACCCTCGGGTCGAGAATTGAGAATCGCGTGCATGTGAGGCAGCGCTTCTACTGCTGTACCTATTGGTGATAGGTCAAACTCGTGCAAATTACAGAATTTGATGTAATAATAGGTACCTTCTACTACATCCAAAACGGCCACTCCTGCGATATTAAATTTGTGTTGTTGAAGTATGGGACAAGCGCGAACGCAGACAGATCCTCCCATGCTGTGTCCAACAAGCTACTCAGGGTGTCATCAATCCAATATGCGTAAAAGGGAGAATGAAGTTCACCATTAAATTTGGAGCTGCTGCTACATCAGGATAAACCGTTTGTAGCAGAGCACAGAAATCCTCAACAAGGACATTGATAGATAGGTCTTCATCAGACTGAGATGATGTTGTCTTTCCTGGAACACGATGAGTATTTCGCATTCCCCTGAAGCGAATGCATACCATGTCTCCTGGCATCAAAGGCCAGGACACCGACATTGTCCCTCATGACCTCACTTATCTCTTTAGCGAGACATGCAAAGCTTGTACCTGCATATCCTGCACCGTGGTGGAATACAATAACACCCCCGCCGTCGTACTTCGGAGGAGTGTAATATACCCGAACGTCAAGGGCTCGGGTAGGGAGCGATATCTGCAATGCCTGAGAAAAGTATGAAGCAGGACTTAATGGATTGAATTCAGGATTTGGTGACTTTGGCTTTCGGGTAGACGTGCTTGGCCGTGGTCCATATAACAATGAGTAAGAAAGGATTGGACTCTGGATGGAAGGTGACCTACAGTGGAGGTGGCCCCATGCCAGTCGAGAGTTCGCCGATTCCATCAGCAATCTCAGATTGTTCATCATCATCCTCATCGTTTGGTGGTAGCTGCGGTAACTTTGCTATTCGGGCACTGATTGCAGAACGATATAGCGAGCTCATCTCGACAATCGTGAATCAGGAGTTCGAACGCGTCCAAATTCGGACCATGCAACACGGGTTGATTAGTAAGCGAACATTGTCCAGCAAATTGACCTTTGCCGCATCCACCATTTGCAAGGATTATGGCGTCGTTGTTCCGTATAACACCGAACAACATATTCACGCCCTCGTCACGGTCATTCGCGACAGCAGCACAAAAACAAGTAGCATCCAAATCAGAATTAAATACCCACTTCAAAATCACTCTCCGCCGCTCCGCCATTGCACTAGGCGAACGGAAGAAGGAAACCTTGGTAGCACTCGGTCTACATAGACGCATGCAAACTGTGTATCATGTGCACACCCCAGAAGCTGCAGGAAAAATTCTTAAAGTGAAGGAATTGGTCGAGGTTGAGAATGTACCAGCAAAGGCTGTACGCTCTCAGTCAGAGCAGAGGAAGGAGAGGAAGGCATCGAGAGGGTACCAGGTGCAAGGCACAAAGCTGGGAGGACTTGCATGGGAAACTCCATGACCAGGTCCGTTTATCTCGTGTTCTTTCGTTTCTGCACTCATTCACTCTCCAAACCAAAGACCACATCATCCCATTGGCTAGAGTCCTTTCCCATTATCTTGTCTATTACTGTCTTTCCCTTAGTTGTATGCCTGCCCCCTATCGTTATTTGAAGATTTGATACCCTTTTCAGGCGGTGTCTGCTTTCACTCTCTGCCATCATGTCGTCTTTGATCCACCACCATCGGAACAATAAAATTCATGATGCGGCTGTTATCTTTCGAAGAAGATGCCTCGTGGCTCCGTCGTAAGTCCCGACCATTTTTTTTGTTACTTGGTGTCTGTGCCTTATCCACACCGCTTTGACCAGATAAACGTGTCTGTGACTACCTGATTGATATTGACATACAGCTCAAGCATTGCAAGTTATAAATGCCGTTCCTGCTGTGCCAGCTCCTCACAGAAGTCAATTGTTCCTATCACACGCAGATGCTCTTGGAGCTATCCATGAGGCACATCCCCTGGATCCCGTCATCACGCTCACGTTAGAATGGTGAATGTCCTCAGGTAGCAAGCCATGGTGTCGTTGCCACACGGGTATACTGCGTTCCACTGCATTCTCTTCGAGATCGACCTCAACATGTCCCACTGTCCGATATTCCAACTTGCACTTAGGCATAACGCTGTAATACAGGTGGTAAGCTATTTATCAGGGAGTAGTATAATTCTTTCATATCGTTTGGACGAGCCCGTACACATTGATATTCTACATTTTATCTTGCTCACTCTATTTAGCGATTTGTTAGCAGAAATGTATCTCCGTGAGCATCCGCGGGCAGTTCGCCAAGGATTGGCTTTGGATCATCGGCTAAGCGCATCAACGAAATATAAACTGCATACTCTCTAGGATTTGGATTCCCGCCTCTAAGCTTCAAGATCTTCAAACGCATTTACTTCCACCCCTAAGCTTGGGCAAAGTGGTCAGCCAAACTCCAGCTTTCTAATAACAAAGGTCATTGCAATAATATAGAACGCGTATGGATGTGATAGGTGTATAAGTTGGGTACAAGCGGACAGTAGCGTCGTGGTACTATATAGCTAACCTATTGGGACATTAGCAAGTGACGTAGGGCTAGGTATCATGAATTAGCGATTCAATTGATGCGGCTATCCAAGGCTATCCTCCACTATCGCATCTTTCTAAGGATACCGATGAGTCTCACGATCGTGGTCGCTGTGCTTGCAGCCACACATTCCTACTGAGTTAAAATTTCACCGTCCATGGGGTTGGTTGGAGTTATTCTCATCGAGAAATGTGGAGGGACTTGTTATAGCACCATAACGGTACCGAGCGCGTCTGCACCGGTACAGGCAGAAGAGGCCGGACGGTCATTCCTTACCGGGTCAAGAAATATCATAGCCAAGTTAACCTGCACGACACCATCTGATTCCTGTGCAGTCGGCCTCGTGCCATCCTGCGGGAACAACAATTGCAAAATATAACTCGCTCAATTTCGAACAGCTTGTGGTTCTGTCTATCTCCACCCTCGTCCAACCCTACCAGGTCCGTGAGTCTTCCGAGTAAAGTTCTCGAAAGCGCCATCTTGCTCACGAGCACTTAGCTTTTCCATGCAGGGAGGATTCCTAACTGAAGATGGCCTGGAGAAGTACTTCGCGTCTGGGGAGTATCCATGGACAAGTCTCGTAGCACCGTCTTCCTTCAGTTACGATTGGCAGCAGCCCCACTCTACCACATTCGGTGTGGGAGGGCCATCTCTCACAAGCGGATGCTCCAGTGGATCTCCCACGCATGACCAATGGGTCTACCGGATACCCGAGGCATGTACTCACAAAGCATGATCCAGCATTCGAGAGGCTCACCATGGCCGCGCCTGATCGTACCTCTAGATTCAGCAACTACCATCAGGATCCGGACCGATTCCTTCATGTTGCACCACAATTCTTGGCCCAGATTCGATGTCAGAAGCAAACTTATGGACGCGGATGGTAACACGCCCATCATTGAAGCGCTCTCGGCGGCTCATGAACTACAACGTGCAGCAAGATGTTCTTAACGTCGTGCGGATTGATGTGAGCGCTAGACTCGCGTTCTGTCCTCACTGGCAGGTTGCCTCATATATTACATCGTAGGATTCATTGAGTGCAGAGAGCGTGACGGTGGTGGAGATGCCGAATTCTGTGTTGAAGCCAGTATCATACTCCGGGAATAAACCGCCAAAGGTAACAATAGACGCCTGTGATGAAAAATCAATAAAGTCTGTCCAATCTGATGTGAGTACTATCCCAGTCTGTCTTCTCGATCTCTCCATGAGTTTCACGATATCTCTGCATATTAGTCTGCGCATTCCATAGGATGGGCCACCGAAACGAAATGCGAGGGGAAGGCCCGGGATAAAGGGATCGAGAAGCAAGCATCCTCCAATACTTGTTGCCTACCAAAGCTACGCCTGAACAAAGCATGGAATCGGCTGCGCCGTTGGACGACTACTGCACTCAGGGACATGAAGAGTCGAACTGCGCGTTTATCATTAGCTACTCGACCGATAAGGTGAGTGAACCAACACGCTGCGCTACAGTGGATTAAATCTTATGCTCTCAGTTTGGCCGGTTGCTCGGATCAACATGACATCTGGAGATACCCTCAAGGAAACGACGATACAGGACAAACGAATTGACCGATGTAACTGGATCACGACATAACGAACGCTCTCCATATCAGCCCCCGTGGACATTTTACATTTTGGGGGGAATGAACTCTTACTCTCATGTTAATCACAGACAAATGTATGCTAATGGATTTAGTAGCGATATAAGACTGTAGCTATACTCGTGGGTGTGCCAGACTAGAGTAACGTATGTCATCATCTCAGTATACGACGAAACAGTCCCTATAGCAGCTGGAATGGCAGTAACGGCCCACTCTGCGGAGACGACATAGCACAGAGTTGTGATGGTTCACTATGGAAGTTTTCCTTCATATATAACTCTGAAGAGTTCCGTGTCTATTTGGGGCAGCACTAGGACACATTATAGTGCTCACTGGGCTAGGTCTCCTAAAAAAACCGCTGGCACTATTACACGAGGGAGCACCATAGACTCCACTCTATTATGAATGTATGGTAAAGGACGACTGAACTTGTTGTGCATGTGTCCTTCAAGGACCTGCTAAAGACACGTGCAAGCAAGTAAAAGTATGTTGTTCAGAACTTTTCCGGGTTCAGTCTCAGGAATGTCAATATTTGGTAGTACTTGCATGGTGCAATTTAGTCTGCGAGTTTCACGGTACTGAAAGCACTGGGCGTTTGATCCCGCGGAAGCAATTCGCGTCGTGTGCTTACTGAGCTTGGGCGCTTGAGTGACGTCCCACCTTGGCTCAGGCGTTCTCGAACAATCTGACACTGACGCTTCGTTGAGGTCCATAGCGAAGTTCATTGCTCTCTCTTGTATTTCCTTCTCCTTTAACCCCGCCTGCCGGTCAACTTGGACCGTAATAAACTGGGAACAATTTCCAATGCGACTTGCGGGATATGCGAGTTGCCACGGCTCGCTATAAGGTCACTCTCTAAGGACACTGCGACTGCTGCGCTATTTGCCACGACATTCCAGACTTGAATCAAACAACTTGCTTTAGTCTGAACGAGGGATTCTACTAGTTTCAAAATGGCTTCCAAACATAGCCCGAACTAATGGAAATTACTCATAGCGGCAAGGTAAGACACGTGAAAAGCGAAGATGACGGGGAACCGTCGAGGGTATGAGTGCAGAAATTTCCATTAGACTGACTTCTGACATGGTAAATTTAGCAAATGCAGTACGAGTCCCGAGAGCGCCAGACGGATCAAGAGAGCGTCGATTTACGCGTGACTCTGCCACCGAGGACACGTCACCTCGAGGAATAGGGTTCGTGCACCACTGTGTCGCAAACCCAGCATCAAGGATATAGTGAAATATTTCTACATCAAAGCCTATTGTGGTGATGAATGCCCTGTCATTTCGTGCATGGTAGAGTGTTTGCCATGGAGTAGCAATGTATGGACTTGATAGCAGGTCACTTTGCACCAGATATGTGTGATTTAGACGTCTGCATTCGGTGCGTTTTTATCGGGCTTCGTCAGCTGAGCGCGTGCAATCATTAAGCCTCCCAACACAGCAACTCGTAGGAGCAATTCTATGTCGTGGTATGCTTCGTCCTCCAAAATATCGTGCTGGATTTGTAATCCATCCATGTGTATAGTGCTCAACGCCCGTCTCGTGTTTCAAACGAGTCGTGGTTGAAGACATGTTCCTCTTCCAAATTTCAGACTTAAGCCGATACTCTGCTGATAAGGTTTAGACAGAAATCTAGGGCTCCAAATCCTACGGAAAGTCAACCAGTGTCGCAGCACCCTATTTCCATATACGGAGCGTGCTGCGGTGTACTGCGGTGATTTGGACGCTGTCAACGACGAATGAGGGAAAAGATACAGCAAGTGTAGTTCATTCTTCGTTACTACTGGGAACAATACTTCTCCGTCCGCAGGTGAGCGGATTTCTTCAGGTTACTAGTAAACTCAAACTACCACCGCCACAAAGCGTGCGTCACACTAAACACTCGTGCAATGCACAAGTGCAGGCCACTGTAAAAGAAGGAATGGTTGCCTTCCTTATGTGTCGTGGGATGTTTGAAGGCTGGAGCTGATTAAACACCATCACTGGCGGGCGCTTGGGACCCGTACGTGAACCTTCTTACAGATGGTTCCACAGATGCTGACTATGCCCTCCACCCGATGTGGACTAGTATGCATCAAGGGGCAATACTAGTTGCTATACCAGTGTTCACGGGCACGCTAACTAAGCTCAGATGCACTCGACGCTTACGAATGAAGCTCAGCCTTTAAAAAGAGTTTCAAGGTTGACGGCAGCACTTCCAACCCCACGTCTCAATACTCCACGATGCTGCCACTTGTCCTGTATGACATCCTCTCTGAGCTACCAGGCAATAACTTTTCACCCAACCCCGCAAAGCCGAGGTCAGTAGTTCGTGTTCTACATGCCACACTTTGTTATCTGACCGGAATCTGCTGCACCTCAGATTCGTTTTGAGCTACAAGGATCTTCCATTCGTGACCCTCTGGGTCGAATACTCAGACATCTCCATCGCTATGAAGTCCATCGGTGCAAAGCCAAGCAAACGCCGAGACGGCTCGGATGTCTATACTGCGCCCGTCCTCAGCGACCCCAACACCGGTGCTCTCATCAGTGACTCCCTCGAAATCGCCTCCTATCTCGAAAAGACATACCCCGAAAAGCCCATCTTCCCCAATAACTCAGAACCCCTGATACGCGCGTTCGACTCGGCCCACTTCGGCCTCATTCGACCTGCTCTGAAGACTTTGTTTGCACGAACTGCAGAAATATTGAGTCCCGCCAGTGCCAAGTTCTTCATTGGAGTTCGTTCGATGGACATTCCGCTGCCTTGGGATGGGAAGTACGATGAAGACTGGGACCTACTAGAGAAGGGGTACAATACTTTGTACGAATTGTACCAGAAGACTGACGGGAAGTGGATCATGGGTGACACTTTTTCGTATGAAGACATCGTTATTGCTTGTTGTTTGTTGTGGTTCAAGCGAATTCTGAAGGAGGATGAGTGGGTCAGGATCAGTTCTTGGAATGGAGGGAAATGGGCCCAAGTCCTTGCAGATGTTGAGAAGGAGTGTAAATTGGCGTAGAAGACTGCGTACAATATAGCATTTGTTTTAGAGACAGTTGAAACAAAGACAAATTCTTTGAACAGGTCAACCCGAGGCACCATCGTAGTCACAAAGTGTGTACCACACGACAATGGCGATGCCTGGCTTAGGTCAACGTCGTGTGGGCCCAAGCCCCCTCTAGGCTGAGCCTAAGCTGGCCCATCGGACCCATTTGTCGAAATCGACACCAAAATTGCAGCAGCGCCGGTACTGAAGTAGTCCCAACTTGAAAGAAATAGGACAATAGAAATGACAGGGCCCACGGCTCGTGTATATGTATTTCCATCATACTTCATGTTTCTTGTACTTTGTGTTTCTTTGTACTAAAAACGATATCAATCATCGAGCTCATGCATGTTTGATTCCGTCAATAGCTCGGATGTTCCTGAGCTTTGTCGCCCTCTCTGCGGTGGCCTGCACATGGTTTGCCTCGCAAAGTAATAGCGCAGGTGACACAATCCTAGTCGAATATAAACTAGTAGGAGTGGATGACTGACACAGGCGAGACCTCTGCTAAAAGCTTCCAGAATTGGAAACCAAGGGTGGATGAAGTGGGGCGGGGCTGCCAGTAGGAACAGTGGCGGGTGCCTTGACCACGGGGAGCCTGCGGTGGGAATATCGGGGTGGTCAATGACGGCTACAGTTAAAACGAGTAGGGATTGTTCATGGCCGGACCACGAGAGGGGAAGAGTACATCGCTCGCTAGCAGAGGAAAGGGTAGAAACAGGTAAGGCAATGCTGGGAATATGGAGTGGAGAGCAGGTAGCAAGTGTTTCTTGCCTCGTCTTGGACCTAGAGAGGCTGAGGCTAAGGTCGACATGGATGCCAGAAAATTTGGGGAGCGACAGAGAATGTTGTAGAAGAATATGTAAACCAAAGAGAACACACGCAAGGACAAAGAAACTGTTGATATCGGCCTGCCTCGACAGCAGATACCGAAGACCGCACGGATCACGGGTCGCGCTCGTTCCTCACCTAGGACTGGAATTATATCTCAGCAGAGGACTACCCACTTTCTGTTTTATCCACATCCTTCGTCACAGTATGCGGTTTCTTGTGTCAAGTAACCGTATTTGTATACTTGTAAGTCAACTGCTTGCAGAAGTTACAATACTGAGTCCCAACTCTCAGAGCAGTGGATCGGAGCAGAACATACATACCCTTCACATTTGACCACCAAGCCGTCACAACAGCCAGTGTACCAGGGTGGTCTGGCGCCGTGGAGTGCCAGGTCCCGGCTCGTAAGAAGTCGCTGCTGCATGTTGTAGTCAGTCCCCGATAGAAAGAGTCGCCGCCTTCCGTAGAGATTTGACCTTTAATTTCCATTGCAGTCCGTGCCCTGTCCACCAGACACGGCCCCCCATAACAACAAGCATAAGGATATCAGGGGCATCAATGATACGCAGAGTCCTCCGAGATTCGAAGCCACGGAAGCAGTAATAGTTGACTTTCCTTTGAAGAACCATTGGAATCTGGCATTTCTTCGAGGACAAACGCAGTACTAGGCCCGGGATCGTGCATTCGGTATGAGCGTCTCAGTAAGGAACATCGCAGCAGAGATGCAGTCCACCATCCTGTGCTATCACGATCCTGGATGTGTCATATCCAGTTTGATATTTGTGAGTATGTCCGATATCGTCTGCTCCTATTAGATGCAGCGAATCGGAGACTAGCGTCGTCTTGAGCGGCTAACTCGAAGGATGTGACAATGAACTGGATACTAATGTTCCCAGGCTTACCATGTAGTTCGATACCAATCTGCGTCATACCCAATGACAAGATCCGGAACAGGCATCTGAACACCTATCTTTTCCCACGTGCGAAGCCTGGGATTGTTCGAAATGCTTAGTTGGATGATCCGATTCCCGCTACTCGAAGCGCCTCACTGTTGGTGTGAGAGTGTCATATTTTAGGGTACTGGCCCATTGCAGATATATGTTGGGTAGGGCCGCAGTTTTGCAGGGAACAATACTCATAAACTATTTTGGCCAGGGCCGCAGATAGAACTTGATAAAATTATCTGAGCCACTTGAGTGACTACCCAAAGGGAGAAAAACAAGAGCTTACGCACCAACTGCAACAAATAGATGAAGCCCCCCACTAGGACGTATTGCAAGTATTGCAAGTCAGCCATTACGTTGCCAATTTCAGGGGTCTTCGTCGTACCACATCAAATCCTTTGCAGAATCAAATACAAACATAATCCACAATGACGTGTTCCATGCTTAGCGTAGATGCCGGTTCCTACAGTAATTAAGGGTTGCGCAGAAGTACAATGTCATGGCGAACGATCGACTTACGTTTCTCATTTCCGAGTAACACTGACATCGCATCAAGACAACCCCATCATTTGCTTAGTCGGTAAAATGACATTATGTCCCGTCCTCTAATGGCTTCAATCCGATATAGTTATCGTTCATGATGAACGTTAACTAGCATCTCTCGCCCACGTTATCGGCCAGCGAGTTGAAAACGTTTAAAAACAGCGATTCAGCGAAAAGTACGCACTCTGTCGCGCGATGACCAAGATCCGTGCATCGCGGCAGGTTCGATAGTTTTTCCTAGCGCACCATCGACAATATTAATCAGTCTTTGCCGCCCACTAAGTAGAATTATTCACCAGTCCACCACACATGCATACGAGGGTATTGAAAGTGCTGAAATTACCGAGCCTGAGTATCTGCGTGTCGACCGAAAGAGTGGCAGTTGAGCTCGAACGATACCTTGTCCTGGACCGTCATCAACGGCATTGGATGGTCACAGATCTGGGAATTTGAATATTAAACACACTGCCAGGTGAATACATATTGACATACGCCGTAGCCTATCATACTGCCGAGAAACCGCCGGCCCGGGAGGCCAAATGTAGCAGAAGGAGAGCTTGACAAAAAGTACCGTGTTAGTAAGGAGTGAAGTTTGAAGCAGTGGATAATCACTGCTGCAAGAATCATTTATGATGAAGTCGGAACCAGGTGGGCCAGGAAGTTCTGAACAACCGTCTGCCAGGATCTGCTAGGTGGTTCAATTTCACAAGTTTGACAAATGACATGTCTTGCATAGCACTGAAAGCAACCCTTCGTCTTCCCACGGGAGCCCAATGGGAACCCGTCACGACATAGGTTTACACCATTAAAACAGAGTTCTTGGTGCTGTCAACCATGTTCAACTGAAACTCTAGTCCTCGCGATTGTCTCCTAAGCCGCGGCCTTCATTCGAAAGAATTCGATAAGGAAAGATCTCCAAGCTCCAGCGCGACGAAATGTGCGCTGGCAAGACATATATCGAATTCGATTCGTTCAATTACAAAGGACAAGCTTTATTTTGTGACATACTATGCCAGTGGCAGCGTATGCTATAACCAGTACTACTCGCGTGTGTGTATAGGTGCCGTACACCGTAGTATACATGAGAATAAGGTATCCAAATCGCAACACAGAAGCCAAAGAAAAGTAAGCGACAGCACCCGAAGAAGAAATAACTATGTCCAATGAATAGCCTTAGGTATTGGTGGAAGAACGTACGGTATTTTTCACTACACAGAAGAACGAATACGACGGAAATGAAGGAGGATGGATGCTTTAATGTCGTGGCGCGTTTAAACCATTGCGAGACGAATGTTTATCGCTCGTTTGGCAAGCGCGTCCAGGAAGCGCAGCGATGTGACGCGAACCGTTCACAATGATAGATCCCTTCTCAGCAACTCCGTTCTTTTCGAATTGAGCACGTTTGGCATTGACCGGACCCAGGGTCTGTGAAGGGAGACGCTTGAAAGCAGGCCGGAATATTTCACCCTCCGAGCTTCCCGTGCAGTCAGAGGTGACAGATGACTCCCTTGACCCATCTCTTGACCCGCTTTGAGTGCTTGAACTTCCCATGCTGCTCACGCGAGGTACAGGCAACGAAATGGACACCCCGTTCATAGGCGGCGCAGCTCCCTTCATGGGAGGCAGATGAGGTGACATGAATGCGTGCGAAAGCGACGACGCCGACGAAGAGCTCGAAGGACGGCTGACGTTCAAATCAAAATCGACATTCGACTGCGAATGTGTGGTATCTGTGCGACGATTAGTGCCACGTGCACCTGAAGAAACAGATGCAGGTGGGCTTGCCCTCGTACATCGCCGTTTGGGGAGATTGAGGTTGAGCGATGCATTGCGAGCATTGACAGCAGCTTCATAGCTCCGAAGATCTTCAGGGTTGCCATGGAGCGTCATACGTACTCCCTCTCCGTTACCGTTCGCAATACCAGGAAGGGCTCGTTCTATAGTGGGCGTCTTGGAACTTGGAAGAGAGGACACACGAACTCTTCGGCGTGAAGAGGGTGATTGTGGCATAGCGCCGGGGACTTCTGAGCCGGCGGGATGAGGTCCACTCATAGGCGTGCGTATGAATGCCCTCCACAAAATGTCGCTCTCACGACCCAAACCAGGTGTGGGCAACGCAGAGAGCGACATGCCACGATCTCTGAGCTGCTGCTGTGATAGCGCCTTGGGAGGCATCGGAGTAGCATTCGGCGAATGAGGTCGCATATTCATTGCAGCGTTTGAGAAGAAAGGTACACCATCTGTTGAGAGCCCAGCAAGGACATTTGGGTCGTCAATAGACATGAGTCCAAATGCGGAGGAGAACCCGCCTTCACCGACTCGAGAATGTTGATCGGATTGCTGGTCATGGGATTCAGGCGCAGAGGTAGAGGTCATCGAATCTCTTCGGCGTTGAGGGTCAAGCAGCATTCGCTGGTGAAAGTCCTCTGAGGCGTCCTGAAACATATCCCCTGTCGAGAGAGGGAGATGGGCATTGGACGAAGTAGCGCTAGAAGGGATGGATTGAGAAGCACTACTACCATCACTGTAGTCAACGGAGCTTCGGCGAGGCCGATAGGCTAATCCAATGAAGGACCCGGTGAACATTTCTGAGTTGAAATTATCTGAACCGTCCGCACCATATTGATTTTGTGAGAAAGCTTCATCCAAAGATGCGAATTGGGGTTGACTAGTCTGCGCAACGGTCAACCCCGGATTTGTGCTCTCGCCCCATCCCAGCCAATGGTTGGAAGGTTGATTATGGTCCGTGTAAAGGTCAGGCAAAAGTGCCGATGAACCTTGAGGATTTGCAAGCATGGGAGCTCCGGCATGACGCAAAAGCTCGACTTGAGCCCGATTTCTTCCAGTGATGTCAGAGTCGGAAGAGAGCGACATGGGAAGATGTACAGGGTTTGCTGACGAAGCATACACATGATTGAAGGAAAACGGGGTTGTGTAAAGCGGATCACCCGAAGAAGTATCCATACTGGGTACGCTCACGGGGGGAGGACCAAGGATAAAGTCAGTCCATTGATAGCCGTCCATTTCCGAGAGAAGAAACGGAAGCGGGGCGAGGAAGATGATGGCCAGGGCCACTTGGAGCGGTTTGACGGTGGAATTTGACATAAGTACATCGACTCTTGCGTTGTACACATTTTGCTACGCATAATAAATGTGAGAATGGAATCGTGAGTTCTGGGGCGGGAACGTACAACAAGGGTTGCAACCGTCGCACGGTAAGCTTGATTGAACACATTGGTCACATGCTTGTTTCGAAGTAGTCGCTCGAGAGGTTGAAGTGGAGCCTTTGCGACGACCATTGGTGGCGGTTTGTGGCGGTTTTTCGTTTGCATGACATTTGTTAACGTGTCGCGATAAAAGATCGCTGAGGTAGATTAAGTTAAGCGAGATCGAAAAAACCAATTAGTGGAAGACTTTACCTCCGCGCAAACTGGTCTCCACAATACTGACACTTGTAGGGGCGATCACCTGTGTCTGTTGAGGAGCGAGCCGATGGGTCAGTACAATGAATTGATCACGAAGGAAGGACAGGGGGTCAGTCGTGGCAAAGTGGAGCGAAACTGGTGCTAGAATGGAAAAAAAGTACATACGTGATCGCATGTGACGAGCGACATGCTGTGGACGAGTGAAAGTGGCCTGGCAGACAGGACATTGGTGGTCACCGGCCATTGGTATAGAATCTATTGAATGGTAGAGCAAGATGAAAGTAGAAGAAGTTCAGAGTACCAGTCGTAGACGAGTGGATACTATCCGATGTGACACAATCCTTGTACACATATTTATCCTTACCAAAACACCTGGATCTATATCCTTCGGCGTCGGCCGTGTCTATGATGTCATGCATACCTTATCGGCAGACACTGCTTTCTTACTTAATATCAAATATCTTTACATACTCCCCTAACTGTCATTCACATTCTGGTAAATTCATCCTAGGTATACATCCTCTCGAGTATATTCTTCATCCTCTCTCCATTCAAACAAAATACAATTTCGAAAACTTGAACAAATTCCTGTTCTCGTCGTCAAGACAATGCTGGCAATTTAGCGTGTGACGCCATTTGATGTCATCTATTTGCGACAGATCGTGGCGGAGATCAACCCGCTACAAACACGCACACTGACGTCAGTTCATCAAAACACTCCTACGAAACGTGTCTTTCACCTTGGTGCGGAGACGGGCACGAACACTTCAGCATTCGCCCTATCACCGTAAATTTAATCAGTAATCTCCCCCCAATTCAATCGTCATAGGGCTGTAAACATGAATAGCAGATCGCCGCCAGGTTACTGGTAATAGGCTCCGGAGAAGGCAGGCGTCATGAAAAGGCATTGCATCGAGCGTGATCGCCACCCTCGTTGTCCTGGCCCTGTTCTGCAAAGCACCCGGATCTCCGTGACAAACTTCACACTCGGATAGCAATCTCACGCCCAATACTCTGGATTGCTTCCTCGTCAGTGTGTGCCGGCATCCTTAAGAAGCCAGGGGCTGATGCCAAGTCAGTTGGCGCTCCCCTTAATTAGAAACTCCCGTGTCGCGTCATGAGATATCATCGAATCCGAAGTAGCAACAAGATTAAACAATTGGATCGCGGTTGCGATCATCCACAGGTAAACCCGGTGTCTCCCAAGCGATGTCAAGAAAAAGAACAAAGAAAGCCAATAGGCGCTGAAAGAAAAAAAATGAATGATACTCAACGGTGTAGTATTATCCACCCCGATATACTTCATATCAACCGGGATATAGTGCTTGTTTGGCAGCTTGTACGTGACGGATTCAACGCCCGAGTTTTCCGCGATGACGCGTTGCCCCATCTTAAACAACGTTGCCTTTCATTAAATAGATCCATCAGCAACGTGCACAACACGGGGATAGAAGCCTATGACGCACTTGCACACTAGCGCTGGCATCTAGGGCAAAAATATCAAGCGTCGCATCTCTCGCCCGTGTCGCAACATTAACTGCGTCCCAAACGCTACCGAGTGCGAAGCCCTCTGGGACAGTGAAATCCAGTTTCTTGTCATCGGTGGGAGAGCTGAGCGATAGGGCGCGAAGGTATAATTCAGGTCCACGGAGGTTGACAAAATACGATCGTCCACTTCCGGCAGCGTGGTGTACTCGTCGTGAATGTATCCATAAAACGCAGAACCGCTCGACTTGAGCACTACGATGCGCAGAAATGTGTGAATGCGGGCCCAGGAGGAGTGTAATGACAAGCTCACCCAAAAGATCGGTAATCCCCGAAGTTACTTTAGCTGAGAGCTTGTCCTTGCCAGCAGATGCATCGACCTGAGGGAAAGAAAGGAGCGTTTGATAAGCTCTATATATACGTTTCAGAGATAAAAATGGTGATAGAAGCAGAAGATATAAGTAGGAGGAGTGTCTCGCCCGAGAATTCCCGCAGCTCGGCGGCTGATGGCAAGGGAACGCTCCACCTCAGCGACTACACAGTTTGGCTCCACCCCCAAGTCGGAACTCGGGAAGCATGAACGACGTCAAATTAAAATTCGTACCTCAACCTCGACCGTCTGTCTGTCGTTCCCGTCCCTAACGAACGAATGCGGGTGCGGATGGTCATTTGCACTCAAGGCAATGCGAGACCAACGCAACTTCTCCAAGGTAATGAATACACGGTGTATGTGCGCATACTTGGAAACGATGTGGGTTCCCAGATGCAATGCGAACCGTTCCGGGCTGAGGATGTGGGGTGAGGTCTTGGCAAGATCTAGTCATCGCCAAAGTATCCAACTCGATTAGCTGTTATCTCCTCCATCGCCAATGCACGTACAATATGTGATGTTCTTCACTATATGATACGTCGTGTGATGAGTTTCAGCTGGACCATCATACAAAGTACGTACTAGAGTCGGTTGCGACAACAACGGAGTTGTCTGCAACCGTGTAGCTGCATGTCCGACTATCAGAGACGGTAGGATTCACGATATATCGTACTAATCACTGACCTGGTCTCGATATCGCCTTCCAGGAGTACTGTCACATTGTATTCCACAACTTGGTGAAACTCGCCATCCCGAACAACACGAAAGACGCGAATGAGGTCTTTGCCGTATCTAGCGCTTGTTAGAACTGATTCATACATATTAATCGACAACGGTGCTAGGTTCGCAGTTTCAGTTCAGTTGATGTTCCAACGGAAGTTCGACCTCGTCCGTTTATAGATTAGTATTAAGGGAGACTGTTATAGCGGAATATCACACGCTATGAACAGAACAGATAAGCGAATAGCAGTCTGAGTCAGCGTGATGAGGTTATCATCTTCAAGTTCCACTGATCATGAAGCTGAAGCACAATGTCCTGGATATCTCAGTTACACTGACTACAAAGTGACACGCTGCTTTATTTCCGCATTTCAACCCTTCAGTCCGTCCTCTGAAGCAGCAGTTTTCCTACCGTAGATGGTTCTGCTCGATCTTCCATACTAACGGTGATACTCTGCCATCCCTGTTTGACGTTGACGGAGCGAAACCACAGGCACCTGTTCTCGTGCGAACTGCTCATATTGAGCCTAGGTCATCTGAACAACCCTGTAGTGCTATTCCTTGCAAGCGGCCACCGTCGGAATTGAATCACCTTGGTTTCTTCCCCAAGAACTTCCCGCATTAGTACGACAATCAGAGGCAGATGTTATCAAAGAGAATATCATGGATCAGCGTGCGCAAAGTTGCCCCAGACAGGATTGCAAAGTGCACTTGTATGCTCATGAAACGATGATCATGGAGGCACTCAACTCGAGCATACTTCGGACTATGACAAACATCCCTGTTCCTGAGGTGCGACAAGTCGTCGTGAACGCCTGTTCCAACACATCCGTAGTCATGGAATACATTGACAATGAGACACCGGCCAGCAGCTGGGGCCATCTTGCCCTTATCGCGAAGATTCGCATTGTTTGGACCCTCCGCGGTTATATCGGCCAGCTTCACCGTTTACGGAAGTCTGTTCCAGGTACTCTCAATCGCGTGGCGTGCATAGGACCACTCTTCACCGACTACGATGCAGATCCCTTCGCTTCTTATGACGAGATAACGGAATGGCTTAACCACGAGGTGGATGTGTCTCAGCGGACGAAACGTGCGCCCTTTGATGCTCCTCGTTCCGATAACTCGTGGCCACTGGTCTTCACGCGCCAGGACCTGTGTCCTAGGAGTATTTTATTGGTGCGCGGTGGTGCGGTGTATATGTTGGACTGAGAATGGTCGAGATTTTACCCGCCATGGTTCGAGTATGTCGGCATGCGCTTTGATGAGTATCCTTGTGGGATTCTTTGGTGCCTTGGATCTCGTGTTGCGGTGAGTGATTTTGGCTAGATAGCTATGATGTGATAAAATGCCCCCCCTGTTTCAGTTCTTAAATGAAAGCGCATATAGGAATACCCGGAAACCATTATATGGGCAGTTAAAGTAGGAGTTTTGATGTATTCAGCAGTTTGTTGGCAGCCGAACGTCGAATCCATTGGGGTTTATTTTCTTCCAGCCTCGGCCGAGACACGAATTCAATTGCACCAGTTCAAATCATGTATTTGTTCTGTACTCTTATTCGCGATGGAATCCTAGCTGAGACCAATGAAGCAAACCGGTAGGCGACAATTGAGTTGTACTTCCCCGACGGGACAGTGCCCATTTTTCGCAGATGAGTGCCCCGGACTGACTCATCTAACAGACTGCATCCGACGAATTGCGCGAGATGGGATCGGTGACCATTACACCGGGCTCAAAATCTCGATTTCCTTTGATGAAACTTGACATCAGAAGACTACACTAGGACCGCATGACAGCATAAGCATGTGCTTTGAAGCAGGCGCTGGCTCGTATCAGTCACTAATACATCCAGAGTGTTTGATTGATCAAGAACCTTCAAAATGAGCAAATATGAAAGTCGGATATCAAACCACGTGCGGAATCGTTGCCTCAGGTTTTTCATATTCGGGCTGTATGAAAGGATGCAACCCGTGCTACCGTTCGGAGAGTGACGTGGCGCCGCTGGGGTCGGATCGGAGTATATCGAAGCATGATGCACGATATCCATATTCACTCCGCACCTAGGCTAGAGGCTACTGTATAGGGGTTGTTACCACATCAAGAATGAACAGGATAATTTGCAAGGGATGTTCCTCAATGCCATAGCGAATGCGCGCGCGGCGGAGGGCTTTGCAAACAATACTCGTGGGCGGGCCAACCCAACTCGTCTGGAATTGCATATTGCATTGTAGAAACCGAATTCCGAAAATGCGTGCTTAAGCTTGAGGTTGGCAGGACGTGAATGAATTAGTAACACCTGAGGACACCCGGCGGCGCAACTCGAGCAAAAATACTTACGAATATCAGACAGGCGTCATCTGCCAGTGCTACACAAGCTTTAACCATATATATCAGTCCAGTGACGGATGGTAGACACAACTGCACCGTGGACGTCTGTACACAAGCAAGCTATCGCTTCAACATCGTTTACTTGTTTGTTTCACCGGGTGACGAGGAACAAAGCAGACGAACGGCTTTTACGGCAGTTGCCGAGGCTCGACCGTCCGACTTCTGCTGATCCGGGCCTTAAGCTTACACTTACAAGCACTTATCACCAATGTCATCCTTAGCCCATCTCCTGGATAGTAACATCCTGTATAATCCCTTGGAGTTTGCCTTTGTCGAGAAGCGCATCCAAGCCCTTACAACAAATATGGGTCATTGTCGGGAACCGTAACTTGAATGTGATAAGTTTAAGCAACATAGTTCCCGCTGCCGTTATAACGTTAGGGACTGGGTCTTGTAAACTAAGCATGTCTGGTCTGGAGGGCTCACGTGAGATTTATTGGCACCTGGATGATTCACTCCAAACCCGACGTTTTAATTCTCGCAGATACAATTCACATGGACCCGGAGTGAGAAACTACCTTTTCGTACCCTCGTACGACGTTATAGCGCTATAGCCACAAGAGAGCGAGGTGGGGGCTTGAGGTGATAGATGCTGAGCACTTGGGAGGCACTTTGGAAGTGGAGCCGTGTGCTTCGAGGTGTTTTAGATGTTGGCCGAAACAGGTGACCTTGCAATTCAACTTCTTCTATTTTCATTTGACTTACTTTGTCGTGACCTTGTGGGATTGCAATAGGCTCACTGGGAATTATTATGCAGGCGGCCGCATCGCACATACGCCGGGTATGTGTTAGGTCGACAAACTCCGTGGAATTTTTGATAGAACCCTTGAACCGAGGCAATCACGGCAAGAATTAACACCCCAAGCATGGCATTGGAAACGAGTTGCCGAAATCATGAACAGCTTTTGAGGTAGTCGGTCCATACGTGTATGACCGCTTTGCAGGTTCGCAACCTCGGTCAATGCCATCAAGGTATAATTCTCATGTCGATGGTGTTTATCTCAGCGGCAAAAGTACTGGATGGAAACAAGATGGAGGTTTATCCAACATGAATTTGTAAAACGTCCGTCATGTCCACCGGTCGTTCATACCCATCCCTCGAAACCGACCAGAGTCTTAGGCAAGTGTGTGGCCGCCAGTCAAATCATATTGTGTTGAGAGTTACTTTATAGGTTCGTGGACAGCTAGCCGAACGACGTCAGTATCGTGTCGGCAACTATTTACTGTACCACGGTAGTATACGATTGCGGTGAGCAAGCATTATTTTCAGCACTCGCATTAATTGGATGAGAGGCAAGTAAGCCTAACCGACACCGACGAAATGCCATGCAAGTCATTATGATCACTTGGTTACATGCCACGTATCTGCGATCGAGAAAGTCGTTCATCTTTCTCTTTGTAATCTTCCTAGTTATGTCGATCGTGTGCGCAGTCGTTGGCATAATAACATTACAGGGGATAAGCTCTAAAATGTATGCTCAGGTATATCAGGCTCATCAGACGAATATCAGAGTATCTCGTCCTTTGTAGCACTCATCGATGCATTTATCGACGGATAAATACTATACCTTGGGTACTCTACACTGCATTGGATATCCTTGCCCTGTGAATTGCTGTAGAGCACTTCTGTGAACTGCGACGAACAAACACTGGAGACTATTTCACGGTGTGAATTTGACAAAACTCACTTCGCCTACCTTTGAGCTTGGATTTTCAATTTATAGCATCATTTGGAACGTCTCGCAATCTACCAAGTTCCCTTGATGCTCCATGGGTAGGCATTATTCATGGTCGGCTGCTCGATATCGGCTACGGGGTTCTGACTAGATTATGCCGAATATATGGAGCAGGGAATGATATATTGGAATGGCTAAGGACGGGGTCTCGTTCAATAGCATCGCAGTAAGTGAACACAAGTGAGACCTGAGCAAAGTTAATGAACCCCATCTACATCTCCTCCGTGGCTGATGACGTGATTAATAACCCACATGCCTCTCAATATATCCTCATACGGAGATCACAGAATTAGACGTCGTTAGCATAAAGTCAGAGAGCTGACAGAAGATCATATCTCGCACGATCTTGAGAGGAAGAAGCAACATACATGTACCGCGTTCGGCTGGGGTCTCATTATTTCGAGGCGGTATGGAATCAATGGAACATTCCTGAGATATCGCGAAGAACCTGGATTGAAAGGGGTACAATACCATACAGAGGAGTGGTCAAAGAAGGTGGTCCCGTGCGGGTAAGTAGAAATGCACTAACCTCAACGGTCTATTCCTAGTGATCGTGAGCTTCGGTTATGACGCAATACGCCGCACGTCAGAAAAAAGTGCAGAAACTGATCGGCAACGACATTCAGGGTTGCTGTATAAAGCAGATAGAGCAGATTCCCAATCTTGGGCTACGCTTGTGGACATTTCGAATATGATGGAAAATCACAAAGTCAGACAACACGGTAGATAGATGGCCCATGTCAAGTGTGAATGTCACAATAACGCTTCACACTGCGACCTTTTGAAACAAGGTTCAGGGTTCTCTGTCACGATTGCTAGAGAATCACGAGGCTCACCAGCTGAAACATTTGACTAGGAGTTGTGAGCGGCGTCGCTTCGATCATTGTGCGCACTGCGCTTAAACATGCGGAGTGATGCACCCAATGTTTCGCATGGCGGAGGATTAACGGCAGGGACTGACATATGAGATCAAATCCATTGCGCAAATGGACAAGACGTGCTGCCTTGAATTGTTTTATTTTCCTGTTCGACCAGCAGTTGTCAGATTGCAAATGAATATGATTCGAGGAGTCAGGATGATTCTACAAGCTTCAAGGGCTCCGGATGGAAATAATAGTGCAGAATAGTCCTGTGTACGTGGGAGTCTGCACGGTGGGGACGAAACGTCGTGTGGAGCGTGACGCTCTCTACACACCTGTTCAAGTTGTGTTCGAGACTCACTCAGTCGAAGGCGCGCGTCGGACATATCCGGGTAAGGGTAGTTCTGCCAAATTCCCACCCTCTTTATTTCCTCATCGCTGGTCTCCGCGTCGTTACATTCCTTTCAGTAGTTTACCTCAACCTGCTCGGAGACGTCTAAAATGCGGCCTGCAGTCTCCACATCTACCTTCAGACAGGCAGCTCGTCCTCGCCGTCTACCAACCCAGTGTTCACGCTTTGCCAGCTCAAACGCGGAGACAGCACAGAAGAAAACCCAAGACGCGTTCGGGTCCGCCCAAAAGACAGCGGAAAAGCTTTGGGAGAGCTCAAAAAAGTTGCTTGGTCCTCTCGGCGAGCGCGCTGGAAGCATGCTCGGATGTACGTCTTCTTGCGAGCTTTTATATTTTGCAGATATTGATGTAGCTCTGTTTGTGTTCAGCATACCGTCAACCTGTGATGTACAACTTGTCTGTTGCACGCGAATTGTTGAAGCAGGTTTACGTGGCGGAGCGTTTGCAACCTCCCACTGATTTTGCAGTGGTGAGAAGCGCATACTCGACATTATGGAGCCGTGCTAGTAGCCAGGCATATTGGCGAGGGATACTCAGTTCCGGGGAGTGGGCCAAGGTTGCCATATACGCCGTGGAGGCATACGGCATCTTCAAGGTTTGTTTGACCATGCTCTATGATGTCACAATTATTAACTGTCGACAGATTGGAGAGATTGTCGGACGTAGAAGCGTTGTCGGATACAACCTTCATTAGACACCACATTATATATCAGCGAAAGCATGTCATCATGCTCTACACTGATTCTATTGCATAGACATCTCATTTTCCTTGCTGATGCTATTTCTCGTCTTTCGAATTTCTGATGGCAAACGGTGGGTATGTCGCACCACATTGAGAAGTCATGGACGATGAAATAGATATCCAAGTCGTGTATGGCAAGAGAATAAAGTATAGAACACTCTAATCCTCCTTCTTTGCACCAATCTTCTTTTCTGCGTCTGCAACTGACGCTGCGTCTGTTTGAGGACCGGCAGCAGCTGAGAACACAATGGTTAATTGAGTGATATGACAAGTGCATAGGAGATCCACGTGCCTCCGAACATTGATGCAGCCTTGAACGGTCTCTTCAGATCGCCTTCTGCGGGCTTCCCAAGAACGTGAATGGCAACAGGCTTTGCGTCGTATAGATTCTTCAGACCCATAAGGGCTTGAATAAAGAGAGGCTGGGTATACTTCATGTACAAATGGAAGAAGGCCATCATGGCGACACCAAAGTACGCAGCACGAAGCTAAAAATTGCGGAATAAATCCAAATTCCTTTTTTCTAAAAAATGTGACGCACCAGTTTCGACGTTTCAGACAGGTCATAGTCACGGACCGTGGTAGTCACGAGTCCTCCAGAGTCGGGCGACTAATACATGTAAGCCCAACATGTGCTGTTTGCTATATGAATGGAATATTACCATGGGATTTGGTGCATCGACTGGTACAAGCACTCAGATATGCAACGAGAAAATATGAAGACAGAGACTAACCATATTTCAAGACGGTCTGGTCATTCTTCTGCCTGACCTGTATTGTCGCACGTATTCAGATGCCACGTATGTGTTCTGAAATACCCTGCTGACCTTGTAGGAAACATAAAAGTATGCACCCATAATGACAACTTGACTTGCAACATAACCTATCCGCACATAGTTGAGAACTTCCGGGTCATCGAATGGAATTCGACGGGCAACTGAGAACACGTCACACGAGTTTTACGAAAGTTAGTAGCTTCCGGAATGAGACAATATATGCTAACCTTGCATCGCACCAAGGGAAATGACGATGTTCTGTATTCCGGAGTTCATTTTGATGTTGACCACGTAGTCCTTCAAAAATGTTAATGGACCTTGAAGAGTTTGAGAGTGAGTAAGGATTGGAAAGCGGCGTGACAACATTATGTGACATACCTGTGCGTGTGACAAGGCATCGCACTTCCAAAAAGGTGCTGTGTATGACGTCGACCGCATGATAGACACCGTAATAAAGCAGACCAAAATTCGAGACTCCATTAAATCTCTCTTCTCGAGCTCCGATGTATAACAACGAGGCTGCAACCATATCCCGTGCGACCTCTGTTTCGCGTACCAGCAAACACGGCTCGACAGCGTCGCGCAACCAATCTCTCATCAAGAAAAATGTTGCCCCGCAGGATCTCCGCCCATCCGATGTTCTTATCGAGCGATTCGTCTCGTGGAAAGCTATTGTGAAACAACTCATCAGTTACTTTGAAGGCGTTGCCGATATTGAGAACAACATCGCCAAAGAATACACAAAGCTTGGCGCAGTAATACAAGTACCTTTCCGCTCAGGGAATCAATTTCTAGGCGAAGGTGGCCTGCAGGTATGAAGATCCTTGCTAGCTCCACTTTATGTCTCAGACAATGTATCAGGACGTATATTACGGCATTCGCGACAAAACACGCGTCATCGCCGACCAACATGCAAACCTAGGCCGGACCATCGATAGCTCCATCGTGCAACATCTACAGAAACTGCATGTAGAAATTAAAGCGCACATAAAGGTGTGTACTCTGCCTAAATACTGTACGCATCACACCCTGAGTTTAGCCAGAATGTTCAAAACGACACTGGTAAATTGGCCACCAGTGTTGCCAAAGAACGCGAGCTATCCGGAAGAATGATCAGTGAACTAGCGACGAGTGTCAGCATTTTCAAGAATACCCCGATGGGCGTGACTAATAAAAGTGATCCGTGAGCACTTTAAGGCTTCCTGCGATGAGATGCACCTTTGACGTGTCGCAGTTATGTTGCCAACATAGCAGTCATGAGACAATTGCAAAAACAGGTCCACGAAGAAAATGCTCTTCAGAAATCCATTATTATCATGCAACAGAATTCTGCCCACTTCGAGGAAGGAATTGTACGCGCCATTCAGTCGGCGTGGCAAACTTATGATGAGTGGCGATCTCGAATGACCAATTCAGTGCAAGATACCTGGCATACTATGGGTCGAAACATGGTCTCACTTGCGCCCGACCGGGAGTGGATATCATTTTCAGCCAGGTCTGACCATCTTCTTGATCCCGAGACCCCTCTGCGAAATCCAGAAACTATTCAGTACCCCTCGAAAGAAGACACCTCGGTCATAGCCGTGCATACTGGACATCTTGAACGCAAGAAGAGGTTTACAAGGACCTATCGCGAGGCCTACTATGTCCTTACTCCCGCAGGATTCTTGCACGAGTTTGCGACGTCTGACCCATCTCAATCAGGCAGTCAAACACCAATATTTTCATTATTCCTTCCGGCGTGTACGCTCGGCCCCCCGTCAACACCGTCTTCAAAGTCTCACAAGTTCCATATCGAGGGCCGCAAAGACGGCACGGGTACCACTAAACACGGCTCTTTTAAATTGCCCATGACGGGTGGCCAGCATGCTTGGTCATTCCGTTCTCGTAGTCATGAGGATATGATGGAATGGTGGAATGATGTCAGAATGCTATGTGCCCGTTATCTCGTCGCTAGCGAGCAGATGGACCGCGGAGGTCCGGTTGAGGCGGCAGTCCGTTCTGCTGGATATATCAGTGACGAAGAGGACGAGGAAGAGGATGGGTCTAGCATTGAAGAGGACCAAGAAGACGAAGATGATGACGATTTGTATGAAGATGCTGACGCTGTTGTTGATGACGAGGAGGATCATAAGGATCCGCCTTCTTACTCCAACCCCGCCAGGAACTCTCTTAACGGTACCCATCAGAGTGGCTACGCGGTAAGTATCTTGATTTTGGTTGAAATGTCCGCTAATGATTTTTCTGCTCAGCCAGACAAACGAGCGTCGTCGATGAGCTATGATGATGGCATGGCTTCGTCACGCCCAAGCAAGCGTCAGCAGGAGAAGGCACCCGAAGGACGACCTCCACATGACCAACATGTATCTGATGCTGCGGGTCAAGCTCCTAGTGACCACGAAGAACGTAGCTCTATGCCCCAGAGCGGTGAAGCTGGTCCTGCGCCAATGGAAAGCAAATTTACTGAAGATCTGGAGTGACCAAGCGGCGGCATGATGGCTATCCTCCACAACGTAACTTAATCAGCAATAAATCATAGCTCATCGGACCTGTTCCTTTACTTTATTGTTTTTTTCTGTGTCTGCATTGCCGGATAATCCGTACACGAGATTGTTTAATATATTTGTTTAACACGCCTAAGTCGATGAGAAACCCAACCGGAAGCCGGTGAAGTGAGTCCAAATATTGACGTCATCATGAGCGTCCATTCCAGGATTGAGAACAGATCAGCGCGTAACATTTAACAACAACAACAACAACAACAACAACAACCGGACTTTCTTAGAAGTAAAATATGTTGGTCAAACACCTACGATTGACCACTTCATGTCACAGGATTAAAGACACCATCATGGTAATCCACGAATGCAAAAGTCCCCGACCGTCCAAGACGTGAAGGGGATACAATATCATAAAATGCGTAGGTTCATCCAAGTCAGGATGATGACATGTTGTTTTCTGTGCATCTTATTGTATTTTCCAAGGAACTTGCGGACAATTTAGATCCCACTCGGTACTCGTCTCTGAACTTTGAAGTGATCAGATGACAAGCGAGACGAAAAATTGCCATTTCAGCATAGAGAAGTCACTCGTCGCTGCCATTATTCCAGCGTGTGCTAGAAGTTAATATGCCGGGCCGAAGTATCGATATCTATTCGGGTCTTTCGATATTTGTACTAGCATGCCGCATACCCCGCGACCGCGATGCTGTGCTCCTCAGCATCGGGATAGTAACGACAGTTAGATCTCCCAGATTATCCAACATCGTAGTCATATACTCGTGGTGTGTGTACTGAATTCCTGGACGTAGCGCTCGCGCGTAGAAGTGGTGAGTTTTGCATGCTTTTTTATGTACTGGCGGCCGTGAGCTGCTTTTTGTTGGTCTGTGTTCTACTTCCTTATTTGGACCACTCTCACCATCGATACCAGCTTATTGTCAATTCATAGACTTCATCATCAATCCTTCCATTTTTAGGCCACGGTCCCCTTCAAGTGATTCTTATTGTTTTTGTACTGATAGGTTTACAGAACTACTTCGATCGCCTAAGCTGTTTGATCCCGTCAGAGGCTCGAAATGTGCTGCAGGTGGCGGTCAAGACAATTAGACTGGAACTTCACCACACGCTTCCGATAAACTTTGTACCTACACCCAAACTTTACTCTGCCCCGGCCATGGACCGTTGCGAACGTATAAAATGTCGTGATTATTCTTTCTTTTTCTCTAGGTTCATTCGCCCGTCTTCGACCTTCAGAGCCATTGCGCCGTACTTTCTTTGACTCTATTCAAAAGTCATCCTCCGCTCATAACAAATGGACGCCTTCACTGCTCTCACTGCATTTTTCACCACCCCTCAGTTTGAGGAATCATCACCTATTACCTCGGTGCCTACGGATGAGGAGTCCAGTAGCAGCAGCGGAGGCTCATACTGCGTGATAGCTTGAGTGCCTCCCTGTAATCATAGCACTAGGTAACATATTATTGAGTTCTGGTATGTCTTCCTAAAATTATCGCGCTGGTCACGGTTCTCAATCCACATTGACAGACTCTGCGAATGATTAAAGGTTATGAACAACATCATTTTCATCGTCAATATCACCACAAGCACTCTCGCCAGTAACATTATGCCTCGAAATTTTTGTTTCGCGGATGTACATATACCATGACATTTGTACTCTGCATGCAACCCCACATAGCATCTCTTCGTTCATATAATTATTTTTCTTTTCCTCCTCATTTCATCACATATCTTCATTTGTTCAAATTTCTAGCAGATTTTTCGGGGAGAGAACACACATTTTCGTTGGAGTATATAAACAACGTGGAGTATTTTGTTATACATTGTTGTAACGGGGTCGAATCGATAGCTCTCTTGAACAACAAGCAGTAGCCATTCCTGTCAATTTTGGCGCGGCGAGCGGATTCTTCTGTCACTGGCACCACCAAACTGGTGGTACGCCACTGCAGGAGCTAACGCGGCATTGCGAGGATGGAAGTATGCAGGCTCACCTCCGTCTGTTCGAAGTATACTTTCAGCTTGTCAAAATTATCGTGGATATTATGTTCGAGCATCATATCATTGGAAAGGTCGTCTACAAGCCTTTCCATGTTTTGAATAGTGTCTTCGGACATTCCTGGGTGATGCCGAATGATATTTCACGTTACAGCCGCGGAATGTGCCTGCATAATCCAACTTGCGGGTCAGAATGATTGCGAGCCGCAGACAGATCATCACCGCAGTCCATGGTGAAAACACTGATGGCCTGTTTCAGGATGTGCGCTCCATTCAAGGTTACCGAACCGGCGGACATGTGTGCTCCATCCCAGAGACCTGAAATAACGCACCCATAATCGTCTCGTCAATTAACTTGTTGAAGTCAACGCCAAAAGCCACTTTTATACTAGTAGGACGTACATTGCTCCTAACTCTGCTACGTCATTCGGGATGATTGGCACTTATAAGGCTGCCATAGGTGTCGTCAATAGTCGGCGTGGATTGACCAGAAATCTGATAGCTGCTGAGACCTGGTTGCCATTACCAAGGGGGAAATCGCATTAACATCCGACCTGGCAAATATCAGCCTAATGATAAGTTCTAACTTACATAGCCATAAGAGATACATAAACCAAGTCTTCGCGAGGTTGACTTGGTCGCAAGTCTCTACACACACACAAATAGCCCAATCACCGCCGGTTTCGTGAATGTTTCTCAGCATCGTGTCTAGAACCCTGGATGGATCCACGCCGTGCACGCTTGGTGGAGGTTTGATCCACTTGTCTTTCTCTATTATCTGTCGAGTCTGCTCTGCATAAGTTACAGTGGATATCCTAGCATTTTTCATGGTCATATACACGTTCCCGTTGAAGCCGATGACAGAGCCAAGTTCGCTGATGGTCTCGCTCAAGTCGCTTGTGTCGCTCGCGTTTCGTGAATGAGGCATGTTAGAACAATGGTGGTAAGATGTCGTATACAAGGGCAAATTCAGAAGGAGAGTCCATGTAATTAGTTAATGACGATAGACATAGTAATGACTGGTCTGCCCTTGCTGATGTACAAAGTACTATGATGATGGAGGTCCGCATTAGCGATTCGGAAGGGACGCCTCGGTAATAGCCGAACGACTCCTTGCTCACTAATTGTGCGTTTGAAGCTCCAAAACACCGTTATCTCTGCAGCTCCGGCCGAAAGGCATCGCAGCCTTCTAATGCCTATCCGCCACGTGTTTGATGGTGGCGGCCAATTTTCGGAACTTGAGAAGTAGAGACACTCACTGTTCAGTGCTTTCAATGCGTTTGTTCACGTAAATGATAAAATTAACTTTTGCACCGCATATTCCGAACACGACCAGGTTCCGTTTCTGTAAAAGGATCAGGTCTGTCATACATGCTTCAAGTCTGACCAGCGGCTGATTCACCACTAGAACTACGTGGCGGAAATCACTGATATGGTCTGTGACTGTTATCAACTCTCGGTGGCCTTCCAACGAACTTCGTCGGTCGGCCTGTTTGAAAATTGTCACCCGCGGGTGACCCGTACCATCTGCGGATCCACCCACGGATCCATCCGCACCCGTGATACTCTGACCGGTGTGGGTAGGCCGTCAAAGTTACATCTACCCGGGGCCACCCATATCACACCCTAGTTTGAATGATTAATATCCGTTAAAATCGTCGGGAGTTGATGACACCCCCGAAACCGCAATGACCAATATCTGTAAGAACCACTGGCACAATGTTGTGGCAGTCCCTATTCCAACCAGCTCTATACCAGCCACTATTGCTAAATTTTGACCTGACCATGAGCTTAGAACGGCCAAACCGAATACCATGGGGGATGACATTGTCGCTTCGAGTTGACAGCAATGTGGTGACCTAGCCCATCGTCCATTACATTTCACATGAACCTAATGCCTTTGAATGTAGCTGTATATTAGTAAGTGACACTGAAGCCACTTTTTCATTATCTGGAAAGATATTCATACATAAACAGCCAGCTCGGGAGAATGCGGAATCCGATGTTGGTATGAACACTGCCTTCTTGGAGCTCGTGCAGTACTCTTTGTATCTTCCATCCCACCCTGATCTATAAGAGCACGCCGTGGAATTAATGAAGTACTATTAGTCTTGAGAAGTACTTCCGTCAAAATGACTAGCACAAAGCCCACCGACGCCACTGCTTTCTTTGGTATGCTTTTCAGGCTGATGTTAACGCCCTCACTAATTCGGCCAATCAGTCGATTTCATGATGGGAGGTACTGCAGCTGCTATATCGAAGACTGCAGCCGCTCCCATTGAACGCATCAAACTCCTTATACAGAATCAGGGAGCTATGATTGCTTCTGGAAGGCTCGACCATCCCTACAAGGGCATCACTGACTGCTTCAAGCGGACCGTCTCGGAAGAAGGGGCCATCAGCTGTGCGCTGTAAACTTCTTAGTACAGCCGTTCATGATGTTCATCTCAAACGGGGATAGTGTGGAGGGGTAATGGGACGAATGTGCTCAGATACTTCCCTACCCAGGCCCTGAATTTTGCATTCAAGGACAGCTTCAAAAAAATGTTTGGTTTCAAAAAATCAGAACAATTCGGTTTATGGGTTCTTGGTATGAAAAATGTTGCTTAGCATTTTCGAATAAATGGCCGAGACGAGTTGTCAGGAAACATCGCCAGTGGAGCAGCCGCTGGAGCATCTTCCTCCGTCTTCGTGTATTCACTTGATTAGTACGTCCACGATATTGTGGAATGCAAACAGGCATTCACGCCATAATGATGCAGCGCCCGCACACGATTATCTGCTGACGGCAAGAGTTCCGCTAAAGGAGGCCAACGCCAATTTTCCGGTTTGATCGACGTATACAGGCAGACCCTCCGTTCCGACGGGATTGTCGGCTTGTACAGAGGATTCGTACCCAGCGTGGTCGGCATCTGCGTATATCGAGGTCTCTAGTGCGTTCACAATTCTTACTCCGGCATAAATGTTTAGTGATGCCTTGAACAGCTTTGGGGGGTATGACACAATTAGAGACACGTTGCTAGTAGGAAGTTTGCGCGGTAACTTTCTTGCATCTTTTGCTGTGGGTTGGATGTGCACGACGGTGAGTCGACAGTTATATGGCTATGATGACCTTGAACATAAGTCTCCAGGGAGCGGCATTGGCTGCATACCCACTTGACACCATCAGGAGACGGATGATGATGACGTCCGGGGAAAAGGTAGACCATCTTACTCGTATGCTGAGCATGTCTCGACCTACTAATGGGTGTAGGTACAATATAAATCCTTTATTGACGCTGGCCGGCATATAATGGCTAAAGAGGGTATAAGGTCGTTGTTCGGTAGGTCAAGTGCGCTGAAGGGATACAGTTAACAGTCTAACACGCACGATGAAAGCTGGGGCAGGTGCAAATATCCTTCGTGGTGTGGCTGGTGCGGGTGTGCTGTCTTTGTATGACAAGTATGGTTTTCCTAAAATAGTCACTTACTATCTCTAACTCCGAATGCTTCTGCAGATTCCAGGAACTCGCTTGGGGAAAGGTATACCAGGCTGGATCTGGTTGACAGTGTGTTAGAGGATGTGCAATGTATAGCAATACGGCGGAACAGTTATCGTAGTTGAGAAAACGCTTATCAGGTACCAATGTCTTCGACCCTAGATTGATTTATAACTCTATTGTTTCCTTTGCCTTGAACTTCCGGCCCGCACGATCTGCAGATCGAAAACAGAACTGATTGCCATACAGATCGAAAGCGATATGCGGAGCATCCAGGACAGTTCCTGAACATTGACCACTCAGCGCAGAGCCGACAGCTTCTACTGGCTCGAATTGCGTTTGGAGCAATGTAGAGTATAAGGGAACCGCCAGCGTGAAGATTGAGTTCTGTTTTGGAATCACTGGATTTTTGCGTCACAACTACATTGAAAGGCGAGAAATGGGAGTACTTATTCACGTTTGAGTTGATCTTTGCGAGTGATTACTTTGAAAGCGTTCTCAGTTTCGTGGATCACGATACCAGACAGGCCGACTAAACAAGGATTCTTGCTCTGACGAACTGGGAAGTGAACAGAACAAGTGAGTATATGAACAAATAACGACTGGACTTGAATACCTGTTAATAGAGAACCGTGGAAGTCGGCCTTCACCAACTTTGGGTGCATTGATGATGCGCTGGGCATTGCTTCGGTGACTGGAACGGAAGACGGAGGCGAGAGCCCTAAGAGTTCGGACATGTATCCCATCCATAACTGATGGAGTGGGAGGAATAGATCAAATCTGCAGATGGATGGTCAGCAGACAAGCGCATAGCGCTCAAATTCTTAATGATCACTTTTCTGCCCCATTCTCGAGTTTCCAGAGACCTTTTGCGTCTGCTGGTCTCCGTCCTAGCGCAGCAGTTTTTCTCTTCCTCTTTTCCAATTCCCTTCTTGCTTTCTTTGCGTTGTGTTCTTTCTGTGCGTTGCTGGCACGAGCAGGGTTTTCTAGGACGATGTGCCTATTCTTAACACGATTTGTGTATATTCCCTGTGGATCTCCTGATTGGGTGAGTGAGGCCTGAATATATGTGGGCGTGAAGGGTGCCTCGGTGCTGAGCTTCACTCGCTGATTCTGGGACTAAGCACTTTAGGTCAATCCAACACAGCCTTGAGAGATGAAAACACCGTTTGGAGAGCCAGCGGCTTGTATGGATCAACTTGGGTCAACAAGGACATGACGACGGACTCGGACGCCTGGGAGTCACTACGTGGAAGGTGGTTAGCTTGAGGTTAAATTATGAACCTGCGAGCGCGACGACTCATGGTACATATACGCAGCTGCCTGGATTCAAATCCTACTCACCGCTGCGGTGGCTGTCACTGGTTGACAATCAAGGGCAGGTGGTTATCATTCTCACGTGACATCTAGTTATCATAACTTATCATAAACTTTTCTAAGTGACAATGTAATATCGGTATCAAACTTATGACCAACATGCCCACTACAAGATCATCATCCAAACCATCATATCAGCCATGAGACTTCTAAACGGAAACCAATATCCAACGGAGTAAAGCTTCAAGTATTGTGAGTAATCAGCTCTCCTCGTTTAGGTACAACGAGGCGCGGACTAGAGAAAAACTCACATCGCAAATAGCATGACGGCCAGAAAGGAATGAGTTGGACGTAAGCTCTTCGCGATCACTCTCGCAAATGCGTGTCACCGGTCGCTGAACAAGTGCGGCACATCCGACATACACAGTAGGTTGACCCCAGCTTCCTCCAACTCCACCTCTATTTCCGACTCCACATCGTGGGCGGCTGTGACCATACCACCATTCCACACTTCAATGCGATCGTAGGTTGCGTGTGCTTCTTTGATCAAGATGACGGTGTTCCCTCTAGCCAAGGCTGCGCTACAAGTAGCACGCACGCAGTAATCGCTTTGCATGCCGATAACTATGAGTTCAGCGTCACGTGGAATAAGTTCAGCGAGTTTTGTTCCGGCAAATGCATTGTTTTTCAACTTGTCGATAACGAACTCGTGCTCAAGTGGTGGAAAAACGAGCTGCCAGCCGGGGGAGTTCGGTGCGTCTGGATCACCTGACTCTCCGGAGTTGCGGATATGAATGATGCGAGGTGGTTGCTTTGCAGAGCGAGCACGGTTAAGAATGTGTTCAATGTTCCGATAAACAGTCTCAGAAGAGGGGACGCCGCCTTTTTTTGGGCTGCTGAGCATACAAACTTGCACGTCCAGGACTAAGAGGACGCGACAAGTGAGGCATGGAGGGCTTTGAGGACTCGGATGCGTGCTGTGAATGGGATGACGGGTCATGACATGCAATGAGAGCGAGAAAGTCACGGACAATCAGAAAGGCAATCCGATCCTTTATATAGACAATAACCGTGACCGCAGGCCGGGTGAAAGCCTGAGGCCTTGAGGCGACAGGGCTGGGATGAATTCGCATGAGTAACAGTTATCGCATAATAATATTTGCCTCTATTTATCTATCAAGAATTACTGATCGCGTGACGTCACGCGACCATCTCAATTACATACGCAAATTATTTGTATCCTGATTCACCTCCTAGCTGGAAACTGTGAGACCCTGGTGCTTTCAGGAAAATTATACGACATTTTCTACGTGTATCACTAGTTTTCCTATACGGCTGGATCATCAGGTAACCAGAGTCCGAAGCCTCTGATGACGAACGTGCCTCGAGGAAGAAGGATGCTTAATTATGATAACACTGCTCCACTTGTTGGCCTTGACCATCTTGGTAGGTCATCATTACCACACCGATTAGAAAGGGACCGCGTGAGTGCCGTAATCGAATAATCTTACAGGCTGAGGAGCCCACACTCGCGGCGAACCTCGCGGAAGATGACTGAAGTATCAGTCCTTTCGTTTATCTGTTCGGTGATCTATATTGTCCCCACAGAAAATTGCGACACTTTCATTTTATCAAGCCGGGATCTTCATAAGCAATTCTGCAGAGATGATGATACGAAACATGTGACCTTACCACGAAGCCACACAGACCGACGGATGACACGGCTTCGCTAAAGTCCTACTGGCGAATTGTCCCTCGATCCCGGGTGCATTGCTTGCGGTACCAAAATGGTGAGTTGTTTGAGGGACCCATCCAGGAACTATAATTATTTCAGGCAAGGCATAAGCACATTGGTCAGACCGAGGAGATTAAGCGCAACGGGCGGCGATGTGCGGGCGAGGGGACGTGTTTCATAATAGCTCGTACTCGTAGTCTCCGACATGCAGGGATCGTTTACCGAACTGTTCACCAGATAAGCGATCTTCTCCTGGAAGCTACACCCCTATTGTGAGAATAATCGTCCTAGTATGAGAACCTAACTCACATGTCTGATGTCCTTGGTGATTTGAATTCAATGTATGCGTGTGGATTGCAAACTCTCTTCAAATCAAATTATTGCCATTTCTGTCGTATGACAGCAAGATAGTATCAAGAAGCATCTGTTCAATAGTTAGATTTTTATTAACCGTACAGATCAGCCACAGAATCAAGTAAAGAAAACCTCTTCGAACTCCCCCGACTCCTTCATTTCCTTGACTACATCCAATCCTCCCACAAAGTCGCCTTTTACTATGAACTGTGGGAAGGTGGGCCAATCGTTCAGTTTCTTCAGACCTACCCGGGAATAAAAGATCAATTAAACGATATCCCTCAAACCCTGCATAAACTCACCTTGCCGCACACTGTCGTCACCGAGAATGTCAAAATGGGTGAATGCAACCTTTTTCTCCCTCAACAACGCCACGGCAGTCTTGGAAAATCCACACCGAGGCGTATCTGGCTCCCCTTTCATGAACAGGACCACTGCGCTTTGATTCATGATACCACGCATACGAGCTTCTAACTGTTCTGGCGTCTCGGAAGATAGAGCAGGGGTAGGAGGTTGAGATGTCGTTGACTGGGGAGCTACGGAGGACTTGTTTCCCAAGCACTCTGTGATCGTTTTTGTAAGCTGGGCCGCATCTCCACCTTCGATTCGGGCAAGTAAAGCATGGCCCTTTGACGTTCGCTTAGTCACATTCAGGGAAGAGGAGATTTCCAGAATACTCACCTGGATAACCAAGCATGTCGGAACGGAGTTGATGTCAAAGGAGTCTGTTATATCTGCTTGCTCTTCTGCCTCTACCTGGTGTTATGTCGTCAATCTTGTGGTGCTTGATAAGGTCCTAGTAGGTACTTGCCCTGAGTGCGAGGAGTTTTGGATGTGCCTTCGCTAGCCCTTCCACAACCTGATTCATTTGTACACATGGCTCAGCCCAGGACGTCCAGAAGTAGATTAGTGATATACGTTTGAGATCCTTCGAGAGCAGCTCTTGAAATTGGGAAGTATTCGGGATGTCAACGAGATTCTCGAGTGTGGACATACTGCTATCCAGTTAATGCGATAGTAGTGATTCGGTGACCAAGTGAGACCGTTATGCGTGAAAAGCGAGGATGAGTTGGCCGCTACGTTGTCCTGTGAGATAATAAAATTGTTAATTATTGAGAGTGCTGACTTAGATTGTCTAAGATGGCGTTATCGGTGCTAACTCGGGCCGTGGCATTCTTGAAAGGCTATTCAAGGGCACTCTTGAGGGCACACTCATCGAAGAGACAACGTCAAGTCGCAATCAAGTCGCATCATGCATGTATACAAGGATATTATGTAGTTGAGTACAAGTACAAGAATATAGGTATTGGACAGTAATTTCTTAGGAAGCTGCAATCAACACGTGATGCACAACCGTAAATAAGAAAGAAATCCGGCTTCCTTACGCGATCGCTCAGTGAGCATCCAGCCAATCGCCAATGCGATCAATTAGCTCAGCCTTTTTTCCTGACACCGGCTGGCTCTTGCTCTTGAGAAAGTCCTAGGAGGAAATGAGTGGGATGAAGCTTGATCAGGGACAACCAAATGATACCTTAAGTTGATCCACACGGAGCTGCAGCGATGTTGAGATTAGGCATTGCATCGGATCGTTATTCAAAGTACCCACCTTGGCCAAGGCACCAACCTCGTGTTTACTGCGGATTTCCGCCTCGTCAACTGACACGTCCTGCGCAGTCTGATCAGCAGACAGTCTCATCACAATAACAGGTGCACGTACAGCCTTCCTTTTGGACCCTGTGGTCACGGGCACGACGTTCGCGGATTCGTCGGTCAGAAGAGCCCTTTTCCACTCCTTCATAAGATTCCCAGCGCGCTGGTGCAAAATTAGATCGGAGAATGTATACCCGTGAGTATAATCCACGCACCTTGTGAATCATATCATATTTTGGACGCGTAAGATCCTCGAAGGCTTCCGGATCAAACTCTTCACGGAAGGCACTTGCTTGCAGCTGTGCATTGTGATATGCAAGGGCTGTAAGCACAGGTCAAGTTTATTATAGCGAATGACTCGGAAGGAACCTTGACTGACCGGGATTAGGATAGGAATCCGGTGGATATGCTCCGTCCTTAACACAGAGCTTGTCAATCCAGACCCTTGCGGCATCCTTAAGCTCATCCGGCGCTATGCGACAATTTAGCTCTAGGTTAGAATCTGATACATCTTGGCACACCTCGGAACGCTTCCTCCAGCGGTGCTGCTCTAATATCGTCGGCAAACGGCAAAGGGATAAGATGAAACCCTGCAGGCTCGTTCCATCCCCCCTCTTCGCCACTTTCCGCCTAGCCAGGCAGAGGCACAATTGACCCACGATAAATAATAAAATATGAAACTTACTTGCGGAAGCATTGCACAGAAAACGGGAGCAGCGTTACGTCTTGTGAGTGCCAGGACGAGACCAATCTTCTTCTTCTCTATCATTTTCTTCAGGAGAGCGGCGAATGTGCGCTTGCTTCCTGAGTATTTCTACATTGCATAGTCATTTTGGAACAAACTAAAACAAGAAGCAAACGCACTAGTTCGTTGGGATAGATAAATACAGAGTGTTTGATACTGTCCTCGAAAGCTAGTTCTGTACGATTCTTGAAACCAAGTAACTTGATGCCTATTGGTTTTATGTGAGAAACAACTCTGAGACTGATATCCACAACACACTCGGTTCAAGGTCCAGGGTGCGGAAAGACCTGATCTCATCTGCAGTATAAAAGGGCTACGCGAGGTTAACACTAAAGGAAGAAAATCAAGGACACATACTCTTTTCCCCAATGGAACAGCTCGACAATCAGTATCAGCTCCTTCGTCTTCGTCGTCGCTGACACCTTCAACAGGGGCGGCACCAAGACTCATCCCATAGACCATCTCGGTTTTGTCCACTTCCGCTTGTTGATCCTGTCATGCCAATGATTAACGCTAGCACACGATACCAAATTAATGCAGCACCTCGTCAACGTACACCGTACGGCTGTTGGCTACTTCCATGCGATCGCCGAGATCAACGAAGTACTTGTAAGTTCCTTTCTTCTGTTCTGTAACCAGCCCGTAACTGCAGCAAGTATGTTAAAGTCCAGTAAGCTGACAGGAGAATCACTAACCCCTTGATGCTGATCACAAATCCGTCTGCTAGTTGGAAAGGAATGCTGAAGATGGCATGTTTCGGCACCTCATGAAAATGCATTTGAGACAGAAGATCATCGATACGCGTAATGGATATGGATTCAGGAAGAACACCAGTATCTTCGTCTTCGTCATTCAATACGTTTGGCAATAAAACGGACTTGGAAAACCATTAGCCAACCATGAGAACTAGTGCAGATGCTTCTCACCGAGTAAAATTTGGTTGGCTCGAATGGCTTCTCAGGAGTGGCGATGAAGAACGGTTCGATTTGAACCCCTGATTGTGTCAAATCCTTATGACTCGAATTAGCCAGGCGTGCACTTTATGGGGATAGACGTACTAGAAGGGTGGTCCGAGCAGAGGTGACAAGCTGCTTGCTTCCTGGGTGTGGATTGTCATCATCTGTGATCAAAAAAACGCGTTTTGAAGCTGTCTTCGGTGCTCTGAATGAACAGGATAAGCTGGTGATACTTATTCACTAGACTGCGTCATGTTCACCCGTCACGTAAAACCCAGTTGCAGCTCGTGAATACATCACCCATGGGCATTTTCTTTCCTGTAATTGGAGGAAACGTGAATTTGAGTAGATCTGGATCTTCTCGAGCAGCTTGGAGCACAACGTTGAGTTTCAAGCGTTACACGACGGTCAACATGACAAACCATCCAACAGTTGAATCAGTTCTTGAATGGCTGGGGCACTTATGAGCGTAATAGGCTGATAAACGAAGGAGTTCTTCTTGATTTCTGTAGCGTGATTTTTTGCCTCAGAAGAGCGAGCCTTCCATGACCAATTGTGAACAAAGACTCGATGTGGTACAGCGCAAACCTCACTGTATTGAATAGCACGATGCCAACAGAATCATTTGGGCCTACTACGACTTTCTTTTTCTGAATCTGCATGGCTGCCTCAAGGGCAGTAAATAGGTGAGATGTTTTGACATCTTCGTAATTAGGGTCATCTCGAAGTTCATGCATGGATTCTGAGCAATCAATGCAAAAAAGGATAACATCACGCTTCCCCTCGAAAAACTAGGGTATATTTGCGTGAACCTTCTGGATGATGGTCTTAACTTGGCAGGAAGCACTCACTGCAGCGTCCTGTAGCTCTTCTTCTTCTTCTTCGTCAATGGTGTTCCAGTCGTCGAATGGAGGCATCAGAAGGTGGACAGGGTTGGCTTCCGTAGAAAGCGCTTTTATGCAGGTTGCAGGTCCGAGTCAATGTGGTTGGGGTCAACCGTCAGGAGCTTCTGAGCGTCGCGTTAAGGGCGAGAACGTGGCGAAATGTCAGGTGAGGAACGCGTATTACGTAATAGATGCGTGATTGCATTGCGCATTATTGTGTACGACAAGAACGACGTACACTACACTATCGATATGCCATTAAACTCACAGACCAAGCTTTTGCCATTGAGACAGATTGAGCTGCCCATTTCGCAAGTCCTCCCGGAACTGAAAATCCGAACCGATCACGATGTGGAAGTCTGGAAATCCACCAAGGGTTATGCAGATTATTTGTTGTTCCTCCATCGGCTGAGTGAAGCAGTGGTTGACTGCACGCTTCCACTTGTGGACCCCCCAAAACAGAGCCAGGTCCGCAATTATGACTGCGCCATCATTATTTGATTCATCGAGTTCACAGGAAATCGAGCGAATACTTGCTCTCCTGGATACCTTAAGCAACTGGATTGATCAAATTCCGCCCCTTCAGACTCCTCAGCGCTTTGGTAATCTTGCGTTTCGTACATGGGGCGCTCGCTTAGAGGAGGCGAGTCGGCATCAGACATGCGTGACAACAGTGTCTCACTGCAATAACGGTATTCCAGCGCTCTGATGAACTTCTTTCAAAATTGCTTGGCGAAAAGTTCGCCTCCGCTTCTCCGTATCTGAAGCCTTACTTGCTCACGTCATTTGGATCATTCCTGAGGATGGACTACGGGACTGGTCATGAATCATCATTCGCTATCTTCCTTCTTTGCCTGACCCTCATACGATTTCTCCAACCTGACCCAGATGAAGAGCGACATTTGGTCCTCAGCGTTTTCGTACGCTATCTCCAACTGTGCTGGAAGCTCCAGGATGTCTACAAGTTGGAGCCTGCAGGGAGCCATGGCGTTTGGGGACTCGACGATTATACCTTCCTTGGATATATCTTTGGAAGCGGACAATTACGAGGTATGATAATCCACTTTCTAATTTAGTCCATTCTTTTAATTTTGTTTGCATGTGACCTCTTACCACACAGACCAGACGGATATTACTGTAGCTTCCGTCTTAAACCCCCCGCTTCCTCAAAGCAACCTATACTTCATGTCCATTATGCGGATTCATCAGGTCAAACATGGACCGTTTTACGAACACTCGTCTCAGCTTCACTCAATCGCCATTGGGGTTCCTAATTGGGGGAAAGTTCACAATGGGTTGTTTAAGATGTTTGAGGTGACGACCCTTCATTCTTCATATCGGACCTTCTGATTGAACTATACTCAGGCGGAAGTTCTGGGCAAGAGAGTAGTAGTTCAGCATCTACCCCTGGGTGGTCTGATGGAATGGGATACCCACGTCGATCAGCGTCACGCGCCGTCAATGTCGCACGACGCACCTGCCACCGCGGCTGCCCGTGCTCCTTGGGCACATCCTCGCTAGTGATTGAGAATTTTATCCGACGGCTTATACAAAGTATTTTTCTTCAGTCTTTGGTCACCAATGTCAAGTAGATGCGGGATATATGGCGGTCCGCGTCCCTATCACCTTTACGGAATATCCTGAGAGACACTCAATTGTTTTGTTGATTCCGCTTGGCCCTGGCGCCATGGAATGTTCCGATCTACCTGTCACTTTTCGTACAGTGATCAAAGGATTGTCCGAGTCGCCAATATATGACGGAGATCTTACGGCGTATAAAGTGCCAGCATTTCAATCCATCGGATGTTTTACGCCAACCGCGTACAAATACTGAGCAGCGCAAATCTTTATCGCAAGGTTCCTGCGTAGATAGCAGTCACGCCCTTGATTTCATTTGCAGTCGAGAATTACCGCCACAGACAGACTCGTGGAATGGACATAACCGCTATGGCTATACCGCCCCGTTAAACGACCTCGACCCGGGCCTGTGTCGGCTGTACACCCCGGGGATAATACACTACGCTAGCCGAAGCATTTCCTCTCCCTCGCTGCACAAGGTTGCGCATTGCCCAAAACGACGTTATTTGTTTGTCCGGACGATTCCTACGAAGTTCACATATTATAACGGCGCCTTTGAACCTAAAAAGCATATGGGTGGACCTCGGTCCGTTGCAGTCCGTTGCTCGTGCTAAGATCACTTTGGAAAATAACGCTGAATGGGGATTTTGGGGCAATGATACCACGTTTCTTTCCGTCAACAACTCGAGGCATCTCGAGGCTCGAAGCTTCGTGAAGGAAACCGACGTAGCTTCTGAAGCCACTTCTAAGAACAAGCTCCATTCGTTGTTGTGCATGCACAAATAAGCATGACGCCCAAGACGGGGGAAACAGGAAATGATGTGACCCAGCAGAAAGAACTACTTGTTATGGACATGTCAGAATCAAGGTTCAGTCTCAAATGGGGACAACCATTCTGACAATGGAACATATAAGTACCATGTTGCACAAGAACCAGTGGAGAGGTCATGGGAATGGTCTCAAATGGAAGACCGTGAATTCAAACTATACCTGTCAGCATTTCAGGAGGGATGTCATCGCCTACCGATCGGAGAAATACTGCTAAACAAGGATTTCACGAGAGCTCACGCTGCCCTGCAATGGCAGCTCGCCGAGGAGGGCGTAGTGTTATAATCGTGGGGAGAAATTTATCTTTGGTTACCTCGCGTTCCGTCAATAGAGGGAAGTGGAAGCGAGATCTATACTGATCTCAGCTATAACGGACCAAAGCGACGAGAACACGCGGCGAAGAAGCGTCTTCGACGGAAAGCAAGGAACACACCTGTTTATATCCTTCTGTGGGATTCTGGCTTGTTCGAGGTACTGGGAATCTAGGTTCCACTCTGTTGTTTAGTGAATCTGACATGTCTAGGCACCGCAATGACCACAAGCTCCACGAGTTCAGTCCCCGCAGCAGACAGACGAGGTGCATGTGCTTTAGAATGCATCTCGTTTTCTTGGATCTATTCGGACTTCAGATCGCAGGCGTGAACAAAAGGAGTGCAAGAATTGCTTACTAGTCCGAAGAACCGACCGACCAGCGTTAATGGAGGATACCCTATGTAAATTTCCATCGAGGAATGCTTCTAAGGCGCAAATCTATATGATCTTGTCATAGAAGAGTCCTCGAAGAAGGTGGAGGAATGAAAACGTAGCGGCGGTGTTATGACTCGGAACTACGTCACACAAATGCTGTGTCGGTGTTGCACCACAGCGATGGGTAGGAATTACGTAATGATTTGGCTCATCGGAACTTCCAATGGATCACCAAAATTTCTTTCAATTCAACGAGTCATTGGCAATTTGCAGGCCAACCGCAAATCAGCCTTTGCCAACAGCAAATCGCGTATCTTCGTTGTAGTCGTTATAACGGCGACTCCAGAGACTCTCGGTATCATCATTACTGATCAGGAAAGGAATAGTGATCTCCGCCTGTTGACCCTCGAGTACGTCCTTCATTTCTCCTAATATATCAACCAATACTAACTTTCCACCGCACTGCCAGGTGGTCTTCCGTTCGTGGTAAGCTAAAAGCTCCATGCTGTGATGGCGTTTGATTTTAAACCTCGGTTCAGGCGAACCTCCTTGACAGGACTCTCTTCCTTCCTTTGCCTACCTCATCTTTTTCCACTCTCGTCTCAGTTTCCTTTTCGATTGATTTTATTATTATTACCTTACCCTTCAAGCCTTTTCCTCGCTGGACAGGGAGCGAGGAACCCACCACTTACTGAAGAGGACCCTTTACTGCCGTACTAGCCCGTGGTTCCTCAGAGACCAGCGGTTCTGGTTCGGTAATTCGAGGTTTTGAAAAGAACTCCAGCCATCCACACCGGCTGCGGTCAAAACTCCGTTATAGACAAGTCCGATCACACAGTTCTATCACCCACGGACCATCTTCTGATGTCTCCGGTTGAAATACTTTCTGCTTTGAACCCACTCGACCACTTCATTTCAAGCAACTTCCAAAAATTACCAGGAAATTCAGACGCCTCTTTCGACCCCGTGATCCAGGACCTGTCAGCATTGATTGACGTAGCAACCAATGACATCGCAGGAGAGAATCGGCTAGATGATGACAAAATATTTTCTTGTCTCCCCCCACTGTTTAGGGGACACCCCGAAATCCATCTTCGCAAGGGCATCATAGATGCCGCAATGCGGGCTGGTGCCAACGAGGTTGATGCAGAAAGAGCCTTTTTCGTGGCTGATCTGAGCCAAGTCTATCGCCAACATGAGCGATGGATGAAGAATCTTCCAGAGATTACCCCGCATTACGGTCTGTACGGGCGCCTTGGATAACTCCTGTAACTTCTGACCAAGTCCTTAGCGATCAAGTGCAACCCGGATCCATACGTTATCAGGCTTCTCGCTGCTTTGGGGGCTGGCTTTGACTGCGCATCCAATGGGGAAATTTCCCAGGTCCTCAGCATTGGCGGTGTCGATCCATCGAGGATCATTTTCGCCAACCCTTGTAAAGCAACTTCCTTCGTGCGGAGCGCTGCAAGAGCCGGCGTTAACACTATGACATTCGACAATGCTGATGAATTGTACAAAATTGCACGTGCACACCCGGGTGCAAAACTTATCGTTCGTATTCTCGCGGATGATTCCAAAAGTATCTGTCGGTTCGGTATCAAATTCGGAGCACCCCTTGAGGTTGTTCCCAGCCTCTTGTCGAAGGCTAAGGAGCTCGGGCTAGACGTGATTGGGGTCAGTTTCCACGTGGGAAGTGGGTGCTATGACCCAGCCATCTACGGGGATGCCATTAGGCGCGCCCGCGACGTCTTCATTATGGGGTCTCAAGTTGGTTATCAATTCAGCCTTCTAGATGTTGGCGGCGGTTTTGAAGATGCACGATTTGAAGCCGCCGCATCTGTTTTGGTCGACGCCATTAATCAATACTTCCCTGACCGAAAAGGTATCAGGCTAATTGCGGAGCCTGGCCGTTTTTATGTGTCTAGAGCATTTAGTCTTGCTGCGAACATCATCGCACGCAGGGCGCCGATGATCGAAAACTCATTGGAGCCCTTGGATCCGAAGCTAACTTCGGACTGAACCAAGCGTCATGTGTATGTGGATAACCTTCTCATACCGTCACTAAACTTACACTGGTGGCGCAGACTACATCAACGATGGCGTGTACGGCGCGTTCAACTGCATCATGTTTGATCACCAGACCGTGAACCCCTACGTCCTTTCCCTTGACGGATCGTTCCACATCTCTCCCTCGGAGCCTTTGTCACTCTGCAGCGTATGGGGGCCGACGTGTGACTCTATTGACTGCGTGTGCAAGGCAGTTGAACTGCCAGAGGCCCTTCAAATTGGGGACTGGCTTGGTTTTGACAATATGGGTGCATATACTATATGCGCTGCGAGCCAGTTCAACGGATTCAAGTTTAGTAACGTGATCTATACTACAAGCAAAGGTGGCGGAGACGAGGCTCGGCGTGTACTGTGCAATTTTGCTGCGAAAGGATATGGACACGGTGCTGGACCTTACTAGATGCACATGTATAAGGATATGTCAATAGAGCTGTGTTTGTTGTGATGCTTGGGGTAGACGAGAAAAAGTGTCCGTATGAGGAGTAGTTGTCGTGCGATCGTGCCTATGTTACGCTTATTTTTGCGTGTATTTTCGGTACCGAAGGCATTCTCCAGGATGCCGGGTCGTTGTTCCGGGGTTTCACCTGGTTTCGCTGGATCCAAAATACGTTGAGGGTGAATCCGGAACGTTTCGAGGTCTACCAATTTGTGATCGACGCTTCGCTCTTCTGAGGCACCCATGAGCTGATCGAAGCTCGCTTCCAAATAAGGGCATATTGCTCTCATAACAAGGTGAGGAGTAACCTCCCGAGGGAGCGTTCATTGATTCAGGTCCGACTCATTAGAATCATTTGTCAGCACAGTATATTGAAATAGGAATAGTCGGGGATTATGTAGTACGTTTCCGAGGGTGGGCTCATTTATGTAAATAATTAGAAAAGGGTGTCTCGAGGATAATATGCGGAGCGAGTACTCTGAGACTGTGATGCTGGGATTCTGATGGCCTGTTTCAACTCCAGAGCGGGTAAAGTAAGTCCGTGGGCGGCGTCACTGATAGGGCCATGTGAGTCTGTGGTCAAATTTGACGCGCGTGTCGCATGGAGCTTAAAGAAAGGCCGGGAGTGCCATATAGATTTGATAGCTATTGATACCCGCGACCTCGACACTCATTGCACCCAAAAGTGGTGTTATTGTCCGCAGTGTCTCCATGAAAATCATGGCTGAATGCTTCTGCCGGGAGTGTACAAACCTTGTTCGGTTGTCTTTTTGGTTGAACGTCAAATGTGCCTCATGAGGCTTCCGGCAGCACTCCCTCCATAACACGATTGATGCGGCCTTTTAGTTGACAAGAGTGTGACAAAGTGGCAGGTTGGTGCCGTCAGAGAGGTATCCTCGTGATGGGCTGTGATAGTAGGCGACGGCTGGCTATGGCAGACGGAGACCACGGAAGCGTGAGGAAATGTCATTGCCAGCGCTCTCTAGTGAGATAGAAAGTTGTCAAGGTTTATTAGAAAATGTGACAAGAATTCTTTCTCGAGAACACTGGCAGGGCAATAGAAGAATGGAAGGTTCTGATGCCAAATTTGGGTATGATCGTTTTGAACTTGCCGGTGCCGAGGGTTGCCGTCGGGGAAGCGTGCCTCGCGCGATTGCTTGGGCCGGTCTACGCATGTAACAGGTCTATATACGGCATTCATGTAATGCTATCTAGGTATATATGTCAACTACTAGCGTCGATGCGGCAGAAACCATTTACTTAGATACTAGTAACATCCAAAACGACGACGACGTGGCCCATCATCAGTTCCATCAATTCAATTCTGACTCATCATCCGCAGACATAACTTATAACAAGTTCCTGGTCTCCTCAAAATTATTTTATATTCCCCGTTGGTCCCCACTTTTCCCCCGGAATACTTTCCATTCCTGAGCTCTCTCGATAATGTCTTCCAATGTACTACCGGTGAGCCACACTTCCTATTTAGTTCATCCTCGTTTCATTCATATTCTGCACAAAGGATTCCATGGCATCTTCACCTTCAATGCCTCAACAAGGTCCCCGATTTCGTCCGTACGCAAGTCCTAACCACCAGGTCAGCAAAGGCCGCTATATCACAAGTAATGACCCAAGAGGTTACATGTAAGCACTCCTTCTATCCTGCCTCACACGGCGAGCCTCAACTCCTTCTCAGTCCTGTATATGAATACCCGCTAAACTGGTCAATGGATTATGATGGACATTGACGATGGGTATATTCTCTGGACGGGCATTTGGAAAGGTGAGAGATTTACACTCACATGGTAGTTCAGTTACTTACCCCCTCCGCGATCTCAGCTCTCGGCAATTCAAAGGGTGAGTATACCATGACCCTCCTCCTGCAGCTTGTGTCTCACATGCAAGCAAGCCGACATTGTGAAAATGATCGATTCACAGCCTGACTTGGCCCCCGTTATCCGCCGTGTACGGGGAGGATATTTAAAAATTCAAGGAACATGGATGCCTTACGAGGTGAGCATTCCCGCTTCCTATATACAGCAGTGCTTACCCCATATTAGGTCGCTCTCCGACTTTCACGACGGTAAGCTTGTGAGCTCCATAGCTAGGAGCAGTCTTTGATTTTGATTTCAGAGTGGCTTGGCCAATTCGTGAAGATCTGGTACCTCTTTTCGGGTACATTTTTTTTGCACTGTTATCCTAGGATAGCTGACTCATTTTTTATAGGCCCACATTCCCAAGCACGTGTCTCTCCCCGGACCAACCAGGCTATGGTCAAGTGGTATCCACTGCATCCGGGCGGAGGCGATCGCGCCGGAACAACCAAGTAGTCGCGCCTGCGCCACCTGTTCCTCGCGATTCGCAAACATCATGGGCCATTCCCGCTGCAGGACCAGGTGCCCACACCAATTCATCAGCGCACTATTTGCCCTCAGGACAGCCAGCTTCCCTTCCATCGATGATGTACAGGGATCCGTCATCTTACTCCCATCCGCAGCCCATAAATCCGCCTCTGCATATCTCCTCTTCTGCATCTCCGATTATGCGCGAGCGCTCCGCGCGCTCGCGATATTCCCCTTACCCCGCTCCACCGTCTTTGCCTACTCGCAAACCTTCAGTTGCAACTAGTGACTCGGTTTCGCTAGATATTCCTTCAATTTCTCTACAGGATATGCATCATGATAGTCGAAATGGAAAGTTCCCCGGAGACCAAATTGTCTTGCCTCCGATCCAACCTTTGGCTCCTCCAAAGCACATAAGCACTACATCATATGCACTGCCTCCCATTTCTGCGCTCGAAGACTTGCGAGGGATTTCTACGTACGACTCTGCAGCGGTACTGGAACGCTTGAAGATGGATGACGAGTGTGCCGTCGATACCAGACATGAGGCCACTCAGTGGCCAAGGCAAAGATCAGTGTCTACATCGTATCAACGGTAATTATTTTTTGTACCTGTATCGCTTACAATAATGATGACCCTTATTTATCAGAGCACCACAATCCTATCCGCCAAGTTCGTGGCCGAAACACGGATCATCAGGCACACATCGCTCCTCCCTGGATGGGCCCTTCAGCGCAGAAACCTCAAGATCGTATCGAACGCCACATTCGCCGGAGCTCAGCATGAGTTATCATTCATCTCATGATGGAAGCTCCGTTGATGGCGCATCTCCTGTATCGCCTACAACACCACGTTCTGTGGAAGTCTCGTCGTATAAATCGAGTCATATTGACCAGATGTCACCCGGGAAACAGCGCGCGCACGCGGGCCATGACACATCGCGGCTGCCATCGCCTCCTGATGCGCAGAGGTACAGCCGGAAATCAGCTGCTGGGGTAGACCCCCGGCTATCCGCTTGTCGCCATTCTTGTGATGATGACGAGGCTGAATCTGATTCGTCGGTACGAGGGCCACATCGTCCGTGGTAGTATGTTTGATATCAATTCATTCATGGTTTTCATTCCCTCATGGTCGTACATATTCACGTTCGTCCGCACTGTCGGCCTTAATCATCTTCCGTATTTGATTTTATACTGTCATGTCTACTATCGTCGCATGGATTCAAGCTGCATTGATTTAGTTGTAATATACCAGGGTCACGTATAATAATTTACTTTGATAGGATGGCCTCCTCTTCACTTCCTTCAGTCCGAGCGAACGAAGGTTTAGCCACTATGTTTGGATACCACGTCCGATTCCAACGTAGGGTCTCGTGGAGCTCAACATTCTGATGTCGGAACATGAACATCTGTGAAAATGTTGAGGAAACCCTATCGGGACAATGTCCGAACCGCTATGAAATAGACACGACAGAACCACGGGGTCGAGACGTCGACCTAGATGACACATCTTAATCTATCTTAATCTTATTCTCCACGATCACCTACATGGGTATTTAAATCCAAAAGAAGGAGCCTGGGTGGTATCGAAGGAACGATATGAGATTCTTAAGTGACCGCATCGATGACAAAATGTAAGCGTGTAAGCGGCCGGGCTTTTCGCGGCTGTCAAATCTCAGCGCGTTGACATTGTCCGGTGCAGGGCCCGTAGCCTGAGGTGGGAGCCTGAGTCCGGCGAGGCTGATACCGGACTGCTGGTTGCCCAGGCAAATGACACAGTTGCGAATTGGAATTCTAACGGACACATTGTCTGGCGGCCGAAGCGGGAGAACAGGGCCTTAGTGGGGCAACTGTCTTCACAGGAGAGGGGACATAGATGCCGGGATCATGCGCAAGGGCCATTTCAAAAGCATGCATTAGGAAGGTCGGTTTGACGTTGTGTCAGGGACCTGCTAGTCACTACTGCGGCGAGACAACAGTTAGGCAGTTCTGTGGCCTGAAGTGGATCGCCTGAGAAGACTGTTTAGAGCTAAGCAATATGTTCGATGCTGATTGATAAAAATATGACAGACCTAAGTTAGGAACGTCGAACATGCGTGAACCACGACTAAGATGTCTTGCTTCATTGGCTTCCCTCAGGAAGTCAGGGAGACCGGGCATAAATTAGCTGCGAGAAAGCAGTTCCCTGATTGTAATATGGTCAAGAAGTTTGATGATATGCTTCGAGATGCACCACCTGCGCACGCGCACTCACGGACCATGGAAGGACGATTATAGATCTACGCCTCCGTATTAGTCAAGTTGGTTCTATTCTCGAGCGTCTATAAATTCGATCATGCAGTGCAGAGAAAATGGACTAGACGTACCTCGAGATCAAATGCTAGATGTGCAGTGGGTGTCAGCTTTGCTATGAGAGATATCAGTTAGGATGCCGTATAGAGCATATCGATAATACCTGTTTTGTGTGGTCAGAAACACCCGCCAAACTAGGTCTGAGAAGAGAGATCGATAGGAGTTTTCACATAATTGCCTCGCCTTTTAATTCGCGTTTGAAGCTAAGTTGCAGCGCCATTGAATCACAGCACTGGCGAGCCTGTCAGGTGTAGCTAAGCTATAGCCGCTCAGTTAATATGCGACTATACATTTCTAACAGCTTTACCCAGTTGACAACTGGGCGGCAGTTGCCGGCATAACTACCTGATGGCGCAAGATGCTAATCGTCTAGTGTACATTATAGCAATCATTGCCCCTTTAATTGGTCACTGAGTAAACGCTGTAAGTAGAAAGACATGTGGCCATCTCAAAGGAGGCAGTTGATATTGGCAGAAGGTATCACGCAAGATAAGAACGAAGGCAATTAGATGAAGCAAGGCTGTGACAGACCTTGTCCGAATGTGTCATCCAGTCGCCCAGTGCTTGCAGAAGAGAACGAGTCAAAGCATGGCAATATTCAAATGTGATGGTTTCATGAGCTCTCTTCTCAGCTCTCAAAACAATTACAACTCGAGTTTTCGAAGCCCGGCGACCAGTCTTTTGTCGCCTTTGTACCGTCGGTCGAGGTAGCACGCACAGATCGTTGTTCCGGGAATCTAGATAGTACCGAATGAGGGCATCGGAGCAAGGTTCGATGTCTAGCAGGCCCCAGGACCTCAGTAGTGTCTACTGCAAGGAATCTACATGCCGAAACGCGCTTACACTTGGTGAGATTAGAATTTGGCGCCATGGGCGTCTGGAGGATGCAGGTACCAAGCTCGAAAATGTTAAATGCGTGAGCTTAGCATACACATGGCATACACGATGCACGTTTATACCCGAGATTGCACTGCTCGTTGAACGAACATGTCGGGAATTTCCGCACATGCGACAACATTACCATTTTTGGCGTGTCTGAATCTGTACTAGTAGTTTGCACTCATCGACCAAGGCCGCCAACACAGCGCCTAGCTTTAACTAGACACCCTCTTAGCGGCTATCTGAGTTCTAGCCATAGTGTCTGGACACTGGGTTTTGGGCCAGCGTAGGAGTGGTCCATATATATCAACGGAGCCAGAAGAAATTCCGCTTAGGTCACTTGCACCCTCGACCTTGAGTGGCCCGTCTCTTCAGGCATTTGCAATGAAATTCAGGTGTGCATCATTCTCAAATTAAAATCAACAGTTCTGTGATGCTCTGTCAGTTCGGCATTAAAGTTCAATGCTGTTGCAGATTGGTGGGAGGAATATATCGCGTATGTTTGATCCCTCATATCCAAACACAAACGCTCTTAACGTATCTTGAAGCTATGATGTGCTCAAACGATACATTTATCAGCTGGAGAAGCGGCAGCAACGTGCGGGTGGTATAGAATCGTCCTATCATGACTTGGAGGCCAATGAACAAACATCCCTTGTCGACCACAGTGACGCGTCTGGCGCGGACATTCTCTTTAAGCCACTACTCGACAGAGAACTGCAGAAGATTGTGAGGTTTTACGAAGCGCAAGAGAAGGAGTTGCTGGGTGAACTCGCGGCGCTGGAGCAATCTATTACGCAGCAAGACGAGGCAGGGCTTGAGGCAGGACTCAATTATATGGATGAAGATGAAGAAGACGAAGAAGAAGATGAGGAAGATGAATACAACATGTCAACTCGATCTGAAGACTACGATAAAGGGTCCCGCCGCAGGCGCCGCAAATCGAGCTCCGTCGGATACAGAACGCGTGTTGCAGCAGGTCTGCCTTGCAATAGCCTGTCATGCACAGCTAACGCTGATTGAACAGGTTCTATTCGAGAGGAGCCTTCGAATCGCCGCTTTAGCGTCTCTTCTAGCGAAGCGGGGGATCTAGATGCAAGTGTCTTATCCCTTGTCCCGCGCCCACGATCGGCCTCGCAGGTTGCATCTGGTTCGCGTGGTGCAAGCGCCAGTATGTCTCCGATGGGGAGAGCTCGTAGCTTGGCTAGCCGACTGAGAACTATGAAGGATAACATAACCACCGCTGGAGACACCATCTGGACCGCAAAGGGCAGCTATGCCTTGGATACCCGGTTACTCTTTAAGCGAAAAATTACTAACCTTTACATCTCTTTATGCTCGCTGAGGTCTTATGTGGAGGTCAATTACTCTGGCTTTCGCAAGATTCTAAAAAAGTGGGTTGGTTCTATCTCGTTGGTGTAATATTTGTTGAAGGGGTTTCTTCAGGTATGACAAGGTCGTGTATAGCGAAGTATCTAGCATTTCATCGTGTCTCTGTTTATTCATAGCTTATCATTGCCTTCAGCTTAAAGACCGTTATATGCACGAGGTTGTGGAGACCTCCGCACCATTTACAGAAGAGTCGAAAGCCAGAATGTCGGATGCCATCGCCCGACTCACTGATCTCTATGCCAAATGTGTGACAAATGGAGACAAGTCAGCAGCACAACAGGAGCTGAAGCTATACCAGCGCGAAAACATTGCTTGGGAGCGGAATACAGTCTGGCGTCAAATGATCGGGCAGCAGCGACACGGCACGATCAACGGATTAGGTGCTCTCATGGGCGCTACGCTGGTACAACAGGAAGAAAGTAGCCTGATCGATGTCCCGACCCCTCTCGGAAGTCTGAAGTTAACAAAGAAGGGGGTATCGCTCACTGTCGCTCTAGTTGTTTTCATCACTTTATTGAATATGGACATCGTTGCTGGTGAAGAGGCCAATAAATGCTTTGCCGTACTTGTATTCAGCACCATATTGTGGGCGACAGAGGTACGCAATGTCCTCTGGCTTCTACTTGTTACTTATCTTCGTATTTTAGGCAATACCCTTGTTCGTGACATCAATTTGCGTCCCCCTTCTGTTAGTATGCTTACGGGTCATACGTGATGACAATAACACTGCCTTGTCTACGCCTGATGCAACGAAGTAAGTTGCTCGAAATCACCCTCCTCGGAAATACTGAGTGCATGATCCAGATATGTATTCTCCGTTATGTTCTCGCCCACGATCATGCTTCTGATCGGAGGATTCACAATTTCTTCGGCTCTGAGCAAAACCAACATCGATCGGATTTTAATCACGAGAGTCCTGAGCTTCGCAGGTACAAGGCCCAGTTCCGTGCTTCTTGCCTTCATGGGTGTGTCTTGTTTTGCGAGTATGTGGATCAGGTAGGTCACATCTATTCCTGTTACTCACGTGTTGCCAACGTGTTTCAGTAATGTTGCAGCTCCAACACTGTGCTTCACTCTCATCCGAGTAAATGATATGCGTTCTACGCCCGCAGCAACAATTATCTAATTTTTGTTATCTTCAGCCGATCTTGAGAACGCTGCCCCCTGGTTCAGCTTTTGCGCCAGCGCTAATAGTTTGTTATCTACCATATGCGAGATCAATCACTCATGACCCCTACAGCTCGCCATTGCCTTGGCTGCTAACATAGGTGGTCAGAGCTCCCCGATATCATCTCCACAGAATCTCATCGCCCTCGCGGCAATGGATCCCAAACTCGATTGGGCGAGTTGGTTTGCTGTGGCACTTCCGGTGTCTATAATCTCCATTCTGCTTATCTGGTTGCTATTGCTTGTGATGTACCGCCCTGCTCGTTCGCCTGACGGGGAAGGAGAGATCGAGATACGAACTATCCGTCCAACAAGGGAATCCTTCACTCTCAAGCAGTATTGGGTTACGTTCGTCTGCTTATTCACGATTACTCTCTGGTGTTTTGAGCACGAAATCGAGGGCCTTGTCGGAGACATGGGTATCATTGCTATCGTTCCGATCATCGCCTTTTTTGCCACCGGTGTGCTGAAAAAGGTGCGTGGAGAATAGATTGGCAATATTCATACTAACCCACGCGTTCTCAAGGACGACTTTGAACAATTCGCTTGGACAATTGTTTTCCTCGCAATGGGCGGAATCGCTCTTGGCAAGGGTGTTACTTCTAGTGGCTTGATGGTGACTATGGATGGGATGATTCATCGCCTGCTCGAGGGTCTCTCCTTGTACACTGTCGTTCTTGTCCTCTCCCCAGTCGTTCTAGTTTGTGATCACCTATTGTGATGTTCGCAGTTTACTCAAAACTTTTTCCAGATCGTATCGACATTTATCAGTCATACAATTGCAAGTGTGCTGCTGGTTCCCATTGCGAAAGAGGTTGGACAAAGCCTACCCGGCAAACATGCAAATCTGCTCATTTTTATGACTGGTCTTCTCTGCTCTGTTGGAATGGGCATGCCTGTCTCTGGGTTTCCTAATCAAACTGCGTATGTTCATCACACGACCAATGCTAGTCAGACCTGACGCATTCTGAATGACCAGCGCGGCTCAAGAGGATGAGCTCGGACGTCTTTATCTCTCTAATATGGACTTCCTGAAGAACGGCGTGCCCGCTAGTATTATCGCCACCCTCGTACGTGGTATATCTTATAACTCAACACACATGCTTACTCGGCAATGCACGTTTAGGTCGTTGCTACCGTTGGGTTCGTTCTCATGATAGCCATAGGGTATGTTCTCGTTGTTGACAACTTGAGCGACTGTTAATCTTTATTTCATGACTTAGACTCTGATTAATCCTTGGAGGACCATCACCACGCACATGCACGAAGTTCGGGCAATAAACTGGAGTTCCCAATTGGGAGATACCCTGCATGTATCATACCTTGCTATATAATTTACAGCTACAGAACACTGATAAAATTTTCAATGACATGTCTCGTGGACTTCACTCCAACATTCTGACGAACAATACCGCATATCAGGCGAATGACAAGAGGCGCAGTCCGGTGCAGAGGGCGAGGATATTTCTGAGACATACCGTTAACACAACAAACCACCTTCTCAAGGTACGACTGAAAGAATTGTGCAGATGGTATAGTTCATGAACATATTCTGCTCTCCGACTGTCCGCATTGCATTTGATCCAACACACAGCCGCGGGGTGCGACTAGAGTCTGAACCGTCAGGTACGGAACTCTGTAAGTGCAAGATGGGGTTGTTGTTATCACACCCTCGTCTTTGCGGTATTTGATTTCGATATGTGCCGCCGCGCCCCCTGCTGCGTTTCCTGAGTAGTTTTCCATCAGACAAAGGACCGACGCATTGGCATCGGTGAAATGGTAATCAAGGTCAAGGCGAAAGTAATTAACAAAAAAACAATTACCAAAGCATAGCAACCAAACTCGCCGTCATGATCAAGCGAACTGCGCATGCTGGCATATGGCCTAGATTGTGGTGTTCCTGTGTCTGTAAGGGCACATGGACCTCATACACTTCGAGCGGGGAAGAAGTTTGAAGTCCTCATGCCCGGTTCAAGCTTCCAACAGGTAGGCATTGAAGTCGGCGGGATTAGTCCACCATATTCTGCCATAATCCACAGCACCGTCCACATGTTCTAGAGATAAAGTTTCGATATCATTCAAGTTGACTTGTTCGTGGGCACCTTAATGGCATCAAATCGCACGCCCTGTTATGCAGCCTTTTACAGCCATTCCATGAAGAAACTTCAAGTCGGTAAGGAAATCGGGAGCCGAGAATGCGAAGCTACGCGGAAGGGGAATGCGGGATGTGAAGCACTTTTTATACAATTCACATGTCCAAGTTGTAGTCTCCAAAGTGCCGGAATTCGAAGTCCATCGTCCACTCAGACTCGGGTGTTCTCCATAAGCTCGGAGTTTTGAAAGTCATGCGCTGATGGAGGATATCAAGGCATGGGAAGTATGCTTAGCAGGGGCCCTGCATTAACAAGACGATGACCAATTGCATTCAAAATAGCTGCCTCACAGCACGCGAGAGGGGGAAGGGGTGAGATTGCGAGGCATAATAACCTTCATAGTAGGAACGACTCTTGCCCCAAGTAAGTTGGCTATGTCGTGGGATGGAAACATGAATAACGTACTTGAGTTGTAGTAATGGGTTCCGTGACATCCCAGAAGACTACGATCTCGAATGGGACTTAGATAGTTTTACTTTTGAGCACGCTGCTGTATGTAGCATATGTTCAATTCGACCTACCCGGTGCTGAATATACGACACGTTCACCAACAACTAGATCGAATTGATCAGCAAACTGGGCCAGTACTTCGTTCGCACTGAGTCTGACGACTGGCATGATTATTTACATTACTACTTGAAAATTACTTACCGTGTGCCAGTGTCTTTGTCGATAATCATCATGTCATATGTTGCCTCTCCTGCCCGGTTTGTGATTTCACCCGTTGATGCAGGTCTCGTGAGGAATTTGATGTTTTGAGCTTGCTGCTTCAGGCATTGGCGTACATACCAGCCTTGCCAGGACTCCTGGGCCATCCACGTCATCCAATACATTGATCAAGTCCTGCTCAGACTAGTATCAATTGTCATCCTTCGATCGGTCTGCCTATGGACTCTCCCTCGCTGGTTACAAAGTGCTGAACTTTCAATGAAGGAATTAATGGCAGTGATGATTTTAACAGTACCGGGCTTTAGACTTTAGCTAGTAAGTAAGTCATCGAATGAATTTGAAGAAATCTCACGTTTATTTGTGGGGAAATTTAATTTGCATGGAATTTGTTCGGACACCATCGTCGTCGTCCACGATGATGAACACGACTGTGTCTTCTAGTGCGCCGACAGCGCCAATGCAGAGCAAGAAGCACTCTACAATCCTGCCAAATGCACATCCGTATGCAATCAAGACGACGTCCTCTGCTGTTCTTTCACGTTCGAACTCGTCACCGCATTCATCACCCTCAGTCAAACACCATTATGTTCCTCCATCGCCAACTCGCCCGAGGCATCGTCACACGCCTTCCCTATCATCTGTTGAAGGTGTAAGCGTCAATGAAATTCCCCGACCTTCTCCGTTGCCTGTTCCCCCTTCCTTCCATTCCATCCCTCCAACACGTGCATCTTGCTCTCTCAGTAATGACATAACGCCTTCTCGCAGACTGAGGCGTGCAGATACGCTACCATCCTCTGCAAGTTTACCTGCTCTTAATGACAGTGCTGTCACAGAGGATAATGAGTTACCTCGCAACCCCAAGCACTGGTCCACTGATGACTTCGCTTCACATTTTGCCACTTCATTCCGGGCGGGGAACGCGTTGAGTAGCGAAGATCAGGGACATCTCCTTCGTGTGATCAAAGAACAAAATATTACCGGTAGGAGTTTCTTGAGATTAACCGACGCTGACCTCGCCAGGTAAGTCGTATGTTCACGCCATTGAGTGTTCTCACAATTAAAAGAATTATCTGACGACTATCATATGTTTCTAGCCTGTCTTTGACACCCGGTCAGCGACTTCATCTGCTCGAGGCTTCCCGCGCCTTGCGCGCGGATGTTCTCCGTGGTCGCATATGGGTGGACTCATACCACTCTAAAGACATGTCCGCACACTCAAAAGGTGTTTACACCCGATCTACACGCAGCTCGAATTCTCCTTTCAACTGTGACCTGTACAATTTTTCCACTTCATCGGTGGATTTAATCCTCTCGCCATCTGCCTCCATAAGAGCTGATGGAGACCTTTCGCCATCCCCAGCCGTAACCTTGAATCGTTCCAACTCTGTTTCAGACTCTTCCGCGCAGAGGTATAGAGACCTTGCACGTATGCGAGTCAGGAGACGTGGACAGGTTAAGGGTCTTGTTGACACTTGGGAGCGCGAAAGAGGCGCCGTCAGCGGGAGCGAAGGCTCTATGAGTGGCAGTGATGTCGATAGTGACAATGACATTCCGTCCGCTAAGTCACCCCTCCCGCCTGCCCTGTCAAGTTCGACGATCAGCCTGATTAACCCGCCACCTCCACCATACACATCGCTCAAGGAGATTGAGGACGAGCCGACCATCGAGGAGCTCCTGACGTCCTCTGGCCCTATAAAAGGTGCACGCGCTTGGGAAGTAGACTACGGATTGGGAGAAACCGTAAAGAGGATCCCCACTAGTACGCCTGCCAATTTGCCGTTGGCATCTACACCTCCGAGGGTGGCGGCGGCGGTCGAAATTAATGCCGACTCAAACGAGTCTTCAGTAGAATGCAGCCTCAGCAAGTTCAGTGTCATTGGAAACGGCCGAGCTAATACTCAGAAACGAATCGTGACCGCGATATTTACCGGAGGTTTTGATAAGATGGACAGTGCGTTGGACAGCATACCTGTGGACGACGTACCTCAGGCCAACTTAAATCCAGGGGAGGTTGTAAACATTCTTGATGCAGCAGGGCTTGAGGTTACTGCCGTCGAGTCAGCCGAAGGCGCCTCTCTTGTGCCTGGCCAAGTCGCAGTACCTTCCGATGATGATAACGCCATTGCACTACTTGAAGCATCCATCGTTTCCACTCAAGCGCAGCTTGAAGCATTCCGAGCACGTCTGGAAGTTGTCGAAACACAAATCGCGGCCCAGGAAGCTGTTAACAACGCTTACCTTCGTCCTGAAGAAGCTCAACTGCTACTCAATGAACATCAGCCCATAGATCATTCTTGTATTCATGATCCGTTCCCCGCTCCGGACGACGACTTCTCCGGTCATCGCCTTAGTTTGAGATCATTTGCGCGCTCGATTGTTGCTCACACATTGGGATGGTTGTATCCCTACTCTCATCCTGGTGCACACCCTCGCCCAGAAGTAAAGGCTACGCATTCTCAAGGACTGAACGCTTCCCTCGCGCGACCGCGCATTTTACCCGAGTTTCGGCTGTCCTACGTGATCATGTTCTCTTTCGCGCTTTGTGCAGCTATTTTGCGCAAAGTGGGAAACACAATGCGGAGGCGTTAATCCCTGTACCTATCCAATCGATCTTCCACGAACACCTCGATATTCTTGACATGTTGACCCTTGCTCTGCTCCAAACAGTTGTATTCGTATAACATTCCTCGTCGTCGCAATACCGTATCTAACCTTGATCTTGCTTTTTGTTTGTGCTTGTCTTACTTCCGCGACTTATTATGCTTCAGTTCATAATATCTTCCCATGGCGCTCTACCTTTACGATTGATCACGACCATTCACGACTACGTTCTCCGCGCCAATATATATGCATGTGCAAACGCCCAAATAGCGCCGAGTAGTACTCAGGCGTACCTTCCGAACTGTTTCTTTGAAGTGCGAGAGTAACATAAGGTTCGCGGTGTCCAAGCTTCAAGCATTGGTTAGATGTCCTTTTTTCAAGTATGTAGGTATCACATTTACTAGTTCGGACAAGGTGATGACGTTCTCAACCATGTGGTGTAGACTAGGCATGCGCCGCATAGCAAGAGCCTCATCAGCAACTTTCAAATTCAGTTCTCTTCCTTCTGCGGCAGTGCAGGTTTCAATAAAGCGCACCAGTAGCTGTCGAAAAAATCAAAACTTGTGTGTAAGAAGTTTGCGCGGTAAGCTATGGGTGGACTTATGCCGTTCGGATACTCTGACACTTTAGTGATAGATGACCAGAAGACAGGGCATACGAAATCTTTGGGGTACATCATGTGGGCCCAGCTCGTCGCACTTCGAGAACAGCTAGCACCACGAGGGACTCGATACGCGCAGCTTGCGTCCATTGCCCAATTACCAAATGAGATTCTTCTCGATATTTTTCGACAAGGTGCTGGAGAAGCTTCTAGTACAAGTGGCTCCCTTCCATTCGAGTTGGCCGTTTCTGGAGTCTGCAGGCTTGGCGTTACCTTGCCCTCTCCTCAATAAAATTTTGGACCAACGTGTTCATCACCTCCAAGACACCACCGAAACATCTCTCAAATACCTTAGACGCTCATAAGATCACCTCATTGCCGTCACATTTTGTCATTGGCCATCTATTAAACGTTGCCGAATCCATCTGTCGAGCGAGGCATCTCTTCCTAGCCTTCTTGATACCCCGCACCATCTTTGTCTTCGTTGGAAAATATATTACTTCAACATACAAACGAACACTATACCTTTGGGCTGGCTCTTCAGCTTGCGCTCGCTGAGGTACGACAAGACGACTTGGATCACTTGAGACCAGCGGGCACGGCGGTGCCGCTCCTGCTAAGTGGCGAGGACCTGTAGCTCCTTTCACCATCGGCCAATGCACTAGAACACCTCGCATTTTATGGTCCAGTTATTGGCTGTGGCGATGAAGAGAATGACAGTACTAGTGCACCATTTTTACGGACGCTAATAATCCATTGCGAAACGCCCTATTTCCGATATCGTTTTAGTCTCTTATCCGCCTTACACGCACCACTTCTCGAACATCTCGAGATTCTATCGCATGACAATGTGGATGAGGAGATCGGGGCAGAGGATCCAACGCAATACTTCTTCCGCAGTCAAGGGGAGCCAGAATTTCCACTCGTGAAATGACTCTGGCTGCATGATAGCACAGCCGAAGGATGACTACCTACTGCATCATTCATCAGGGCATTCCTAAATGTGGAGCAGCTTGTGCTAGGCGGAGGGATGTGGTGCATATCTCATCTACGTTGTTGAGTCTGGTGATACCCAACATCAACACCGAACGTGGGACTCTTGCACTTGGTGCTTGGCCTTGTGTCAAGACTATCTTGTTGGACGGCTTGACACTGGAGTCGTGGAAACGATATGTCAGACCTCTCAGACGGTGGATTGATGGATGGGGACATGAAGGTTCGCTCGTCACGATGCTGAACTTTTGTCCAAGCGAGATTGTCGACAGGGCACGATTGGGTTGTAAAACTGCCCATGTCAATGCCCATGTGCTCAAAATACTACAGCCATGCAGTCCTTTTCTCCGCTTACTCAAAATGCAGAGGACAAAACGATCAGACTTGACACTCGAAGTAGCTCGCCAAGGTAGAATGAGCAACTACAAGTCGACGCTTTGTTAATATCGATACACCCTTGTACATCTCACGGCTCAGTCGCCCAGTGAAGGCGTCCAGCTTGCATGCGTATCTACTTGTCTATGGATAGGTTATCGGTACTCTGACACGTTTTGCAGCAACGCCACTGGTAATCCATGCAACCCGTAAACAATGGTAATAGTATGATATCATATATTTCTCTTGGGAAAAATAAGTATTATCATGCGAAATAAAGAGGATGAACCTGAACTTCGATCCCAACCACTGTGTAGGAGTTGCGACTTGGCATAGATACGGCCTATATTCGGGGGTACATTGAAAATTCAAATGTCCGGTGTTACCCCTATCCTCTCTTGCTCTCAGCATACAACCATTGCCGGAGAGGTAGGTCCATCATTCCAGTGATGAATTCTCTTCATGATCTCACTAAGGTTTTACAGTCACCAGTAATCAGTGGCGGGAAGAATGTCGCAGTGCTCCTTTTCATCGCTCCCTGCAGAGATAGTGTTCAGCATTCTCAAGGCTGTTCTGGAAGGCATCGTCCAAGATGATATGGTGATAACTCCTGAAGCAGAACACTGGATATTGGCAGGTGGCCTGCCGTTCCCTCACAGCATGGCGTTGGTCTGCAGACGTTGGCGAGATATCGTCTCTTCTACCCCTGAGCTGTGGACTCGGATCTTTTGGATGATAAGCGTACCCGAGGAGGAGGACCGCCATCGTATAAACTCACAGCTGGAGAAGTCGGGCAACTATCCTGTCCATTTGACCATAATCAACTCGTGGTGTCACAAACGTGGAATTCGTATTATTTTACACCGCCTTGCACCGCATCTTCAACAACTCAAGAGCCTTAGAATGGCTAACTTCTACGAGGCACACGACCTACCACACTTGGACACGCTAACAGGATATGCGCCCCAGCTTGAGAGTTTACAATTGACAGATGGAAAACATATTCATCATTGCACCAACTTTAAATCACGTTTGAAACTCGACTGTCCCGCTCTCAGGATCTTTCACGTCGACATAATTGTAGCTTACAACCTCGACCACAGGTGGTTGAAGAACAACTTGACACATGTCGAGTTCATGACCATTTCATGCGGATCTAGTCGGATCCGTAGCGCGCAAGCAGTGATGCTTTCTCGAGCGCTGCAGGCAGTTCCACGCCGAATACCTTGCCTCACCCTTGACAACTTGCAATTGCCGGATTCAAGTCTTGTCTCCATAAATCAAGCTGACATCAAAATCGGGGCAGAGCAAGTGATCCTGCGCACAAGCATCGACGCTTTGGCTGCCATCGATGACGATTGCCAGACCATCGTTATCGAGAAATGCGATTCTGTTCATGATCTTCAACGCATATCGTTACCTTCTTCATCAAGATCACTGGAGTTGGACGGGTGCGATAGCAAAGAACCGCGGCGAGTACCCGATACTCGTACGTGGGACGGCGATGCAGTCACCATCACGAACAGCCACTCCTCCTGCATAGAGATCATCCTACACCTCCTCGGCGCACCTTTCAATGATTATAGTTGTTCCCTGTGGTGCCATGTCACCACTCTCAAGCTCGTTGCCAACGGCGATTTCGTCCTGAACTTACCGTTGACTTTACTGAAGGCGATGATCACTAGCCGGCAAGGGGCTGCAGAGCAGAAAAGTTTGTCAGGGAAGAACAACGAGCATAACGTGGAATTAAATGGCGTGCGTCCGCTCATGGTATTACATGTACAAGGAGGACAACCTCTGTCGCGCGAGGAGAGTGTGTGGTTTGAGAAACGGGTGAGGGACTTCGTGTGGGACTACAAGAGGAGGTAGGGGAGTGGTTTGTATGCATGGGCCATATGTAGTAAGATTATTGATATTCAAGCTGATGATCACTAGGACTGCAGTACTGAGTGTTTAATACTTGTCCCACTTCAGGTTCCCCACTGCGTGATCAAGCAGCAGCGAAAATTGTCTGTAAGGACTATTCCGCCCAGCATCATCCTCGTGGATTGATCTGGTGCTGGCCTTGCATAAGTACTCAGGAAGTTTCACTTCTCGGCATCTGGTATGACATTGGGCACATTCTAATTGACATTTCCTTTCGTCTGAGAAATCTAGACTCTATACTTGCAAATTTAATCTCTTCACATCTTAACCATTTCGCGTAGTTACCTCGCCGACACGAGGCCCTTTATCATAGCATAGCCCTTATGTGCCTTTCACTCGGTTATAGGTCTATATTGTCATACTTCCTCCCTTTGTTGCTCGTTCGCCGTATATAAGATGTGGTGAATTTTTTAGAATAATCCTCGGACTTTGACCTCAGAATCTTGCGTCCGTGAGATGTGTACTCCAAATACAGGACACATTTTGAGTACGTGTCTCAAGGACGCAAGGTTTGTTAGATGAGAACGTTTCTCAGTGCGAGTCACTATGCGCATTTCGTATTAATGAAGGATTCACCCAGCTATGTACTTCACATGCGGGACCGGACTGCGATGGGATCCTCCTATGTACGTGAGACTTCCAACTTGCAATCAAGATGGGAAATCCACGTGTCGTCTATCATTGCCCAGCCATAGAGTCTAGAAGCGCTCCATCCTACCTATTTACGGGAATTTATATCGCGAGAAAGTCCTCTTCTTCCTCAACGAGGATGTCTAGGAGCTTGAAAAACGACGCCCCAGGAAAACCCATGACGTTGTAAAAGTCGCCATCAATCTTGCGAATGAGCAAGTTGCCACGACCCTGTCGTCTGCGTGAGTATCACGTTATACACAAGTTCGAGAGAGACCAACTTGGACTGCAAAGCCTCCTGCCCGATCCAGGCCTTCCTCGCTGTCCACGTACGCCTTAAGTACATGGTCCGGATTGTCCCCGAAGAACACCAATGTCCGCTCATCTATAGATCTGTGTGTACGACGGCAATTCGGTCAATGGGGCACTCTCAAAGAAAAAATACAATACCATACTTGATCTCATATCCAGGAGCACTCAAGATTGGATATACTGAAACAGAGATCAGAACAGCAGAAGAATTCTAAAAATCATAATTTTCACATACCAAGTGAAACACCCGTTACAACCTCACAAACGCTCTCATTCAGGTCCATCAGCATGCGCATATTGTCCTGTTTCGAGGATGGTTTCTCGAGAAGCTCTTGCCGCACACCCGTCTCCATCTCAATCGTCGTCGATGGCAGGGCATGAGTGAAGACGACGGTATCCGCTAATAGAATATTGGTTCGCTTAGTTGGCAACTTTCCAGAGGATACATACCACCGATGACGAGATCTGGCGGGTCGTCTGGCGCATCTGTCTTGTGCAAGTTGTGGAAATATGAGTAGAATGGAAAGCAACGAACGTACCAGTAATCTTTGATACACCTCCACTGCTTTCTGGGTCGCGGTGGAAACGGGATATTCATGAATATCCTCGAACGAAGAGAAAGGGAGGTTCTCAGCAAACGTCGATGGGACAACCTCAGGCGCTAAGCCCTGTCTATATGTCATCTAGAGGTCGACTTGAAGAAATGCTGGATTCGTACCAGGGTTTGGAGTATCTCCTTTCTCCTTGGGCTTGCAGAAGCGAGAATGACGCGCTTGTTAGCTAGTTTCTGGATGGCAGGTGTTTTGAGAGCGGTTGGCAGAACGGCATTGTGCTGGGGTGTCATGGATCTTAGATGTAAAATAATATCTGACTTCAAGTTGTATGTTGCTTATACAAGAATTGTGGGCAAGTGTGAAACCTGGACCTGATTCTTTGCTGACTCTCACTCTTCAGATATTGGCTATATGTGAGCTGTTATTAGCAGCTAACTCTCTAGCCGGCGAGTGAAATCTTTCAGTAGTAGTACATAGTACTGTACTAAGTATCCCGTCAATCATCCTTCTTATCCGAGGGTGGTGGGCCTGGTGCATCCACAACCGGGGACATGAGCGGTGAGGGAACGGCGAAGGGTGAACTGAGACCCCCACTAACACTTCGTGAAATATTAACTGACTTTCCCTTCCTATGCCCTCTCCCACTTGGCGGCGGGCCAAACGCCGCCCCGCCAAAGCCAAGTCCGACACCTGTTCCTGGCGTCGGTGGGACGCTCGTACTGCTAGTCAAGGTAGGCGCAGATAAATATGGTGAATATGGATATGGACTTTGGCCGGTGAATCCGCCTGAGGCGGGCGTGTTCGCGTAGGATGCGTACGGCGAAGAGGAACCCTCGACGACCCAGCTTGGGCCTTGTCTGGCAACGTTCGTCGAGTTTTGTGCAGTGGAACGTACACGTAGTTGTCCGCCGGCCCATTTTCGCTTCACACCCGTAGCTTCGGCAGCCACAAGTCCCGGTGTGGCATCTGCCCCTGAGACGGCATCCGCTGCGCGAATGGCGACACGAACGAAATACTGCGCGCAGGTGAAAACACCACCGATGACACCCACGCAACTACGAAGATATTTCAATTTTTGAGTAATGAACCAAGAAAATCACCCTACCGTATTATGAATTGCACCAACGAAGTTGTACGCTGGTGGATAGTGATAACCATCGGGTCGAGGTCGAACTTGAAGAAAATGCCGGGGACTCCTTCATTGTGCTGCATCTTACGGGTGTAGTGAGTTACACTGTATTGGTTTGTCTCGAGAGGCCGACTTCGAGGAGCAATGTATGTAGTTGGAACCACATGCAAGAAGTATTGGTATACCATGAACGCTGTTGGCCGATGAGTCCGAGTACGAACAGAGAGGGGAAAAACGTACGTTCTTTTGCGATCTCGAACGAGTAGTCAAGGGGTTGAGAGATATCTGGGAAGTATGGACCGAACGAAAACTCGGTGATCACATGGGACAAGTTCATCTCTTGAAAATATTGTAGTATCCATAAACATTGAACTTGGTTGCGACAACTCACTACTGTGGTCCACATGCATGTGACTATTATAGCCATGTCCGAGCATTGTAACATGTAAATTAGCTGGTTATATATCAGTAAGAGAAGCGGGAGCATGGAGGGTCAACATACCAGTCACTTTCTTGACCTGTAGGGAGCCATAAATACGACATGCGCTTCCATCCGTCTCGTAGTTGTATGTAGGGCGAAACTCGGGTTCAGCGCGGCGGAACCAAGAGAAAAATCCACGCGATTTTCTGGATTGCGAGATTGCCTGGCGAGCAGAAAGAGCTTTGGCATGTTCCCTGAGTCGCGATTGAAAAGTAAGGGGTGGAAGCACCTGTAGTCATGACGACTTACTTGAGAGTCGTTGCTTGACCAATATCGAAACGAGTCTGTTAAGGCGAATGAAATGAATGCTCGCCTTGTGGAAGAAAAGTCAAACGTACACCATCCCGACGGAACGCCCTGCTGAGGAGTAAGCGGTCGCCGACTACATCACGCAAGTCCACACTAAGAACTGCGACAAGTCTCTGGTTCAGAGGCAGAGGTTCTGTGATAGACGGACTGAAGGGGCTTACATTGACAAGGCATATTGACTACCATGTCAACGTTCACATCCAAATGGGACTGGCCCTGGGAGTCTATGCTGAATTCATAATCTGGCCAACCCCAAATATACTCTCCAATATCGTTTAATACAAGTAGGATTGCGATGAGAGCGACCAAAAGAGTGAAGAAACCACGGGATTCTGAACGGGCTTTGTAGGTTGAAGGAAGTTTCGGGAATGCATCAAAATGTGCAAGGGGAACGGCAGCATCGAATTGGTCGAGTATGGAGGGCTTATTCTCCCCCGACATCGATGATGGTGAGCTCAGTAGGAGAGCGAGCTCAAGTTAATAGTCGTAGTGAACAAGTGCCAGAGCATCAACTTAACCGACGTGTCATCTTAAGGACCCCGAATACTTCTATTCATAATATTATTACATCTTACTGATCATCACAGACTTCATCAGCGTCGACGATGGCGACAAAACGCAAAAATTCAGAAATGATAGATCTGACTACGTCTTCTACACTGTCTCCGCTATTACCGGCACCATCTACTAACAGAAACCGTCTTCCGCGCTCTGCTACCAGTTCCAGGAGTAGCTCGCAGGCTTCTCGTTCACAGAGTGGCGGACCAAGACCAAGCGAAGATACGACGTTGCTAGCAGATTATGCAGAAGAATATCTCCCGCATCACAGGAGAAAGAGACGCAGAACTGATATCGGTGGCGAAGAGCAGAACGACGTGCACCAGCTCTGTGAATCATGTCCGAGTCTACTCTCCAATCCCCCAGAAAACAATATCTTAGAGGCAAACACCTCGTCACAGGTCGCATCAAGTTCACTGCTGTCGAGTTGGAACATGGCTCCCGATCTCACGCTAGGATCATCCTCATCTCTAAACGAGGATCTAGAGCTGGTTGACCAACCACCGCTCACCCAAGAGTCATCAGTATCCCAAGCTTACTCAGATGGCACAGATGCAGGAACTGAAATTGACATCGTGGATCAAAGGGGAACATCTTCATTAGCCTCCGAAATTACCGATGTCCCTTCAGACGACGTAGTCGTAGTCAGCCCTACATTGTCACCGCGTCGAACTCTGCCTTCGCTGCGCCCAATCGTCATTGATGATCCCATTCCCCTAGAGATGACGGGTGTGTTCACACCCGAACCAACTACAAGTCAGAACCCTCATGTTTCTCCCCTGAACGCCACATCTTCCTCATCGTCCGCACCGGAGCCACTATCCGCTTATACATGTCCCATTTGCTTCTCACCTCCCACTAACGCGACTCTGACACCTTGCGGTCACATTTGCTGTGGAGCATGCCTCTTTGCTGCTGTCAAATCCACAGTGAAGCGGAATATGGTGATTGCTATGGACAGAGCCCCTGTTCCAAGGTCAATTTTTGTCTTTCACACTCTTTCCGCCATTGTAATTTATAATTTGACCGATCATACTCAGATGTCCCGTTTGCCGCGCTGAAATACCTGGATGGGATGGACGAGGGGGAGGGGTGGTTGGGTTGAAAGTGGAGGTGGTTTTTTCTCTTTGAATTTGAGCATGCCTCGTGTGATGTGATGTACGCACGCATATGTTACATTGACCATGCTTGAGACACAACAACTTCTGGTCGAGGCAATATCATTCCAATAACCACCCTTCTAGAAATCACATAGCAGTGCAACCACAGCTATCCCTTTCCGCGTCATCACGGTCGCCACGAAACCAAATACTTCTGTGACTGATTGGCCGGAAAGCGCCATGTCGTTCCAGCATGGTTGGATTAATATTAGTGATCGATCATGGTCGACATCGAGTCCGTACATGAACATACAGCCTCTTCATAACAGGTGACTACTCCTTCGAAGTTAACTTCACTGCGACACGGCAAAATCATTAAATATTCCACCCGGCGAATTAAATGCATAGTAACAAGGCGACGCGCGCGGGCATCGGTTATAACTTACGTTGATTTCTTCTCGGCATTTTCATGCGTAAGTGCGGTTTGTTTGGCAAAAGCTTTTGATCCAAACAATCCAAAACCTCAGATAGTCATACCTTGATCAGATAACATCAAGCGTCAATCGATATCAACGGTATCGATATCTCATTTTCAATCCTTTTCTAGTTCGCAACAAACAGCGATAGTCATGAGCGCCCGCCAATCTTTTGTTCCTCGTTCAGCATCTCGTGCTTCTGCCCATGCAGACACTGAACACCCGTTTGATATGCCGCTCCGTAACCAAAATTCCCTAGGCCAGCCCCAACGTACTGGCAGTATCCAGAATGCACCTGAATCAATGCAACCAAAAACGGACTCAGAGAAGAAGGCTCGCTTTGCAGGGATATTCGGAAAGCACAAACTCGCTGGCAAACCTGGCTCCGGAGATCATCAAGTAGCCATAGACGCGTCGTTATCTAGCGTGTCTGGGCGTTTCAGCGGGATATATCGCCCTGATATACAATCATTAGCCCCCCAACACAGGTCTAGCTCTCCATTACGTGGAAAAGGCTCGCCTTTCGTTCCATCATCCAATCCTGGCATATCCTTTGCTCGACCCACGTCACCTATCGCAAATTCTGCATCCCACAGAGGAGATTTGACTATATCTGGTCTCAAAGACGCGCATATATCCACTGCGGGTGTCGTCTCAGGGTTGATCTCTACTTCTCGTGTCATTGCAGCGCCTATCCCAAGCTATGGGTCTATTCACGGTGGCGAGCACGATGATGAACACACATTCAGCTCCAACAAATCTTCTCTAGCCAAGTTGCAGCCCGGGCAACTCCTAGAGAGAATCCATGAAGACGTCGAGCCAGAGACAGCAAACGGGGACGAAGCGCTACTTGACACTCGCAGGACAAACGTTGCCGCTCATCCCATGTTACGCAGGGTGAAGCGCACTATCCAAGGCACTCAGGAGGACGAGGGCGATTTCTCACCCCCTGATGAGATTGAATATATGGGTAGAGTCAAACGGGTCAGGATCGACGAGTTTCCCCATGAATTGTCAGATGGCCGTGCTGACGCCAGTAGCCACTCCGGCGTCGACCACACTCGACTGCAACCTGATCTTGATGACGATACGGTTCGTCAATCTTCACCTCCCACGGGCCAACCTGGCGCGGGTGCCGCGGAGGAAATATCTCTTGATGGCTTGTTCGCAAACATGGATACGTTCCTGAATGTGGAGACTTTCATGGGCCTTGTTCAGAAGTGGTCCACCTGCTCGAGGGAAGAGTGGCTTCAAGGCTCTGAAGGTGCGCGGTTGCTTCCCTGTCCCCTTGCTTCGTCTTGCTTCTGCCCCTTTCTGCCCATCAAATTTCCGACAAGTTCTCGTTCACACAACATTTGATTTGTTGTTCAAATGGGTGCTAACCGCAGTCGTGTAGAAATTGTTAACCAGTTTAAAGATATCATTGACTCCGTCAAGGAGAACCTCACGTGCGTGCCTTTTCAAATATCTCATGTCCCTGTCTTGTGGTGGAGTTACTGATCATGATCATGCCTCCTGATCATTATACAGAGCCAACGTCAGTCTTTACTCCCGTCTGGACGACCAAGTGCGCGATCGCCGTGAGGAACAGGCTCAGCTCACCGAACATTTAAGGCGAGGATTGGGATCGGCCAGGACAGATCTGATCGCTATTTGCCGGGGGAAGTAAATCGAAGCTGTGTGGTTAATGCTGCGGTGAGATGCTTGCACGACGTGCCTTTTCACCTCCTATGCTGAAAAGAATGGACTTCATATGAGATTATGCATGTGCTTCGTGAAACTCAGCGATTCTAGTTTTCAAATGTCAATTTGCAAAATCGCAATCCTATTTTTTTTCTTTAATCTCAAGGTGAAGTGAACGGTAAACATGTCGGAATCGGACATGAAGATTTTTCTCTAAGTCAGGAAGCACCAAGGCAAGTCTGAACAAAATCCAAATAATATTGGACTCCTAAGTAACATTGGCTGCTGGTGTAGCAGAGATATGGGCCCACATTTAAGAATACTCTCGTTTCCTCAGCCAACGGAGACGATTTATGTAAACCCGGCGCATTTTCCGCTTAATCGTACGCTTGATGCGGAGGGGAACGCCATACAAGCTAGAAGAGAGAGCGCCGATAGTGACAAAACTGACGCCCCATAATGAGCAGTACCCAATTGCAATTGCGAATGTAGTACGTTGTCAGACGTGCACGAAATTAGCACTCTTGCCTCAAGTGAAGACGTCGTCTTCCCCTCATGCTAAGATAAGCCTCAGAAGGTCTTAGGCTACTTTTGCCAGTGCCAGCCTGCAGACGGCAATTGCAGCAATTCCCACACTACTAACAAATAAGGTGCGGCAATTTCTTAAGTCCCCACACTCACAATGTGCTTGCGGCAGCCTTGTGTTTATCCAGTAACTTTGTGACGCAAGGCTTAGGCGTCAATGCTTTAATGCACCTTATCTGTTTGGTCACACTGATAGAAGGTCTTCCTTCCGATTCTAACGACTTCTATCTACCAAAGCAAGGATACCTCGTGCACAAATCACCGTGGCGCGCTATCAGAAGACCTTTTTTCAGCATAGAACAGGAGAAGTGTTCGCTGCACGATGAAATCCAGGCGTCCAGTCATTGGTGCAAGTAATCACCGGTCCCTGTGAAGACTGTTAGGCCTAGGTCGCACCACAAGTCATACAGACGATATGTTGCTGTGCTCAATTGTCATTATGTGCTCAGTGTGTTGTCATATGAGCTCAGTGTATTGTCATGTGTTTCTCGGTGTCGCGACAAGTCGCGGCTACATAGTACTAATGACTTTATGTTAGCGAAGAGGCAACGTTCACGCAACAAGAGAGTCCATTGGTCCAAGCCGTATACGAACGTTGTGGCCTGATCAGCACCACTACATGATTGAAAGGTTTACACCTCGAAGAGACGAGGCTTATCTAGGTAAGAATTTGAAATAAAAATTAGCTACCTAGGCTGATTGCGATTTCATAAATCAACACCTCATTGGAAGTTCATATTAACGAGGAGAGGTACCTCCCGGTTGCTGTTGATGGCCAAAAGGATAGGGCCGCAGCCATCTCTCTCTCGTGGATCCTATCCTGAGGTACGAATGCTTCGCTTTGGAAATCTTGCAAAAGACTAAAGTCTTTGACCAAGGTCTCGGACATGTCATGTTTAACCGGGTGATAGAGATAAAGTGGAGTACTGATGGATCGTTTTCTACAATATCCTCCTGATTTCTTATCATATAGCAGGATGCTCTGCCATCGGCCGTATTGTCCCTGAGGTTACTTCACAGTTAATTTGTGCAAGAAGTAATACGGCATACCTCATGGCATCTGCCAGTTGTGGATCCAATGGCCAGAATTTGGGAAGATAGCTTCCGTTGTCCTTTGAAACCATTAACACCACTGCCTTACGCCTGGCTGTGCAATCCGGCCCCTTACAGCAGTTCCTTTGGTCCTTCCGCGGTGCATCTGGTCGTGGACCTTTAGGGAAACGTTGCTTTCCCGACGTGACGGACATCCGCTGTGGGATAACTTTCTCATTGCGGCCTCTTAATCGACCTCATGGCTGCGTCAAGTCTATTCCCGTATTCCATTTCAGGATATGCGGACCTTAAAGGTATCTGTGTTATAAAGACTACGTACTCCAATTTAAATTCATCATTCTTCAACGAGAGACTCGTCGTTCCTAAGATCCTTCTGGGTTCATTATGCCTCCCGGTACTTTTAAAACACTATAGATCACGTTGTCTTGCTTACTGTCGCGCAACAGATCCTGAGCTTACCTTGGACTCGAAGCGCAAAGAAACGTTACATGAGTTTCTCGAAGTGCTAAAAGAGATTGTCGCTCGCGACTCTGCGACAGTCGAGGGAAAACCGCAAGAGAGTACAGACAAGGAGAAACAATGTGAGAATATCTATTTTGAGGGCTTTTTCCATTGACCATTTTTAAGATCCGATCAGCTCGGAAGAAAAGCGCATTTTAGAAGGTATAGAGACCTTCAATAATTTTGAGAAGTGAGTGATCCATTTGACCACTCGCTTTTTTTACTGACCATGGTTGACCTCTTCACGCCCCGAAAGGCGCGTTGAACGATTGGACAAAGAGGTCAGTAGTTTTTTGTGAAATATCGTTATATTTACACGTCCTTCCAGCTCCGTAATTTTGATAACGGCGCCCGTCAATTGGGCAGCTCGGCTGCATTGCTACTGGCTGCATCCAGACTTCGTGAACGGCTCGTTCGACTATTGTTCATCTTCCGCGACAATACAGCCAATCTATTTCCTCGGAGGATCGCACGCCAGTCCAGAGAAATGCTCGTGAACCCAAATATCATGGATCGACGTGGCAAGGCTAACCACGAAGCTCTCGAATTTCAAGCGTTCATTGCAGAGGATGGACTCGCGACTGAAGCCATCCCTAAGGAATTTGAAGGGTTTGCGCGAGATCTCCGCATGCTATTGCATAGTTTGAACGATTTCCCTGAGTTCAGGGATGATGCGGTGAATAGTTCGGTCCACGCCTTCATAGCAGAACTCGAAGTAAGTGCTCTTTTTTTTCACCGTGACACTGGCTTAACAAAAATTCAGTATCGGGCTTCCTGTCTGACAGAGTATAAAGGTACGACAAAATACGCAATGTCCAAAGTTGCTGAGTTGAATCCTTCACATAGGCCATTTTCGGCTTGCTTCTGTGCAACAATATGTCCACGGACTTACAGCGGAAATCGGAAGTCATATAGACGTTGTAGCATCAAACTTGTCGATGTTCATAGATATCGGTAATTACAATTTTAAAACAGGTGTTTACTGGCAACTGAAATGGCGGATGTAGGCGTCCCAACCATTCAGCTTTCACAACAGTATGCGGCCTCTAATCTTTCCAATCTGGCAACGTTTGGTACTATATTTTCGGTTGTCACCGCAACACTTTTACAACTATCATATCATAACGCCAGCTCTGGGCTGGCAATATCTGTAAATGCATTTTGGTTTTCGTCGCTAGTTTTCAGCGTTACGGCCATAGCGACCAGTCTACTTGGTTTGGCGTGGACGCAGGCCATACAGTGAGCGCCTCATTATTTTCGTCCGCTTAAGTTATAATGACTTGGAAATTAAGCCGCTCGCCAAATCACAGAGTACCCTGGTGGCTATTAACATGGATCAGGCGATCCCCTCTCGTGTTACTCGTCAATGCAGTCATGTGCTTTTTTGTGGGACTCATCTTGGTCACATACGCGATAAGTGATGTCCGTAAGAATCCTTGCTTTTTGTGACAAAGTGGCTTACTATTTGTCGGTTTGTAGAATATGGTCACGCCCATCCTGATCACTATATTCGCAGTAAGTTTATTGCTTTTCCTGACATACGACGAGCTCTTATCCAGTCGTGACAGACCATTACATCTATCGGACTGGCTTCCTCCTTGTGCTGGATTGTGTCAGAACGATTTGTATTCATATACCACCAAGGACACATATGGCTAGAGGACCTCATGTTGGAAACAATCAATCATATCACTGCGCCCATACGGACGATCACCCACCGTCTTTACTCAAGTTTCCGTGGACTTCCTTTGTACGTTCGACGACCCCCTCCTGCCAAATCATTTGAGAGAACGACAGATGATGAAAATGTCCAGAGCGCAGCTCCGACCTCATGCGGCGTCTCCTTAGTATCTCCCTCGTCTCTGGAGGATGTGGTATCAATTGTCTCGGAGGGAACGCCAGAGGAGCAAGATGAGGCTAGAAGATGTCGTGCTCGAGAACGCTTTAAGAGGGCTGTTCGGACCGTTATATCGATGCAGTCATACCCGAGAACTTATGGCTCGCAATCTCTTGATTGGATGCTGCATCCGAGCCCTGCTTCCAACACCCCTTCGATAGGAGGAAAAGTAATTCGACGTTACGGTCTTTCTACTCTCTCCCAGAAGTTGCGGAATTTGGAATGCACAGAAGACATCTCGCCTCATCAAGCACTCGTGAGAGACTTGCAATTCTCTCCGGATGGGAAGTACCTCGCGACGGCAAGGTAATTCCAGAGGTCCTCTTATCAAGTTCCGTTGTTTACATTACGCGTTGACTATAGCTGGGATAAAACAGCATGCATCTTCAAGGTCGCCGTGAGTGCTGTTTCACTTACTAGTCTCACAACAAAATTTGAAGAACCTGACCGTCATGTGCAGGAACCGTCCGCCGATCACCATGTTCTTCACCATGAGAGAGGCTTCACGGAGCAAATACTCTGGTCCGTGAATTTGCGTGACGTTGTTATTGCCATCACAACGATTGATTATCTTCACAGGTCCTCGAGTGGTAGCCACTTGTTAACCAGGTCTCCCCGCGGCATCAAAATCTGGACAAAAGTGAGTTGTAATTTAAGATTTCTGTTCTGTTCTCAAGCAGTATCCCAGGATGGCATTTGCTTGAAAACAATTCGTCGACCACATATAGTCAAGTTCTTGCATTGGGTGCCTCTTGGAGATAGTAAGTAATATTGAACTCCGTGCGCCACTTCCAAAACCTAATGATCGATAAGTGTCTATCCTGTCTGTCGAGGGGAGTGAAATTGTGAAACTAGTACGTCTTATCCAAATCATTCAAGATCGTGAAACGTAACATTCCTTAGGATAAAGATGGGGAGGTAAATACCACATTTTCGAAGCCAAAATTAATACGAAGCATTCGAAAAGGTCCTTGAAACCTACAGCTTCGGGCGTGTCCAACTTCGACAGATCGTTGTCACTTCGGACGGCCATCGTATAATAGGCATTGGTCCCATAGGGGAAGCGCCTAACGGTCTCCATCCAAGTCGTCCTGCGAGAGTAGAAAAGCGCGTTATAGGCAAGTAACCCACCCATGTGAAGGTCAATGACAGCTCACGGGCATTTCAGTGTATAATACGCGTACAGGTCTATGTGAATGGTGAGCCGCTGGTTGCTTACATCTCAATAACAACGCGCCTGACGTGCAACCTGCGAAGTCAAATACCACTCTTTCAGGATGTAAACGACGTTAAATTGACAAGAAACAACACTCACCTCCTCTTTTCATTCGGGGATCAGGTTCGTAGCTCGCGACGAAAAATAACATGGTTTCTACTTATGCTCTGAACTACAGTCCCCTCCTCAGCTTTGGAAGATGGATTTGGTCGGGGGCCGGGGTCGGGCTACCCGTAATTGTGCGAGACTCACATTTCGCCACGCATTTTCGTCTCCAGTCTCCATTGAATATGTTGGATCAACGTTTGGCGGCAAGAACGATCAGTTCATACTCTGCGCCGGAAAAGGTATGATTTTGTGCTGATTTTTCCTTATCTCTGTTAACGACGTTGTGTAGCTGGAGATATCCTCATTTGGGATCGAGAATCTGCTAATCTTCTTCATCACATCTACCCTAAGACCCCTGATCAGGACTTGACTTGTATATCATGCAATTGCTTCGCAGGCGACCCTTTCGCGTTTGCCGTAGGCGGGCACGACGGCAGTATTCGTATATGGTCAACATTCTTATGCCTCACTCCTATGACTCCATCCCATGATCCACAAGATATGACACCCCCCGAATCGCTATCCAGTTACTCTCCTAGAGGATGGCATACAGATAAGATCCCCGCGGATAATTTCCTGAAGGTCGTTACGCCAACTCGGCGGTTACGATCTCCGAGTATGACGTCAACGGCTTTCCTGTCAAGGTCGAGTTCGGGATCTGCTTATGGGACACAAAGAAGTATGAGTCAGAAATCGGATACTTAGACGCCTATGTTTACTAGACGACAAGATTATCATGCCTACTCCAATATCATATGATAACTTGATGTCACAATTGACCGACACTTCAGTTTCGATTAGCGGGAAGACTCCGCCAGTGCGTTAGGCAGGATGTCATTGTCAGATACTGCATGCACAGCATTTTTACGAGCTGTGTACACATGCGGCTGAGCGGTTAAAGAGAAGCGTCGCATCACACGCGCAGCATCTACATACGAAGCCCACGAGCTCACCGCTTTAAATCGATGCAAGGCGGCGATAGAGCTCAAACAAAAGTAGACAGTGTTAATGATGACCAAGCCCCAAACAAGCGGGGAACAATGGAAACACCAGAAGCAAGGATGGGTATGGATGCATGCGATAATCCAGATTTCGGAGACAGTAGCAGAAGAAATCACCGACTTGGAAAGTAGGGGCGTTCCGTTCCCTATAATCAGAATTGTCAAGGACAGACAGAATGGGAAGTGAAAAGGGGAGAATGATCCGTCCTGCATCGCCAAATCGAAGATATAGAATGCAGGTTGCAGCGGGTGTGGCAATGAGGCATGAAGTCAAGCGAAGATGGACACTGCTAGCCAAGTGCCAAAGTGATGGAGAAAAGTATAGCTGCCGTGACACAGTTCAATTACCGATGAAAAATGAATCTGTTCGTCAGAGCAGAGTAATTTCACGGTGTGGCTGAGGATGACGACAGTATATCGAGAGGGGACAACAAACGGACCCTCCCAAGGCTGGGCGGGGGTGAAGATGGATCTGGGATCAACCGATTTGGTCGGTGCAGAGGGAAGAGGACTCCAGCTCAGAAGCGGCAGGCAGGGTGAAACCGCGGTGAATGAGGCACGATGTATAACCAAACGGATGAAGGCGTAGCCAGAAATCAAGATGAAATACAATAGGGGGGCTACAATCACCACGCTAACAATGTCAAAGTGAGATTTAGAGACGGAGAGGATTAGACCGCGTGAAGTCGTGATGCTAACCCTAAGCTAAAAATGTCAATGACCAGAAACGCGGAGTGATCACGACGCACCCTAATAGGTACCATAATGAGCAAGGTGATGGCGAAGCAGGCTAAACAAACAACAAGAAGCGCACGAAATGATACGCAACAAGTCACAAATTAGACAGAACATTGAATTGTGATACTGGTTACTGGGACAAGCTGAATAGGAGAATGCGTATGGACTGGGTGGAGAGTGCAGAAGAAAGGCTGAGACATGCGAGAAATTGACGAAATCCTGCGTGGGCTTGCGAGAGATGGCGACATGGAAGAAATGACAAGAGGCCACGAAAAGCGTAGCAGAGTCCACTAGCATAACAAGCTTGACTGCGATAAAATTATTACCTGAGGGGTCTATGCTTTCCTGAACCACGCCGCTTCATTACCAACGCCCTCCTGTTCCGTCTCCACGTTTTGCGGATTGATGCTATTCATACTACAAAGATATGACAGGGATAGGAGGTCATGCGACATCTCCGTTGAGCGCAGCGTATCGGCGCTTGTTAATCTGAGAACCTCGTTCAACCGACATCTTGCTCACAGTAGAGAGCGACACACCATCCTCAATTATATGCTCCAGTCAGGGACCATATTCTCAACGAAACCTGGGAGTCCCCATGACCTACACATTACTTCAGCGAAGATAGCGTCAGCAAGCAAGTTCGGGACCCAATCATGAGACGCGATGTAGACTAGACTACCATCAGGTATGGCTGAAGTGTAGAGTTCTAAGGCGCTCATTGGAAGTTCCAGATCATGCGGTATGAGGCTAGAATTTGCAGGAGGGATATTGTCAATGTCATTTGAGGTCATATATACGTTTGAAACCTATGCAAGATGGGTATTGAGGTTCGGACACTAGAGCCATTATAATAGCTTCGCACATACCGGCAAAAATCCCCATGAAGGGGGAATCAGTTTGCATAAAAACAAGCCATTCTGCAAGTCGTCTACGTCCTGGGTAATTTGCAGATTTGGGAGGTTGAATGACCGGCTAGTGGTAAGGTTTTCGATAATGCGTGACAAGGTGAGGTCCGCGGATCATGAGCCATTGGTAGAATAGCGACACATACCTTATCCTTGTCATCCCCTCTAACATCCACGAGGTGAGCTGCATCACACAAACCATCTTCCAAGTGATCGATGATGCACGAGGGGTTACCGGGGGATCCAATCAGTCTGAGTCCCGGGATCGATAGGGAATGTGTAAGGTCGCTGGTCTTCTTGGACATGACTTGGAGGCCTGGGGTGCCACTGGATAGGAAAGAGATAGTTCCCCGCGGGTACCCGCTGTGGCGAAGCACATATATCGAATAAGCATGTAAGGATGCAATGACCAGGGAAGTATACGTGAGACGAGGACGTAAAATGATCGCACCCATCGCAAGTCTCGATCATGCTGAAGCTGCGGAAGAGATCAATGAAGTCCAGATGGAACGTGACGTGAGGAGCTGCGGCCGCCATATTAACAACGTCGGCAGGAAGATCTGGGACAGAGGATCATCATCGATCTGACCGCATGGAATCGTGATGGCTCTAGATCAGCAGCGCCCAGCGGTCACGATACAACCTAGACACTGCGATACGCAATGAATTAGTCAAGTAGCAACCGGAAGCAAACAATAACAAGTGCACGAAAAAACATGGACGATCCAAACAACAGCGTATCCCATGAAGATGGGGCATTGAGTTGTAACGATAATAGTGGGGAAAGTGGCAAATATCTCATAGGTTTGATGAGGAGAGAAAAATTAGTCAACGAAGATCAGAATTGGCTGAGTGATACTCAAGGTGCAGGGTTGCAAACCATGGCGGTAGAGGAGACTGTTGATGGTAAGGAGTAGAAACCCAAGCTTTTTATACGAAGAGGTCGACAAGAGTGGGTGAACTTTTCGTGGTGTGTGGGGAAGGTATCATCGCCCGACCACAGCTGCAAGCGCAATGTGGGGTGAATTCGTTACGACCCCTGCACGTCGGAACCGGGGTGCAGCGTGGACGGATCTCTAGTATATTATCGGCGAGTGGCCATGCATATCCTTACAGGGCACCATGGATAACTGGTTTACTACGGATCCCGCATTTGAAAACTGAGTGTAATGGAAGACGACACGCGTTATTGAGATTCAAGGGTGATATTATTGAGCTGAAGTGGTCAGCAAGCGTCTAAAAATACTCGCGAAAAAGGCTCGCAAGGAAGAACATATGTACTTTGAAGCGACAGGATGTTGTGTCAGCATTCCAGAAAAAAAAGATCCATCGTCATGGCATGGGCAAATGATTGCAGGGTAAGGCTGTTGTTCTGCCCAGAAGAATGCGAGGAGGCCCAAAAGCATTCAGTTGGTTTCTCAGCGAGTTCTTGTTGGATAAATTGACATGTCATCAGGAGAGGACGTTACCTTAGCCTGTTGCTGTATCACATCATTGCTATGTGAATTGAAAACACGAGTCGTCTTCACTGCTACGTTACATTCGGGACGACAAAGAAGTGATATAAGCCAGGCTTACCTGGACTGTCCCACCGGGCTCCACTGAAGATCTCCCAAAAACGGGTGGAAAACATTGGACTGGAAGATCTTCCACGAAGTACATTGACGAGATCTGGTAACTTCTTCAGGCATTAGGGAGGCGTACAACAACACTGACCAACCTTTCGAACGGTATCTGGAGGGACACTTCTTGAGCATCACGACCCGTCTACCAATCCACGGAAACCTGCTGGGGCTTGTGCATCACGAGGACGACAGAGCTGAACGATAGGCCAATTTGAATGATAACGTGTAAGAAAGCATTGCATAAACACCTGCGCCCCTCTAGCAACTGACTGCGCGTTTGTCAGGTAGAGGTTCTAAAAAGATGCAGTAGGTGGCTTCGAGTTGGGAGCGCGTCAGCATATTTGATAGATGGTTTGGTAGCGGGATGACAGGAAGCGATAGAAGAGGATAGGAAGTGTGACAACATGCGATGCGAGGTAATATAGCGCGAATCATGAGCAGTTGACAAGAGACGGTAATAGATGAGGCATTGGGAAAAGATAGTACTTGAATTTGGGTGAGAGGAGACATGATTCAGAGTACTAGTACGATGCAAAGGTAAGCGGTAGTACTTGGTTGTATTTGGTGGCCAGATATAAATTTGTGGGCACACGCAGGTTTAATACCTTGGTCGGACAGATTGGGCAAAGGGACGCGGTAGTATTAGTACTGTGGGTCCATGTGGGTAATCTAATCACGTGAATAGAAGCTCAACGCACGTGACGATAATGAACCGCGACTTGCTGAACCACCTGGTACTGGTTTTCTACTAGTGTTCACTAGGTTCACTGCTCTTTCTACTTCCTTGCGTTATCTCACGACTTCATTATAAGGATAATTCTTGCGATTTATCCAATCTTCTTGTGCGCGCTTTTGTGACTTATCCTGTGTTACACGTTTGTGATTTAAAAACAGGGTGCAAAGTCACTTTCATTAACTCTTATTACGACTACCTTCTCCGCAACGAGGGTTCGATACGCTTGTACAACTCATGGCTGCCACTCAACAGTTACCGTCATGGATGACATTGTCAACTACCGTGTACACAAATGCCGCAGGGCAAACTATAACGAGCGAGACCACCCTTCAGCTCCCACTCACTTACTACGGTCCAAGTGTGAGTACCCTTTTTGCTTGCTTTCACGTTCGTTTCTACCGATACATGCCCGAGGTTCCCTTGAGCAAATGCGCTTGAGATGGTTATACATTGTGCATCCATACTGACATCTTTGCCTTCCAGATTCCCTTGGGCAGTGACGGCGCTTGGACTTACGGTGGCCTCACCTCGCCAGCAGCATCAACTTCTTCTCTAACGACTTCATCCACTGCGACATCCTCTACCTCCACCCAAACATCCACTGCGACACCTACTTCCTCTTCATCATCCTATCAGTCTACATCTACGTCTGCCTCTACATCTACATCCCCTTCCACCTCTGCCACGTCAAATCACTCTTCGAACGCAACTTCCTTATCTAAAGGAGCCCTCATCGGTATTATCATCGGTGCCATCATCTTGTTCATCATCTTGCTTCTGCTTTTTATCTGGTTTGTCCGTTGGAACTCCCGTCGACGAGACTCCAGAGCTATCACACCTATATGGACAGGATGGAATGTTCTTACCCCAGATCCAACCGGCGACGAGGAGAACCGTCCAGCCGGTCTGGGTTCTCCTCGCGACAGTGGTGATGACGAAGCAGATTCTTTCCTCCGTCGCAGCACCGCTACCGATCCTGAACGTCGTCCACGTCCAGTATCTTCTCTTCCGCCCGGTGCAGCGCCACCCCGTATTGTAGGGAGCACGGGCTCCGACCGAACAAGATCTTCCCAGGCTTCGACTGACTATGGCGTCGTCCTGCCTGGCTCAGGAAACTTTGGACAGGCATACAGTGGTGATGGCATCCCTGCCCACGCCAGCAACGAAATGCTAAGCCACATCATGCCTCCCGGAGAGCTCCTCCGCATTGAAGATAATGAAGAGCTCGAAGACATACCCCGACCGCGCATGTATAGCTCAAGTCATCCTTCTCTGCCTGAGCACATCGCCCCCCTACTTCCACCCCCACCTTTCGAGGGCACAGCTACCCGTAAACCTTCAGACCGCTCCCTACTTAATGAAAAGGAAAAATCCGTCCGCAGTGCCTCTTACCCAACGAGTGACCTGGAGGACTCAAAAGTCTTCACTGCTCGCCGCGTACGCGTCCAGGAGCTCGGTTCCCGCAGCCCGCAAGATGACGACTCCACGAATACCCAGCCTGTCGCAGGACCCGGCAGCTGGCGTAACTCCTTCTCTCGTCTGCGAAGGAGCTGGTTTGGATCTTCGTCATCTCGCAGCGGATCAAACTCGCGCAGGGGATCAGATAAAGACGCCGAGGCAGTTCAATCTTTGCTCGGCCGCAGGCTTGGTGTAGGCCATACCCCTGCTGGAGAACGTCCGATGTCAGGCGTGAGCGCTAAGAGCGCAGTATCTGGAAATACGGTGTACCATGACGCAGTCTCCCGTATGGGCACCCCAGTTTCCCTTCCTTCCAGAGCAATCACGCCTGCGAGTCAGAGGGCAAGCGCAGTGCCTGCAACAGACTTTGCATTTTCTATGCCGAGTGGAGCACCACCAGCATATGATGATCCATATGATTCGCTGGGTAGTAGGGGTCCCAGCCCATTGTCTCCCACAGGCATCGACGTTCTGGATATACCAGCACCAGCACCTTTCTCATCTGCTTCGACGAGCGGGAAACCTTTGCCGCCAGGTCTTGTCCCATTGTCCAGTCGCCATGCATGGAGAGACTCGTTGTCCGTTATCACGGGCTCGTCAAATGGCGCCGGTATCACAATCGATGTTCTCGATGCTGAGCCGCCACGAGCAGGTGATGGTTGGAGGAACTTAGCTGGTGGCTTCCTTGGTGTCAGTGAAGGACCAGACCCAAGTGAACAGAGAACCCCGTTTGGAACTGTAAGTTTGGAGACCACTGTTGAGAATCTTGGACTAACGATATTTGGCGATACAGCCCCAAGTCATCCATCAAGGGAATCCCTTGGTCTCTGAGCGAGGGTCTTTGCACTCTATGCGTTCGCACCTAAGCCCCTACTCTGCACGTTCATCTTCAGGATCAGCACCCACATCCTTCGCACGTGCTTTCAATCTCTCAGGGTCCAATTCCTCTCGTCCTTCTGCAAATTCCGCCCACTCACGTGTAACAACTACGTCCTCTGCATCGCTAAATTCTAGTCGACCGTTTGGTCCTATCTCACCATCTGTGAGCGCGTTTGGATATGCAGATCCCTCGCAGTATATGTCCCGCGCCACTGAGGAATTTGAGGACCAGTTCGCAGAGCCAGGCAGCCGCACGTCGATCCTTGGTCCTATGCCCTCATTCTCCACTCGTTCAGCGCTCTCCCAACCAACGATCCGTAGTGTGGGTGGTACAACGGTAACGAGTGATGATACAGAGGTGACGAGAACGACTGTCACTTCTGGCTCTGAGGACGCGATGAGCACGCCTACACCATGGTTTCAAGAACGAATCAGGGCCGAGATTTGAGATGATCCAGCGCTATGAGATGCGTTCTCTTCCAAGCGCTGGGGTAGAGCTATTCTATTGATGCGATTTTTTCCTTACTTATTCATCTCTGTGAACTGAATGCTTCATTATACTTTCTGCGATACCTCCTGACTTTTGCGATACCTATCATACTTGATCTTCTATGTAGATTACGGTTACCTCCTTACGACTGATGATGCGATATCTTGACTAAGATTCTTGTACGGTCTCTAGTGAATGATACACCGTCACTTGATTAATTTGTCGGCGCGCGTGCGATCGTTAGCCGGGCCATTCGAGTCACAGTCCTTTCGGACCGATGGATGGGGAAAGCATTTCTAACCTGATACGTAGATGAGTTCCTAGCTTCTTATAGTAATCCTGCTCTCTTTCTCATGATCAAGCTCTCGCTCCTACGTGTATACTACTTGGGTGGGGTAACAACACTGTTAGCTCCATCTTTCGGGCTGCAAATCTTATTTCCGTTTATGGCACTGATCCTATCTGTGCCTCGAAGTCTCAAATTTCACCGGCACCATTCAGGATGAGTTCAATGCTTCCATGTCCTCTGGACTCAGAACTGACCTTTCCGACGTCCAAAGTACGACAACCTTCATTCTCATGCGAATCCCGAGTCCTGTGCACTTGTCTACTGCTTGGCACCGATGTCAACCATGTACAGTAACTCAGATGTACAACTCGGAGCACGCACATTCCGACTCGGAATCAGTGCATCAGGTAAATACCCCAGTCCTCCCGAATTGGCCAACATTGATATTTGACTTGTAATCATACTAGCACTGTTGTATCACAATCTTTGTGCTGGGCTATATTCTGCAATATTTCACTTCGATCCCAATTTCCAAAACGCCGCCAATGGCATCAACATTAGCGGCTTTCGTGCGACGAACACTAGTGCGGCTAGTAGTGCTAGATAGAACGTCAGCGCAGAGAGTCAGCCATCA